GTCCGAACTAGAATCGTCCAATTTGAGCGACGAGGAGCCCTCGTCGATGGTGAACGCCCTGCCCAAAACGCAAATGCGAGGGCTCCTCGGACTCCTCGGGCTCTTGGGCCCGTCGCCGTCGGGCGAGCCTTTTTCGAACCGATCCCTGGCCGAGAACACTTCGATGTGCTGGCTCAAGCCGATCGTTTTGCCGATGGCGCAGCTCGCGCTCGACTCGTCGGTTTCCTTGATCTCCTTGCCGGGCGACAGGTCCTTTTCGCCGCTCGTCCACGAGCCGGTGTCGCTCGACCTCGACTGGTCGGAGCTGCGCTTCAACATATCCAGCTTGGTTTTGCTGGTGGCTGTTAGTAAATTGATGTTTTCGCGCGATAACTCCTTTTCGGGTGCTTCGTTGTCGTAATCCAACGAGTCTACGGTGCCGACGTATTCCTCGCATTCGACGGTTATCCACGATCCGGTGTCCTCGGATCGGCTGCGTTCGATGCTCAATTTGTGTAAAGCGTCCCTTTGCTCGTCGCCGACCAACAGCAGGTTCTTATCGATTTTTTCGCCTTTCAATTCGCTGACTTCGGTCAGCGATTCCTCTTCGCTGGTGATGCGCATGTTGCCGTCGACGGGCGATTCGTCTTGCCGGCGGCGCTTCTCCAGTTTCTTCTTGAGAAATTTGCCGACGGTGTCGGAAGCCTTGCGCATTTCGGCCATCAGTTGCGCGTCCTTCTCCGATTTGTACGACGAATCGCCGGCGGACTCGTCGATGTAACGGATGTCCAGCGATTCGCCGAGGCTCATTTTTTCGGTGCTCTGCGAATCCGACGAGCTCTTGCTCAGATCGGGCGGCTTGGGAGAAGAGCGCTGCTCAAAAAAATCGTCCGACTTCCGGATGATTTCGATGTTGCGCAATTTCCGGTCGCGCTCCTCCACCGACAGCCACACGTCCAGCGTGGTGCCCTGCAGGACGATCTTGTCCTGGCCCTCTTCCTGATGCACGTCGGCCTCCACGGTTTCCTCGACGACGTCCTCCTGCGGCGAGGTTTCTTCGAGATCTCTGGCGCGGATGGTTTGGATGGTTTCCGGCTTGAAATCGAACTCGTTGCTCGATTGGTCTTGATCCTGTCGGCTATCGAGGTCTAAGCTTTTACCCAAACGGGTCACGTTTTTGATGTTCAACTCCGGTACGTTGAGGTCGAGGCTTTTGGTGAGCTTCTCGCCCATCTTCTTGTCGAGTTTCTTGGGCGATTTGGTGATTATGATGGCTTCTTCGAGACTCACGTTCGTTTCTATGGTGTTTATGCTGATTTCCAGTTTGCCGTGGCGCTCTCTGACCATCTCTTCCACTTGCGGAAACACCGGTAGGGTGTCTTTGACGGGGCTCTTTAAGGTTTTCGTTTGCTGTATGGCGATTTCGTACAGCATTTGCTGTTTTTCTATCCGCTTCGCTTCGGAGTCGTCTTGCGATTTCGATCGTTCCTTGCTGCTGCTTCGTTTCAATTCCAATTTCTCCAACGATTTCACCTTCTCCTTCGGCGCGCCTTTTTTACCCTCCGTTTGTTTATCCGCCGATTTCCGCGGAGAATCTTCCACCGAAAGCGCCTTACCGGCCTTCGCCTCTCCCGCCGATTTAACTTTCGCCGCTTTGTTCCTGCCCGATTGCTTCGACTTGGGCGGTTTCTGCGGGTGCTTCGTTTGCAACGTGGCCCTGCCGCTCGATTTCCTTCGATTGATAACGTCCGGAACGATCTGATCGTTGCCGGCGCTCGCCGCCTCCTCGGCGGGAATCTCGGGCAACGGCCGGGGCCTCGGTATGTCGGGCAGCGGCTTGTCGGGCGCCTCGTCCGTATCGGACCTCTCCTCGGCGCTTTTGTCGCCGACCAAATAGTTCTCCAAGCCGCTGTCTCGATCGGTCGCGTGCTGGTCCTCCTCGGCGACGGTGTCGTCTTTGCTGGAGAACGCGTTCAAAGGCGGTAGCCGGCTGACCGATATGACGGGGGCGTCGAGGCTCTTCGCCCTTCGACCGGCCACCGGCGAGTCGAGCGCCTGTTGCTTCTGCAGCAACGAGAACGCCGAGCCCTCGGAGAGATTGAGTCGGGCGTGAGCGAACAACAAAGGGCTGTGGCCTTGTTTCCGCAAACTCGGCGAGGTGATCTCGGTGATTCTGGTTTTAGAGGGCACCCGTAAGTTTTTGATGTCGTCCTCGATTTCGGCTTGTAGTAGTCGCTTTTCGCGTTCGCGCTCCCGATCGTCGTCGATGGTGGTCAGTTCCTTGTCGCTGGAGTAATCATCTTTGAGCGTTTCGTCGCAGTCCTCTCGATCGATCTCGTCGAGCGTCCTCAACGGTTCGGGCAGCGGATCGGTAAAGACCGGCTGCAGATCGGTGGTTCTGACGTTGAAATCGTCCTCCGAGCTGGGTATCGACAGCGATCGCTCGGATATTCGGCGCAATTCGGTCGGCACGGCGTCGAGCCCGTTCTCCGCTTTGGCGTCTTTCTTCTTCCGCGACGTCGGCGGCGAGCCCTCGACCTCGGTCGACGACATCGTGTACTGCAGGTACTTCCGTTCGGATTCGAATTTCAAGATCGATTCCATCTCTTTGCGCATCTGCGGCGGCGAGAATTCGACGCGCGTCGGCGTCGCCTCGGCGCTGCCGAACACGTCGTCCGAGTCCAAGCTCTCGTCGTCCGAACTGAACGAGGTGATTCGCACTTTGGTTTTGTTGCTCTTGCCGCCCTTCCTGCCCGGCTGCATGCGCGGTTTGATGACGCGCTTGGGCTTGACGATGTCGGTTTTGGGGCGCGCCGGCGGTTTGTCGGGCTCTTTGCGCGCCTCCGGCGCTTCCTCGGCGATCGCCTCGGTTTTGATCGAAGGCTTTTCGACGGTTTGTTGCGGCTTGGTCTTCTGCGTTCGCAGGCTCTCCGTTTTCGAGCTGGTCGGCGAGTCGCTTTCGATTTGGCTCAATTTCGAGTTCAACGCCTCTAACAGTATCGGATCGATGTGCGTTATATCCCTTTTAGGACTCGACGAATGTTGTATGGGCAATTGGGTCTTGTCGATTTCCAACGTGACCGGATCCACTTTGGACAAATCGATGTTTCGCGTGAACAAAAACGTCGAATCCTTCGGTTTGTCGTCGTCTTGCGAATCGATCGGCGGCTTCGTCGATTCGACGCGATCGTTCGATTCCTCTTTTCTCGCGACGCCGTTGGCGACGTGGCGTTTGTGCAACACATAAGAGAGCTCCTCTTCCTTCGGCGGCAGATTGACCAAGTCGGATTGCGTCTTGGCGCCGAGCACTTCGAACTGGCTCATCGGCACCTCGAAGCGCTCGCCTCGCCGCTTGATGATGTCGAAGTGCCCGAACTCGGCCGTCGGCGGTCGCGCCGCCGGCGGCGGCGGCGGCAGTTCGAACCGCGCGCCGCGCGACTTGGCGATCGGCGGCGCGCTCGGTATCTGCCTGAACAGGTAATCCTCGTCGCTGGACTCGGCGGGCGTCAGATCGATGGATTTCTGGTGCATCAACAGCAATCGCCGCGAGCTCGAGTTCAACCGTTGGCGGGCCAGCGAGTTCGGATCGGATTTGGTGCGTTCGATCGGCTGGTGTAGCGCCAGATCGTGCACGATCCTCGGCTCGATTTCGACGAACACGTCGCGGAACGTCGCCTTTTCGTCGGACGTTTCGTCGTCGATGTTCGGCACCGTGCGGTAGTGATGATCGGGACAGGCGTCGGAGTCGAGGCTGTCGCGCAACGATTGGATTTTCTCCTCGTCGAAGCTGAATATGTTGCTGTCCGATTCGGCGGATCGTCGGGCGTTGGCGGCGGGCCGGCGGGCCGGCCACGTGCGTTGGTTGTCGTCGCGCCATCGCTGGTCCATGGCCGGCGATTTGTGCGATTTGTGCGCCCGTGGAACGGTGTTCTGCTCGAGCAGCCGGTTGATTTTGATGTTCTGCTCGGTCTCGACGTTCTGCAAACTGATGGAGTGCACGTGGACGAAGTGCCGGTTCGTCGTTTCGACGTTACTATCGACGTTCGACGTCTTCTGTATGCCGTAGTTTCGTTCGAACGTTATTTTTCGATCGTACGGATAGCGATAGGACGGCGCGTCGTGGTATTCGCTCTTCGATTCGACGCTCGACGTTCGCGAATCGAACGTTTCGAACGTTTCAGCGCCGTTGGTTTTCTCCGACGCGGCTTCCCTGTCGGATTTCGATTCCTGGCTGGAGGTGCGCGAGCCCATGCTGCGTTTCTCCCGGCTGGATTTCGATGTTTTCGACGATTCGATGCTGGAATTCCTGGAGAATTGCTTGTACTGCTTGTAGTAGCTACCGTCCGATTTCCTCGGTATAATCTCCCTGGGAAAATCGCGCGGATCGTCCGTCAGAAACACGTCGGTGGTGCTCTTGCACTTGTGCCGCTTGTCGAGCTCCGATTCGCTGTCGGACGGCAAATAATTGCCCGAATCCAAGCTGCAACTTCTCGTATTGAACGGCATCCGTTTCCGGCGCTCGTCGTACTCGCCCGACGTGCTGTACTCGTCGTCCGATTTCTCGATCAATTCGTAGCTGTCGTGCGACAGATCGTCCTGCGAGTCGCGCAAATCGTAGTTGCCCGGATCCTCCATCGATTCCAGCGAATAGGCGGCGGCGCCCGGATAGCTGCTCGAGTACACCTTCTCGTCGGGCGCCGCGACGTCCGCGGCGACGTCGCGCGCGCTCGCGCCGTACCGCGTCACCGGCGATTCGAGCGTCCGCTCCTCGAAACTGACCGTCGTCTTTTCGAGCGGCGGCGCCCTTCGATCGTTCGGCCGCTTCGACCGGCCCGTCTCCTCGAAGCTGAAATCGTACAGCTCCTTGCAGCTGGCGCTGCGACGCCAGGCGGCGGCGGCGTGGCGCCTCTTGGGGCGCGCGCGCGCCAGATCGACGTGCGATCGCGTCTGCGCGGGATAGTGGTTAGTGAGACTACGACTAGAGGACGTCTGGGATGTAATGGTGGGTGTGCGATCGGTACCTGTGTCGGCCCTGTGGACAGCTACGCGGACGGCCACCGGCGAACTGGCAGCGGCGCGTCTCGTCGTGGGCGGGCTCGTGGTCGCAGAGTCCTCCGGCGAGGACGCCGTCCGGGCGAAGGGCGGCGGCGGCGTAGGCGGCGAGCTCGTCGTCCGAGTGGGCGCCGCAGCCGCCGGTCGATCGGCGGGCCTGGTGTCGGGCGCCGAGCTCCAGGACGTAGCTGTGCCGCGGCGGCGAGAGGCTGACTTCGTCGTCGGAGAAGCCGCCCGTCCAACCGTACGCGGGCCCATCGAACCCAGAGACGCCGATAGTTTGGACACTTCCACTGTTGGCAACAACAAGCATTTTTTGGTTTTTTTATTACTTTTTACCGAATCCATCCGATACAACGTTTTTTTTTTTACACATGCGCATGCTCCTCTTTGTTCTAGTATACAGTTCGCTTCTCCATCGAGACTTATTCAGCGAGTAAATATGGGGGAAAACTATACGAAAATAATAAAAAATAAAATAAAGAGGAATATTGTTTACGTACCGCTCAAATTGCTGTCAGCGAGAGGTAACAAAGGATGAGCGGAAATGCTGTTCCCGACAGTTGTCGAATGCATGTTGCTAGCGCTAGAGTGAGCGCTAGAATGGCGAAACGATTGCGACCTGCGATAGAAGAGAACGAGGAATACATATCAAAACGAGAAACACCATCATTCACAAACAATTAGTAATAACATTAATGGTAATAATAACAATAATAATAGCGAAATACTCCATCTCTTTCGTACTTCCGCAAACTAATAATATCGCATAATGGCATCTATTATTATTATTATTTCAGGTGTTGATTTTTATTTTAGTTCTACACACAGAACGATTATATCTAAAAAAAATCGTAACTAACTTAAGCTTGTTTTTTTTTGTGAATTTGATATGGAGCACAGTGAAGTTAGATTCGGCGTCGTTTCTACATTCTTTATAAATTCAGAGAAAATCTAATAGAATCGAAAGAGCGAGATTTAAACTGAGCTTTAAAAAAATAGATTTTTGTTGTGTACGCGAATAAATACCTGATGTCAACAATCTTGACATTGTTGACAGATGACATTTTGATTTCATTCGACCCTGAGGTTAAGAAAGCCATGTTGTTATAATGAAATAAAATCTCAGTCATCCCTGTGTAAATACTTCCTGCATTAATTAAATCATTCTTTTCCTCCTAAAGATTTACGTAATTTTCAATAATCTTTACATAAAAAATACTCTGAAATAACCAACATAGAAACGACGTACGCGTAATAAAAAAAATAATTTTGACAGACCCTTCCTCCTTCCCTTTTAACATTTTGACTGTACATTGCGAAACCGTCGGAAAACAGCATTTTTTTTATTTCATTGTCAAGACGCTACAAAAAATAAAAACAACCATGCTCCACACGTCACAATTCAGCTACTTCTTTTTACTCAAAATGTACGAGATAGGTAAATACGAGTACGTTTACTTGGAGGGGGGTTACGAATTTAACAAACTAAAAAATATATACAGGATGTATCGACAATTGGATAATGAAAAACTCGAATTTCTACGTAATTTAACAGCGCTGTTGATGGTTTTTCATTGTCCCATTGCTAATTAAAACATCCTTTGTAGGTTTATTGTAATTTACTTCGGTATCGTAAGCAAATAAAAAAATTAATTAGCGACAAACTGAAAATGTCTAATTAGGAGTAATTTAAGCCAAAGAAAAATAAAGCGTTTGTTTTATATTGGTCAAGAGTACATACAAGCCGGTAATAAAAGGCAATATTGTAAACATACAGTACGTTCAATACAACAATCTAAAGACTCAAATTCGCTTGCATTTAGGACACACTGTATATTACATCATTATGTTAAGTGTATTAACTATATGCTTACACTCGATAAATGGAACATTCTGTATACGATTTTTTTTGTACCACATGTGATGGTGTAAAAGTGTTTCGAATGATCATGCCGTTGTAAAATTACATTGTACTCACCTTTGAAACGTTTGTCGTTTCACATAATTATCCCGTACGAATTCGATTATTTGCTTCTGAGTTTTGCCACTATACCTAAAATACATTTTTTTTTTAAACAGTAAATGATATTTTGATAACATACCTAAAAGAACTGCCTCTGGATAATACTCTTGTTTTGTGCCTGGATACATGCTTTACGGAAGCGCATCGAAAGAACCCGTGATTTTCCACGCATTTCTTCCAAAAGTTTTTGCATTCGTTCCTTCCCTCAAAGAAAAACTCCACCGTATCTTTATAATAACCCTAAAACAAATCGTTATTTCGATTTACGAGTACAATCGAACGATAACGAACACTCACGTAGCCTTCCGGGTGCAATTTGACGAGGAATCGCTTCCGCTTGAACGATATTTTCCGGATTTTCGCCCACGAAAACGTGTTGATCTTCGTGTAATTCTGGAACACGACGAGACCCATGTGGGCAACAGCCAGATTCAAGGCCACGTTCTCGTGATCTTTCGCCGGGTGCATCTTGACCCCGTACAATTCGCACCGTCTCGCCGTCTCCAGCAAATTCAAATCCGCCTCCGCCGGCGACTGACCCCTACAAGATCATAAATTAAAATCAAGTAGAATAGTGTAACGATATGTGAAAAAATAACGGGTATTTTGTAACAGTCGTTACTGCACCTCTATACCAACAAATCGATTCCCATCTCTATTAAACTTCTGTCATTAGTGTCAATTTGGACATTTTTGACGTTAATGTATCATCGAACGCATCTTAAAGTCCCACTTACGCGTGTTTCTTGTGATTCTCCATGATCTTCCGTTCCATTTCTTGGTCCTGTTGCGGCACGAATTTGTAACTGGACAAGTACGTGTGATCCGGATAATCTTCGGCCACGTAATCCCCGCATTCCGCTTGAACTATGTAGCTGGCCATGAGGGCGGCGGTGTTTTCGTTGCATTGCAAGCCGCCTTGGGACAAATCCCGTTTTACCTACACGCAGAAAAAGTAAATCATTTTAGATAACCGATATTTCTCCATAATGTTCCACTTACCTGCAAACAAAACAGGTATCTGGTGTATTCTTCTTCCAGTTGGGCCGGATCCGGCGTGTAGAATTTGACGCAGAAATACAGGAGAGGATCCACCAAGGACAAACCGAGTTGCCGAGAAATGGGTTTTTGCAAGTCCAGCCAATACTGCGAGGATAATAAAATTTCGTTTAGATTGGATTTTATGCTGTAGCAAAAATTTATCGACTTACTCTCGTATTGTGATCATCCCAATATTCTAAACCGAAATAGTCCGCTTCTAGTAAATGTAGCTGCTTGCAAACTTGCTCGAATAGTACTCTCCCTAACGCTTTAGCCTAAGAGATAAATGAAAACAATTTGAATAAAACGCAAATTAAAATTTTAAAAAGTAGTTGCGATCGGAACCGTTTTATTAAGCTATAAAACTTATATTTATAATTTTACGTTGTATCGGAATGCGTATTGTTTTCGTTATTTTGGAAATAACAAAAATCGTGTCGTTATTTTTAAATCGCAGTTAAATTTACGGCTTCCTGTGGAAATTCGAAACTACAAGGGCTTTCTTTCCTTAGCAAATAATTAATTATTTTCTTTTTATTCTTCGTCGTTTAGTTCAAAGGCTTCTTCGAAATGTGTTAATCAAGTTTGTTAAATGTCGAAAGTTAAATGTGAAACATTTGTGAACTATACAGGGTGCTCTATAAAATATGTATGTAGGAAAATTGAATAAACTTATAAAGCAATGCATTCACTGATTAATCCATGAGAAATCGCATTTCTTAGGCAATTAAGTAACGTTTCATCTTCAATTGAATCGTTTAACCCGAGATAACACCGCATTCATTCGAATTATTCAATTTACTTAAGTCATTACAATAGTTCTTTTGTATCCACAAACGCATTAACTTTAATTTCGTACGATTACATTTCGTACGATTTTAAAAACAACCAATTCGAACGGTTTTATTTACCTAGTTTACAATGATAAATTTGCATCTATAAATTTCCATTTTTACAGCTTCCTTTGACATATTTAATTATTACTAATTTATTATTAGCTAGGCGTAGTTGACGTGATCTTATCTTTCAAATTAATTACCACATTTCTATTTATCTGCAACGAGGTAATTACACCATCACATTGTTATCTATTACCAGGTGTAAATAAAAAATCTCCTATACCCATATAGATAGTAATATAATCTGATTATTTGTTTTTTTTACAATTTTTATGTACTTTATTTTTATATAGATACTTTTAAAATAGTATGATTTTAATGCATTTGTTCTTTGAACTGTGTAAACATGTTAGTAACATTTATCGTTGTATATACTAGCATTTTACATGGTTATTTTAGTATAAATTTCAAAATAAAATACCAAAAAAATCTCCACCCAAAACAGCAATTAGTGTGTAAATAACTAGAAGATTTTAAGTCAACAAACAAATTAAAATATTTCACCAGCATTACATAAAACCTCGTATAACGCAGTCGAATCGTCATTGAAAATTGTCCCTTTATAAATTTTTTAATGAACGCACAAAACCGGTTTTTTTTGTATTCCATCGCCGATGCGCTACGAATAATTCACGTAATCATTATGTACCAGCAATTAAAATGGAACGCGGAAGTACCTATGCACTTTATGTGTCAATTAACCCAAAAATAAACAAAATTCATCAATTAACAAGCTAAATACAGGTCGTCCAATAATTTACCTACTAACAGCCTTCATTATTACAACCTTCCTACACAATTTTATTATTCATTCCATCGAAAAATATTAAGAAGAATTATTCGTGGTTATTTTCCGGGTACTCTACGCTCAATTGACCTACCTGCACTTGAAATATGGTGACGGTATCGTCGAGCATCTGCACCCTGATCGCCAGCATCTTGCCGCCCTTCTTGGGGGTGGTCGGCGACGTCCTGCCGCCGTCTCCGCCGCAATCTACGCCCGCCGGTGTCGACAGCGAGTGGTGCATGCCGCCTCCGCCGCCGCCGCCGCCGCCGCCGGACAGCTGGCCGGTCGATCCGCGATTGGAGCTGCTCGAGTCCATGACTCTTTACCCTTTGACGGAATCCTGCAGATGCAAAAGAAAACGATCTGTAACATGTCCTTACGAAGCTAACGCTATAATGCGTAATAATAGCGGGTTATTTGAAGTGGCTAAAGTTAGCTAAAGTTTTAAAAGGAGGCCTAAAGTCATCGATGCCAGAAGTGGGTATAGATGGAGCGTTTAAGATCGGTTTAACAATGCACCGGCCTAATTAGAGCAGGTCGTCGAGAATTTTTCAATTGGCTATTAAGCCGATATATCGATTTCTCGTCATTTTAACTGGAACGAAAAATTCTTAACTGGAATATTATTCGTTTAACGTGGAAATTCGCACCTGTTATTATTATTATTCATCGGGGACGTTCCGATTGCAAGTGTTGCGAGCGGAAGTGCATCACAGTGTCATGCAATATCACGAGCAAGATATCGAAAACAAAATCATTAGTGTAATTGTACCGGAGAACTTTAAACGCAATTATATATGTGATAGCTGAAAATTTACCATTAAAACAGGGGAAGAGCAACGCTTTATTTGCAATTTCTAATGACTCTTTTCTTTGTAAATTAATTATACAGGGATGTTTGCTGTACTTAAAGCAATTAATAATCAATTTGGCTTTTCATTTGGGACACCCTGTATACAAGACGAGTCACAGATAATGTACAGGGTGGAAAACATAAATTTTTATATGGTTCAAAGAGAAGTCGAAGCCAACTTTAATTCACATAAATTGTCCACGGCTCACTCTGTATATATTATCAAAAATTAATGAAAACCCATCGACCTATCGACCTTTGACTATTACTGAACGTATATCGATACATAATAGCACTTTTACAGGTAAATACCTACATAGAAAAAAAACACGTAACCTTGTAACCACCTATCGAGTTATTAAATAAATTACGAAGCATAAATTCATCATTTTGAAATAAATTCGCCTCGTTACGGATCTACCTACGATCCGGGCGCGTACAAATTCGACAAAAATCAGTTCCATTTAGTTAATTAATCGCCATTCGGCGTGGGCGAATTCTTATTAAAAAGCATTAATGGGAATCAAAATTGACAAAATAGTAACCCACTACGACTAATCAACGACAAACCTCCTGACCCACTAGGACGAGAACACTTTCGTTGAACAGAAACGAAAGATGTTTCACGAGTCGTAGCTTAACAGCCCACCCAGTCCCTTTGGTCATTGATCCCTGTTTTTCGGGCCAGTAAAACGACCCGGAGCGGGTCGCTATCGCTCAAACGGACGGATTCGTACTTACATTCATATTACGGGTAATTCCAAAAAAACGAACACCGACTAATTTGTTTATTGTTTGATTCACACACACCCAAATTTCACGCGAACATTCTTCTACCGCACCGAAAAATTAACTGTTTTTGTAGTTCCGTCATTCCATGTCCAATTTTGTATCGGGACGGTAGCAGTGTTGCAAACTTAAAAATTAGTTACCGGAAAACAAAGAGAAACATATACGATTAATACGTAAGAAAAAGAAACGAATCTCTTTCTTACTCCAGAGTGACAGTTTTAGTACAAACGAACAAACACAGGAACAACCAAGCCCGAATTGAATCCAATAAAAATTTCTAAACACTACTAATTTACTGATTTATATTTACCACAAATAGTTACTAAATACGTTTTTACATTTACAGTCTACTACAACTTTAGATAAAGTAGATAAAGTAAAAAATAACAACATTTTATGCGTCCCCACCCCTAAGTGCGATTCTGACCAAACGCTAACTTCGCATCAATAAAATTTTGACATAAGCACATGATGATGACTAACTTCATTTCGTACATTAACTAAACATGATGGCGTATTGTTTCCAGTGAGACGTTCAAAATGTGTTTAGATACTGTTAATATATCATTTTATTGAGTTATATGATAGTGAACAGTGTTCTTTATTGAAAATGAATTCTTTGCAATATGTAGTGCACCCTTTGCCCGGCACCGAAGAACAGTTCAATGACAGGTAAGGCCTAGAAAATCGCAAGTCGAACTCCACCATTTTCCTGGTGTAAGGTTTCCGTTTCGTGGTGGTATCGGCGATTATGTTTTGACACGATAGAAGGAACCACTCCCTGTTTTTTTCTCTTATAAATCATTCATGTCGATAATAAAACGATTTGTTAAGGACCTAGGAACCTATGAACCTATTTTTTAGGCAGATACATTTGTCATGTAGAAAATGGGACGGGTGCTTCTGTCTCGGGCTCGACCCCTTGGAAAGCTAGTATCGAATTATATTGCTTAAAAATAATATGTTTACGTTAGTTTCAATTAATAAGGTACAAACTAGGGGTCATTTTTATATTTCTTCTATGCTTCATTAGAAGAGAAGTGAATAAAAAGTCACTCATTTCAGATTGTCTTAATAACATAATTGAAGAATTAATGCAGTCTATGTTTGACAAATAATTTTTCTTTTGCTCTGTTGGAAGAAATATTTAAAAATTGTTAACAATTTTTTTTATTTAAAATCTAAAAAGAAAAAACACATTTATTAGCATAACATTTAATGCTTATTTGCAGTTGTATTATTATACTTATCATTTCTTATATCAATACTTTGTACCTACTTCATTTGAATTGATTTCATTGTAATTTATGTCTTCTATTCGCGGTTTTGGATATTATTGTGAAACATTAGCAAATATTACATTTTATTTTATCGAAACTCCTCGTGTATTTAAACCGGCCGCTGGTATTCCAGATTGAAGGAAGTGGCCGATCGAATCAACCGTTTAGGCCAGAACATCCATCCCGGCCTGGCGAATTTACGTTCGGGCATCAAACGGATATGCCTGTCACCGAACTACATAGCCCTGCTGTTAGAGGACGGAAGGATTTGCAGAGTATCGTACAATGTCATATCCGATAGATTAGATTTGAGCAAAAATGAGAAAAAGTAAGCGTCTCGAATAAAAACGCATCGTTCCCCCCTAATCGATTCTCTATTTATTCGAAGATCCTGGCCTATACGTAGCTCCGGTGGGGCCGGAGTGGGCGGCGGCGGCGGCGGCACGGGCGGCAGCGGCGGCAACAAACCGACAGGCGGCAGAGGAGTCAGGACGAGAGCGAGAATTATGAGATCTAATACGGCGATCCGAGGAGGCAGCAACAGCGGTAAGAAAACACCACAAACTCATACTTTTTAACGCCACATTTTGCGATTTAGGTAGCAGAGGAGCCCCGGTCATCATCGGTACGAGTTCGTCGAGTAGCGGCAGGCCGATGGTCACCGTGCCGGCGCCTTACGTACCCGAGGAGCTCGTATCCCAGGCGCAGGTGGTGCTCCAAGGGAAGAGTAGGACTTTAATTATCAGAGAATTACAAGTAAGGCCGTTACGATCGAGCGAGTTTCGTTCGAGATGTTAATAATGCGATTTATTGCAGCGGACGAATTTAGACGTGAACCTTGCGGTTAACAATTTACTGTCTCGCGACGACGAAGAGGGCGAGGAAGTGGACGATGCGGCCGATTCGTACGTGCCGGAAGATCTTATTTCGTTGCTCGATGGCGGTTTCCATCCGGACCATTCGGTTATTATCGATGCCGATGCCATGTTTTCCGAAGATATGTTCGGATATTCCAGCATAAGGAAGTAAGTAATAACTACATGTTTGTATAAACGAGGTATTTAGGTTTATTTTTGCGACGAGCAGAGGAATGTAGATTTCTTATTTAGGATATATACTGTTTTGAATCTTAATTGTTGTCAGTTTTTAACTGTTATTAAAAATAAAGTGAATATAGTAATTGGAAAATGAAGCGTGCATGTAGTATACAGATTAGTTAAACCTACGAAGAACTATTTGCGCCTTATTAATTTTTATTTATTAGGTTAATTGTATTGCAGTTTTTTTTTAATAACTAGTGCATGGAAGTATTTTCATTTTCTCCCCTTCGTTTTTGCCGTTTCTATTTCAGCGTTGTAAAGCATCGATAGCGTATGATTTCGTTTCTTTTTTGATTTATTTTGATTTATTTTTTTTTTGAATTATTAACTGTTACTTTCGTTTTGGCTTTTTTCACTAACTTTTGTTTGAAAATGTTTGACTTTGCTCAAACAAGCTTCCTTAACAGTCGCGGTAGCAGCGGTCGCAATCGCCTGCCCGACCGAGACGCGCCGCCGAGCAACGCGAGCGGCATCGACAGGGACCGCGAGAACTTCTCCCGATGGAGGGACAGACAGTACTTCGGACCGAGAAGGTGGCTCGAAACGGCCCTCAGAGACAACGCTTTCGACAAGGATTCCGGTTCGTGTTATTTACATACGACATCCGCGATGATTGACGTTTGGTGCCCTTTTGTAGATCACAAAAAGAAAGACAACGCCTGTCCGTTGTGGATATCGGACGATTTGGAATTTTGGCCGGAACCCTTCCTGAAATTCACCCAAATGGCGACGTTATACAGCGAACTGATCGCCGTATCCTCCACGGGCCAATTGTACCAATGGAAATGGAACGAACACGAGCCCTACAAGCATCCCGAAAACCCCAACGTCCATCATCCCAAGACCGTTCCGCTGGGTCTGACCGGCGAGAAGATCACCCAGCTGTCGGCCTGTTCGATGCGTTGCACCGTCGCCACGGAATCGGGCAAAGTGGCCACTTGGTTGGACGATCTCCTATCGCCCGCCGCCAGCAAACTAGAACATTCCGTACAAGCCTACACCGAATTCCAAACGGACAAGATCGCTTCGTTGTACACGTGTCCTCTATACACCGTCGCCCGATTGGAAAGCGGATGTCTCTATTGGTGGTGAGTATTCGCTCGAAGTATTAGAAAAGTAGCGGATATTGAGGTGGTTTGTACGCAGGGGGGTGTTGCCGTTCGCGCAGCGGAAACGCCTGTGGGAGAAGTACCGCACGAAGTGCCGCAAACAGCGGCCGTCGAACAATCAATCGGAGATCGTGGCCGGTTCGCAGGTGTGCATGAAGAACTGTCCCATGTACCAGCAGGGCGCCATCGCCTTCACCGTCGCCGGCGGCGTGCCGAAAGTCGGGCAATTGCAGAACGCCGCTTGGACGTTGAGCGACACGTGCACGTTCAAAATATTGAACGTCAACAACGGCGGCGAGAAGAAAACCGACGGGTCCATCAGCAATTTGCTCGGTACGTTTCGATTGGCTTTCGAACGGTTTTTGTTTTTATAATAAATCGCATTTTCTATGTTAGAAAATGTTTTTGTAGCTAACACGGGCGCCAAAACGACCACGAACAAAGAGAATACGGATCGATTGGATATGCCGCCGCCTCCGTCGCCCGCCTCCAGTACTTGCAGCGACACGGGCAGCGTGAACAGCCACAGTAAGTTTACACCTTCCCATCCATTCGAACTGCTTCTAATCGAGTGTATTCGTGTTTTGTAGAGCGCCAGAAACGATCGGTGGTGGCGAGTTCGGAGCCGGGGGGCGAGCAGAAGAAGGACGAGGAAGAGTGGCTGTTGCGCGACGTGATTTTCGTCGAGGACGTACGCAGCGTGCCCACCGGCAGGGTGTTGAAAGTCGACGGTGCCTACGCGGCCGTGCGATTCCCATCGTCGCATTCTAAAGTATCCTTCGACGTCGACGAGATCCTGCAGGATTGCCGGTTGATGCGGAAGGACGAGCTACAGGTAGAGCTGAACACGCTCGGGCGATTCGCGATGGATTTTTTTATGTATATTATTGTTTTGTAGGTGATTAAATCATCGTCGAATTCGCGGGTGCCGGATTGCTTTCAAAGGACGCCGAGGCGGATACAGATACCGGAAAACGGCGGGCAGATTTTGACGATCGCCGTCGACGGGCAGGGCGTGCACGCCATCGTGAGGAACGGCTCGAAAGTCAGTTACGTTATATACAACATCAGCAGCGGTAGAGTGGAATGGGACAATCAATTTCCCAGCGAGACGTCGGCTTTCATGGGTCTGCATCCCTCCTACATTAATCTTACGTGCGCTGGAGAGGTGAGTTTCTTTAATACACTCGATTATTTATCTATCGTAAATGCGTTGTTTTTTTTTTGTAGAGTTCCGAATCGATTTTGATCCTTCGAGACGGGAACAATACGATCTATCCGTTGGCTAAAGATTGCGCCGACGCCATACGGGATCCGCAATTTCTCGATTTGCCGCCCATCAAATGCATAACGGCCGGTACTCTGGGTTTGTCCGGCACCGGTACCAACATGAAAAACCAAGTGGCCATAGTCGTGTTCGCTTTGGAAACACAATTACTGATGCCGAAGATATTGCGGTGCGATTCGGAAGGAGTGAAGCAAGTTTTGGCCCAGTTAGACAACGATTTCAGTACGTATATTATTTGCAATCGTAGGAAATTGTTTATTTCGTATGTATTGTTGTTTTAGAATCGAACGGAATTATGAGCAAATCGTTTTTGAGCGAGAAATGCGACGGGAACCGCAACATTTTCCACGCAGTCGTCAACATGTGTACACCTACATCGAACAAAGATCCGGAAACAGGTAAGAACGCTCGTACATCTTTAACTATACATATTTACCTGCGATCTTTCGTATTCAGATCAACCGGCTTTCGTGCACGAGGAACCCATTCCGACGCCCAGCTGGCCGCCGGAGACCTTCGACGTGGCGTCCGGCGACGAGGACAGCCTGATGAGCCTGGGCAGCAGCGCGGCCAACAAAGGGATGATCAATCACCCGAACCCGCCCGTCGGTAACACCGTCATCGATCCGTCCGAACGGAGATCCAACGCCATGCAGATTCTGCACGCTTTGCTGTACGAATCGTTCGCGCTCGAGCCGCATCTGATCGAAATGCTGTGCGCAAAGTAAATACACCTATACATTGTTTACTCGCTTAACGCTCGGAAAGGGGGCTTCTCCTCCTTTCAACCCTCCCAAGGCACTAAGTCTACTAGTATTAAACACTGGCATAGTAAAAGGCCGCAAAAGAATGAAAAATGACAAGACGATACGTCAACGTCAACTTGGATAATTTTCAAAATGGCCGACTTTTTAAATTGGCGAAATTATCCAAAAATGGCGGACGATTAGCGTTTTTAAATCGCGCTTGCGAGCCACAAAATGAATTGTTTGAATTTTTTTTTAGAGACGCCCAAGGACAGACGCCGTTCATGCTCGCCGTGTCGTCGCGCAGCTACCCGGCCGCCTTGGAGCTGTTCGAGAAGATCATCAAGCTGGGTACGCCGCAGGAGCGCGACGAAATGATCTTTCCGAAGGGATCGAACGCCGACCATTCGCCGTTGCACGTGATTTGCTGCAACGATACGTGCAGCTTCACGTGGACGGGCGCCGAGCACATCAATCAAGATATATTCGAATGTAGAACTTGCGGACTGACCGGTTAGTATATTAAGCGCTCGTTTTGCCTAAATGAAGAGCTACTGTTGTTTGTAGGAACGCTTTGTTGTTGCACCGAATGCGCTAGAGTGTGCCACAAGGGGCACGATTGCAAGCTGAAGAAAACATCGCCGACGGCTTACTGCGATTGTTGGGAGAAGTGCAAGTGCAAGGCGTTGATAATGGGCAATCAAACTGTTAGATACGAATTGTTGACGAGATTAGTGAAAGAAACGAACTTGGTGTGCCAGCCGAATTCGAGGTAAGTGCAATCGATACAACCGCAGGATAGTTACGATAAATTCAACGGAACAATTTTTAGGGGTGAAAGTATCCTTCTGTTCTTAGTTCAAACGGTAGGCAGGCAAAATCAAGAGCAAAGGCAATTTAGGAATTCGAGATCCAGAACGGCTTCGTCGAACTCCAGGAATAAAACGCCGTCGTCCGATAGTGAGTTGAATTAAGTTAAATAGTGATAAATTTTACAATTCGAATGGTTTCAGTTGAATCGGATATGCCGGAGCACGATTTGGAACCGCCGAGGTTCAGCAGACGGGCTTTGGAATGCCTGCTGGGCGACTGGAAAGCCGTGAAAAGTATGATCATGTCGGGCGCTTCGAACGAACCGCTCAAAGAAGGTACCTACGAAGATCAACCGTACATCACCGGACAAACGGGCACCACTTTGTTGGACAAATTCATCCATTGCTTCTTCGTCAAATGCCAAATGGTTTTGGACGTTCTACTAGAAACGATCATCAAGGAGATGAAAAATAGCGACGTCAAGCAACGAGAAGCGGCTCATTTGGTGGCGAGAAGGTATATTTTTAATAGCTCGCAATAGAATTAGCAACTAACGATTTGTATTTGCAGATTCGTTCGATCCGTCGTCAGGATTTTCGTTATATTCAGCATCGAAATGGCCCCGAACACGACCAAACGGCAGCGTTTCGGCAACCAAAACGTGCCGCTCGGCAAATGCAAAAAAGTATTCCAGTCTCTATCTAAAATCTCCATCGAAGAATTGTGCGAAACCGCCGAATCTCTAATAGCGCCCGTTAGATTGGGCGTCGCCCGACCCACGGCCCCATTCTCCCTAGCCACGTCTCCCAACGAAATATTAAACGTGAGTTAACCGAAAAACAACGTTAGAAATAAATTGTACGCGTTATTTTCTATTGTAGGGATCTGAAGAATTGTTTCTAGTCGATCCGTTGGCGCCTTCTTCGAACAACGGCCCGCGTACGGTCGATAACTCCCAATCGACCAGCAATTTCCCGTTTCTGGCCGAAGCCGTCAGGAGCGCCGCCGGCGTGTTTTTGAACGATCTAAACGACGCCGATAGTACGTATTATATTTCGAAATAAATAGCGCGAATTTTAACGCTTTCTTATATATAAAGATATGGCGATAGACAACGACGATGACACCGAGCACGAAGACGCGCCGGCCGATCGCGAGCTACCGATAGCCGTGCGACAGGCGTCTCTAAACGACAGCGAGCCCCAGGAGGTGGCCGAGGGCCAGCAGGAGAGCCGGTTGCCGGGCGAAGAGTCCGATCCCGAATTGGATCTATTGGCCGAAACCGAATCGGACAGCGACGACAATCACAGTAACCAAGACGCCGCCAGCGCCCAGCGATCCGTACAAACCGGAGCCACGGCCGGATCCGATACCGGTACGATTGTAATACAATGTAGCATAATTAGTTGGTAATTTGTGATTGTCAATCAGGCGGTATGCTGCTGTTTCCCGAAGACGAAAGCGGCGAATCCTCGCAACAGGAGGAAGAGGAAAGCGAAGCCGGCGAGACCGACGAACAGGACACCGAGGACTACACCCTCACCGACGAGCAATTGGAGAGAAGAAGGTACATTTCAATTTGTTTTTGGCGAAATATAAATAATTCGAGTAATAGAAGGCGTTTGTTGTGCAGCAACGCGGCCGGTCACGGTTCGAGATCGAACTTGGCGCCGCAAAACATGCAGTGGGCGATCAGATCGCGCGAGGCCGGCCGATCGCAGGTGCGTTTGCCCAACGGTTCGAATTTGGTGTTCATCGATCCGAGTTCGCTCAGACGATCGACCACGGGGAACGCCACGGTCGCCGCCAGCAGCGAACCCATTACGATGGCGACTACGGCCAGTTGTTTGGCTAGAGCGTTCGGTATGCCTTGGATTTAATTTGAAATTTTTTTTATTTAATTGGTGTTTTTTTTTTGTAGGTATCGTCATTAGACAAATATCAGATCTGTTGTCTTTGATACCGGATATAAATCAAATTTTATCATCGTCTTCGCCTAATATGGAAGTCACCCAGGACGACATATACAACGTTCAAGTAAGTTTAATCGTATCGCGTCGAGTTAGTTGTCCTAATATATCGATTTTTTTTTTAGATATACTTGGAATTCCGCTTGAAACCGACTTGGGATTGGCTGTTGACCGTCATGGACGCGACCGAAGCTCAATTGAAATTCGGCGCCTCTCTGACGAATTCGTTGGATCTGACCAGTCCCGGGCATCCGTTGAACGCGACGACCGCAGGAGGTGGCACAGGAGGTGGGCGTCGTAATATGCCTGTTCCATCTTTGGCTTCTTTAGGTGTTTTGGCTATTTGGTTATATTTTCTATTCTCTCATCGCCTCCTCAAATACGCTCTCATTTTTTATACATTTACATTACCTACACACGATGGTGAGGCGAGAAGTTCTCGGTCTAGTAACGAAAGACAGCGATTTTCAGTTGTAATATTACATTGTTCTTCTTATTTAGTCGAAATCTTTAGTTCAAGACCGTTCTAAATAATTTTAAACCGTTTCAAATGATTCTGAAACGTTCTAAACAGTTCTAATTAATTCTGGAGCGTTGTAAATGGTTTTAAACAGTTTTAAATGCTTCTAAATGGTTCCCATGATTCTAGATCGTTATAAATGACTATGAAACGACATTTCTAAAATGAATTATAAATGTCCCAAAGAGGAAACACATTTTTTTGCTGATTAGATCGCCCCGAATGTATCAGGCTGAGAACTTTTCTGCCTACCCTCGTACACCATACACTATACACACACGATTCGGAATATTTTTACACGTACATCATATAAAAAATGCGCTTGTTTCATTACTAACTTTTGTATACACGATAAAAATCGAGCCTGTACCAGGTTTGTACGAGTTTATAACCGATTTTTTTTTCTTCTTCTGGCTCTCAGTCGCGTCTCGATCTACAAGCAGAACGACACACAGAACGCACACGTTTACGGGCGGCTCGGGCAGTACTTCCAGCACCAGAATCGTCGGTTTCACCACCAACGGGGAGCGTACGAGGCCCGAAAGAGAAAGTGAGTGGTTCTAATAACATCCAATAAAACTAAGTACTAACGGGAATATTATGCAGGTGGTGACGCGCACGCCGCCCGCCGGGAATTCCTGCTCTACTGTCTGTCGCTGATGCGCGCCCACAACAACGAGCACCTCGACTCGCTGCCCGTCCTCGACGTGTCGGCCCTCAAGCACGTCGCCTACGTCTTCGACGCCCTCATCTACTACATGCGATCCGGCGGCAACGGCGACGGCGTCGACTCCGACGCCCGGCGCGAAGGCCTCCCGTTGCACGGCTGGAACGAACAGGACGAGAACGACAACGACGACACCGAGGAGGACATCGCCGTCGCCATGGAAACCGAATCGTTGGACGACCAGGACGTGTCGAATTTGACCAACAACATGTCGAACAATTTAAACGGATCGTCGCTCGGCGGAGGCGGTGGAGGCGGCGGCAAAGGCAGGAAGCATTCGTTCTTCCAACGATCGGAGTCGACGTTGTGCTTGGGCTGTCCGCCGCCCGATCCGTTCGACACGCCGATGGCGGAGGCGCTGCCGCTGGCCGACCAGCCGCACCTGTTGCAGCCGAACGCGCGTCGCGAGGAGCTGTTCGGCATACCGAAGCAACCGGTGACGTTGCCCTTGGGCCCGGGCGATTCGGGCAATCCGTTGGAATCGCTGCCGACGAAGCTGAGCCTGTCGACGCGCACCGGCGAGTTCGCGATGAGCCAGCCGGCGCGGGCGAATCATCCGATATCGAACGATTTGAACGTGATGGGACCGAATCCGTTGGTGTATCCGACGAGTTATCGGCCCGACGACGACGGTAGAGGGTATAAGGAGGCGGCGACGTCGAAGGAAGGCGACGGTTGCGCGGGCGATAAACCGCAGGATTTGTCGAGGTGTAAGGAGGATGCGGCTAAGGAGAATTCCGGTATGTCGAGGCCGCAGATTATCGTGTCGCCGAGGAAATCCGAGGCTGTAGGAAACGCTTCGCAAGAAACTGTTAGTCGAATCGTATACCGGTCGAGTTTAATTCTATAATTAAATTTTTTTTTGTAGGTTATCGCCGGGAGTTGTTTGCCGATTTTGAATTCCTGCGAACAAGCGAAGGAATCTTTTGCGCCAGATGTCGAAAGCGTGCCGTCTACTAGTTCGAGAAATCCCGGTAAAAGCGTGATTGTCAGAGCCAGACCGTCTACGGTGAGTTTTCTTATGGATATTAATAAATTTTTACGGAAGTTTCATACGTGTATAAGTAATTCGATGCGTAACTTATACATCACTAGACTTCCTAAATGATAAAAGAGCTCTCTGATGACCTCAGTTGGATGAAGTTTTGGACTGAGGACAGATACGGAGCCGACAATTTGACAAACACAATAAAAACGTAACTCGAAAATATATGTAAATTTCTTTTTCGTAGAATCCAAAAGCGAGCGTATCCTCCGATACGCTAATGTCTCCGCTGGACATCTCCCAATTGGACACGTTGGAAAACCAGGAGATATCGTCGAACGTGACCGTAATAACCACTCCAGCGGCCACCGAGGTGCCTCGACCCTCTTTCGGCCAGTCCGTATCGCACGATTTGCTCTTGGGCAGATGGCGATTATCGTTGGACCTGTTCGGGCGGGTTTTCATGGAGGACGTCGGCTTGGAACCGGGCTCCATCGTCTCCGAATTGGGCGGGTTTCCCGTCAAAGAGGCCAAATTCCGCAGGGACATGGAGAAACTGAGGAACAACCAACAGCGAGATCTGACGCTGTCGAAGGTCGAACGAGATCGCACCCAATTGCTGGTGCAAACGTTCAAGGAGCTGAACATGCAGTACAACAGCTGCAACCGACGCACGACGTCGTCGTCGTCGCCGCCGTTGGCGGTGAACCGCGTCAAGGTGACGTTCAAAGACGAACCGGGCGAGGGTAGCGGCGTGTCGAGGAGCTTCTACACCGCCATCGCCGAGGCCATACTGTTGAACGAGAACATTCCCAATTTGGAGTCGGCGCAGGTCGACAACAAGTACTCGCAGTACAGCATGTTGCAGAGGCTGCGCCGCGACAGGGACGCGTTGCGCCGCAGCGTCGCCCCGAGGAATTGGAGCAAAGCGAGGGACCACCATCGTAGGACGATGAGCGCCGAAGCGCGGCCGTTCGTGCCGATGGAGAATTTCCATCACGCCGAAGCGCCGTCGATGCCCGACATATCGAACATGTCGGCGAACCAACAACAGAACGGCAACAATGCGAATCCGAGCGGTCCGCCGCGCAACGAGCACCTGACCACGCAACAGCAACATTACGGCGACAGGTTGTACCCGAAGGTGTACAATTTGCATCCGACCTTCGCCGGGAGAATAACGGGCATGCTGTTGGAATTGTCGCCTGCCCAGCTGCTGTTGCTGTTGGCTACCGAAGATTCGCTGCGGGCCAAAGTAGAAGAGGCCGTCGAGATGATTTTGGCGCATACGCATTCCCAGCCGGAGATTAGTTCCGATAATCTTTTAGGTGCGAATAATAACTCTAATTATTACTAAAATTAGCTAATAATTTGTATTTTGAGTAGAAGATTCTCTGCAAGACGAAGACGACGCCGCGCCGCTGTTCTATTGCCCGGGCAAACAGGGATTTTACGCTCCCCGACAAGGGAAGGCCACTTTCGAGAGGCTGAACGCTTTCAGAAACGTAGGAAGGTAGGAATTGATCGTGTACGTGTTAGAAAGTTTCCCGTTCACGTTGTTTGTTCGTTTGTAGATTATTGGGATTGTGTTTGATGCAGAACGAATTGTGTCCCATATTCCTGACGAGACACGTTCTCAAATCGATATTAGGTAGATCTATCAAATTCCACGATTTGGCCTTTTTCGATCCCGTCGTGTACGAATCGATGCGGCAATTGGTGATCGATGCCGAAACGAAGGATAGCAACAGTTTGTTTGCGGCGTTGGAATTGAATTTTACGTAAGAAATTAATTATTATAGATGAAGATGTACGTGATTATATTTTTTTTATCGGTTTTTAGATTAGACTTGTGCCCGGAAGAAGGCGGCGGTACCGTAGAACTCATTCCAGGCGGCAAAGATATAGAAGTTACATTTAATAACGTTTACGATTACGTTAGGAAATACGCCAATTATAGGATGATTAAAGTCCAAGAAAAAGCTATAGAAGTAAGCGAAGTTGTAAAGCAATCTTGGATTAATATTATTAATTCGATCGGTTTGTAGCACATAAAGATGGGAGTATTCGACGTACTTCCGGAAGGTTCGTTGGACGGTTTGACTGCCGAAGATTTGCGGCTATTGTTAAACGGAGTCGGAGACATCAACGTAGCCGTACTAATTTCCTACACTTCTTTTAACGACGAATCCGGCGAAAGCAGCGATAGATTGGTTAAATTCAAGAGATGGCTTTGGTCTATAGTCGAAAAAATGACGCACATTGAACGACAGGATTTGGTAAGTGGTAACATTTCGCCCGGTTATAAACCGTCGTACTGACGATGATTGTAAATGTTTAAGGTGTACTTTTGGACCGGTTCTCCCGCCCTTCCGGCCAGCGAGGACGGTTTCCAGCCGATGCCTTCGGTGACTATCAGACCGGCGGACGATGCTCATCTTCCTACGGCTAATACTTGCATATCGAGACTGTACATCCCGCTTTACAGTAGCCGAACCGTCTTGAGGCAGAAACTACTTTTAGCCATAAAAACGAAAAATTTCGGTTTCGTTTAATGCATGACACGGAGGAATTTCGCGTCGTTTTTTTCTTTTTTAATCAAAAAAACTATTATAGGTATGTTTCGAAAAATTTGCGAATTAGTTTTTTGAAATCGTGTTTATTTATTTAGAAATATTTAGGTTTGAATACAGTGGCACAAAGTGGAATTGTTTCATTGTTTTTTTTTAAATTTAGTACTAAGTTTTGTTGGTTATGTTTTGTTATTTTTGTATATCAACTTGTGCCAATAATAAAAAAATAATAATCACTTTGGTTGTTTCTCTTTTATATAAAAATTATCCTACGATTCGATTTCGTTTTCTAATCAACTCTGTTAAGGTAATCAACTAAAACTATAATAATGAATTTACTAAAATTAGTTACACAACGAAAGAATATACACTAAAAAAAAAAAGACGAAAACTCCAATATACACAACTTATTCTTTGTACCTTCTTCTAAAACCGTCACTGTCCTTAACAACCTTAAGATAATTCCTGTTGACTAATTTACTGCGATAGTAATCGAATCCGGGCCGCTTGACCGGCTCCTCGGCCCCTTCCTCCGACGATGCCGAACTGTCGTTGTCCAATTCGGATTCCTCGCTGGACGAACTGCTCCCCGTCGGATCCGACTTGGAGGTCTCCTCGTCGCTGCCGCTCGAGCTCTCCTCGCTCTCGCTCTCTTGCACCTTCGACCAAATCGTCGAGGCCACCGTCGGCGGCTTCTGCTTCTTGATCACCACCGTGACTTTGCTCTTCGGCTTCGTCCTCTCCTCGTCCGCTTCATGCTGGTGCCTTCTGTAGTGGACCAATCGCTCCGAAGTCAGCCTTCGGCCGCGACTGGGCGATTCGTGCCTTCTCACCGGACTCCTATCCCTGTATTAGATATTTTTGTTGAAGGAATGTTGGGTATTTAATGAGTTATCTTACCTGTATCTTCTGTCGTCCAACGGAACCCGAATGGGCGATCTGAGTTTTCTTCGATTCAGCATCGTTCTCATATCGGTTCGGATGTTTTCCTTTCTTTCCTTCTCCACGTTTACGTCGCTTTCCAACGAAAACACCATTTGTCTGGATCGGTTTTTTAGTTTTTTACCGAGATCGTCCGGTTCTTTTACTGGTACTGGCAGTGGTTCTGTTATGTTGTTTAGGCTTAATACGGCCCTTAAATCTTTGGGCGTTTTCAAGAGTTTCTCCGAGGACGTTTTTAATTTTTGGATGGCTTTTTTCATTTTGATTCGTTCTTCCTCTTCGTCTGCGTACATTCGCATTCTCATCGATCTAACTGCAATAAAATCGGCCATTAGAATATACGTGTATAAATAATGGTCCGTTACCTTTAGGTTTTTTAGTTGCAGTAGGTTCTTCGACAATTTCTAGTTCGTTTTCCGATTCCGCTTTGTGTCCTAATCTGGTCGCTAGATTTGGATTTTTTACTTCTATCGGAACGGCGGGTGTTGGGATATTCTCTCGAAACTTTGCGTCTTGGTCCCAATTTTTCGCCAAATTTCCCCAAGGATTTTTACCTAATCGATAACTAATTAGTATGTTGTAAATAGCGCAACAAAAATCTCGTTACCCTTGGGTAGATCTCTATTCCTCTCGAATATGCTTCCTTCCTTCCATTTATCAGAGTGGATTTTGGCAGTGCCTAATTTTTTGTAGTACCTGGCTAGGCTTTCTGTTCTATACGGTTTCTTGTCAGTCTTAAAAGCGTACCTAAGTAACAAGCATTTAGCCTTGGGATGTTTGTCACCCAGTCTCCAATACCCAGGCGGTATGGGTATCGTAATTTGGTCCATATCGACGGCATTTTTGAACACTTTCTTAGCAGGTTTCACAATATCGTCTACCTAAAAACCAAACATAACAACACATCGAATAATGAGTCGTTAATAAAACACCCACCTGTAGCTGGATATCTCTTCCTCTCAACAAAACACTTTGGCTGTCTTTCTCATCCGTTACATCAGAGTCCAAAAAATCTTTGCCCAAAACTTGCTCTCTGACGGGCATGTCTTTAACCGCTCTGGAGGAGTAAAACATCGCTCGAGCCGCTGTAATATTCTCCAACCATTTAACATTCACGCTGTGCTCGTCGACAAACTCGATCTCGGACGGGGCGTACTTTGCAAAATAGTCCAAAATATCCTCTACTTGCATATCGGTCGTACCCAACAGCAACACCGTGTCCAAACGGGCTTCCAATTCGTTGTCTTCGGTGATTCCCAGGCTTTCCCTCAGCTCTACGAGATCGGCATCGGTGAAGCTGTAAGTTTCTTCGGGCTTCAAAGCGAACCGCTTGGCCCGCTCCTGCAGCTTCTTCTGCTCTTCGTGATCGAAGATGTTTATGCCGGTGGTGAATACCGTCCTCGAATTCGGCTGCGCCTGCCGAACGGTGTACAAACGACAATTAGAACGACTCGACGGTCGCGAATGGGTAAACTTACCGGAACTGGAACGGGCTCGTCTTCTACTATTTCACCGTCTTCGTTTTCCGATTCGTCCACGTCCACGTCCATGCCTTCGTTAAATATTTCTATACGAATATTCGGGCGCTCCTTCTCAGCCTCCATCACGTAAATCGCGTTGAACAATTTACAAACACGAACAAGAACACGAACGAAACTGACATTGACAGCTAGTTCAGTCATATGTCACACAAAACTGTCAATTTTTTTCCACTTTTCGAGGCCTTTGCTATTCGGGAATTGTATCAAAACTGTTAATTAATTAAAAAAAAAAAGAAGATTTTAGACTTTAAAAATGTCAAAATATTGTAGCCTCAATTCTTGCCAGTTTTTTGCCGTAATATTAAGGTTTTAACTAAAAAATTAGGATTAGAAACAGTCGTATAAATGTACGGGTCGTAGTGTAGAAAATAGGCGAGTAAAAATGAGTAATCAAATCCAAAACGTTCTAAAACAAGCGTTGATAACCTTTACCAGCAAACCCGAAGTTTTCGCAACGAATTTGCAGCTCCTCTCGGCTATCGTGGACAAGCTAACAGCGGACGATGTTAAATTGGACATTAGGAAATTAGGTAATAAAGACAACCCATCGGAACCGGGCGCAGCTCCCGTAACTTACATCGACATCTACGAGGATGCCACGGTGACGATGGGCATATTCGTTTTGAAGCAGAACAAAAAGCTGCCGCTCCACAACCATCCGGAAATGCACGGGTTACTTAAAGTATTGTCGGGCAAAGTACGAATCATCAGTTATTCCATAAACACGTCGAAAACGTTAGAAGTAGATTCGCAAACCCGCATAACGGACAACGTGCAACGACACAACGCCCTGAAGCTAGCACCTAGACGTTTAGTAACGGCGGAATTGACTAGTGACGATATCGTCGATTCGACGTGCAAATCTTGCCTTTTAGAACCGAACGAAAAGAATATACACGAGATACACAGCGTCGATGGACCCGCCGCTTTCCTCGACATACTCGCTCCTCCTTATATGACTGAAATACCGAATTCGGGGCATTCGAGATATTGTTCCTATTACAGCATTTTGAGTAACGTTGCGCCGAACGTGTTTCGTTTACAAGAGATTAGGAATCCTCCGTGGTATTGGACGGATACGGCTCCTTATGCAGGACCTGATCCTACCGTTGATCTAGAATCGGAATCGAATTAGACGAATTACACCGCTCCTCTGGTCCTCGAATTGTGATATTTTTTAGCTTAAGTCTCCTTGTTTTTTATCCTAAACTTTACGTAACTTACAATTTTTAATTTGACATGTTGTTGACTTTCAATGCTCATGTATGAATATTGTTTAATAAATTTACCGATTTATTTAAAATTCTTTCCAACTGATAAACTAATAAAGGGGAATTAACTCTTCGTGAAAATTCAAATAGTTCAAAATACGAAACATTAGCCATTCCCTCTTACTAAATAGGACACTAACAACAATTTCTTCTTTTTTTTAAATATTGAATAACACCTGAAATCAAGACCTCCTCAAAGAAGAAATGTCATAATTGTCATATCTTTTTGTATAGGTTATGTTTAGCAGCCTTCCCAGAAGCTCCTTCTAGTTTCATTACTATAATAACTAATAAATAGTTGCAAAGTTTGCGATAATGGCCGATGAAGAATTCGACGACAACGATGTAGGAGACGATTACGATGATGATGTAGAAGATGACAACATCGATGAACTGGAACAGCCCGAAGAAGACGGGGATAACATAGATATACTTGCCCCCGGGCAAGCAGGGGGCGGTGTGCCGAAAAGCAAACGCATTACTACCAAATATATGACCAAATACGAAAGAGCTAGAGTTTTGGGTAAGCATTTATCGACATTACAAGCCTGTTTGGTTTTAATAACTTGTTGATATTGTAGGTACAAGGGCTTTGCAAATAGCCATGTGTGCTCCAGTTATGGTTGAACTCGATGGCGAGACGGATCCTTTGCAAATAGCAATGAAAGAATTAAAACAGAGAAAAATCCCGATTATCATTCGAAGGTATTTACCTGATCACTCGTACGAGGATTGGGGAATCGATGAATTGATTATAATAGATCATTAGTTTTGTACAAAAATCCTTTTAATATAGTTTTTTTATAAGATAAGTGTAGTTTTTGTGATATTGTTAAAAATATTTGTTAAATAACGCTCGTAAAATCGATATATCAAGCGGGGATATAGCTCAGTGGTAGAGCATTCGACTGCAGATCGAGAGGTCCCCGGTTCAAACCCGGGTGTCCCCTATTTTTTTTATTTTTTTCTCAACAAAAAATATATAAATCAAGTCACCACGTAAATTGAATTAATAGTTAGTCCGCTTTGTACTTTTGATCTTCGATAAACCAATCCGTGTAACTTAACAGCTTCTCTCTCCAATAGTCTACGAGCTGTTTCACGCTTTCCCCGGTTCCCCCGTATTCCGGCGGTAAAATACCCTTGTCTATCACCCCATGCAATGATTCCAGGCCGCTCGAATGCACTCTAACTCGATTCCTCATCTTCTCCGACATGAAACTCTTGAAAATCGACAAAACGACGCCCACCGTACCCTACAAAACCACAATTACTCTCCTACTCTAAGAGCACATGAACGCTTTTAGGTATACTAACAGGAACGTTGACGAACTCGAGCTGCTTGGGCCTGACGTGGTAGTTCCTCCACGAGAACACGGCCTTTTTGATCATGGCGGGCGTCAGTTGCTTGGCGTGCCGAAAGTCGACGCCCGCCAAATCGAAGACGGCCGTCACGCCGTAGATTTGGGCGGACACGACGTCCTCCAAAGCGGCCACGTCCATCAGCATGTTGCCCGTTTTGAACACGTCGTCCTGCTTGTGCACGTCCGGATCGTGTACGGCCACCCTTATAATCACCACCAATCTGCGTGAAAATCAAATCAATTGAAATTCACCCTTACGGCTGGCCGAACCTCTACCTTTTATCCTGCGTGCTTCTCAAAGGCACGAAAACGCCCAAATTCACCAAATCTTGTACGGTTTTCGAGCGGGGGTCTCTGTCGTCGAACCATTCGGGAACGTTCCTGCGCATCGTGTAGTAGTTGGTTAGCTTCTTCTTGGTCTTTTCCACGTCGAACTTGCAGCCCCGCAGGAAGGCCAGCAGGTAGGCGTCCTCCGTTCGGGCGTGTAAATCCCCGCGGTCCTTCAACCAGGATTTGATTTCGGCCAAACAGGCCGCCCGGTTGGCTTCGGTTTCATTCAAATACCGCTCGGCGAATAAAGCGGTTTCTTCGTCCATTGCGAAACTCGAATTAAACACCACAATGCACTTAAAATAACAACTACCTACGATTCTAGGTGATAATAATAAGCGACCTTGAGTTACGTTACAACTTTAATCGTTGACTGGGGACTTTGAACTTGTGTAAATACAAAACAGTTAATCCGTTTATTGATTTTATCAGGTGCTCTTGCGGCCGAACTTGTACTGCAACCGCAATTGGCCCACGTTCAGTACGCTGAAGGCGGGTGTTGTCCATTCGAAGTCGAAGGAGTTATTGGTATTATCGCTTTCGTCTACGGTGGATTGGCCCACGTTGAAGAAGTATATGAAGGGGCTCCGGTGAGCGGAATCCTCGAGCATTTCGCCTGTATCGTCGAATTCCACGTAGCCCGTTCGGTCGTCGTACACGAACTTTTTGGATATTTTCAATTTCACCTACGAAAAGAAACTATACGGATGTTTGTCGCGCTTAAATTCGTTTAAATTACTTTAGGCGTATCGAATATTTCTTTTAAATGTAAAATGTTCATTACGTAGTAGGTTGTGGTGTTGCCAGATCGCATCGGTTCGTAAATGATCGGGATTCTTTTGATCAAATTACGGAAGAACAACTAAAAAATAATTGATTAAATATCCTTATTTTTCTTTGATATAGTTAAAGAGAGCGAACCTCGGGAATTTGAAGAACTATCGTGTTGATTATTCCGAAATTTTCGAACCTCATGGTACTATTTATGGACTCCGTTACAAAAGACAACCAGTCAATAAAATCCCAGGAAACCTCATTTCTAGTTCTGTCATCGTTTTCCAAAACTTTAATTTCTATTGGTAGAACTTTCGGCATTATTTTTCTACACTTACTTCCATTCCTACGACTTGTTATCAATTTCGCTTTCTGAAAAAATGAAATACATTTAATATACTTCAATAGGATAAACTTATCGATAAGTTAATATGCAAATGCAATTTGTAAACATTAAATTAGCATATTATTAAGCACAAACTCGCAAACAATTAAATGATTTCTCCACATTGACAACAGTCTTACTTTGATAACTTTTTTCTGACATTTAGATGGAGATTTCTTAAATAACGATGAGTTTATACCTAAAGAGGTAGACTCGCATAAGGCGCTACTAGACCTTTCTGAAAAGTAAACATTACGAATAGGAGAAAATCTAGTAGCATTTCTAATTTATTTACCTGTAGGTAGATGGCGCTTTAAAAAACAAGAAACTCCTTCGTTGTGTTTCTGTTCGCTCATAATGGCCCACAAACAAGCGTAATAATGGAAGCATTTCGATACCTTATTGGAAACTTCTGAAACAAACACAAAATTAATTACCAAACGAGACATTCGAAATAAACTATTATCTTTACCAGAAAATTCTGTACAACTGCAATCATACGAATCCTCTCCTTTCCCTTTATCGAACGTAAAATGTAAATATCCGAAGGGATGTTTGGCGCTAACTTTACATTTAACCACCAACACGGACTGAGAAACCTTCTGCACGAGCGGCCCATCCTTTTCTACATCGTAAGATTTCAATTTATCCTTCACGCTTTGGTCGTATTGCAAAAACTCTAAAAGATCCCGATTGAGCGGTAAAGGAGTGGCTTTAATTTGACTATTCAAGGCCGATTTGATGTGAACGCATAGAGTGTCGCTGATGTTCGCTGTTTCCTCGTGGCATTTGAGTATCGAGTTATCGAAGGAATTTTGACAGGAATCCACAAAGCACAAGGCCACCTGCGGGTACACGCTTGAATCCTCATCTGAGCTGGAGTGCATCAAAGGCAACTGGACGAATCCCCTGCTGTCTTGGCCGGTGTTCCGGATTTTCACGGAGTAGACTTGTTTTTTTGTGTTAGATATTAGTTGTACCGCCTCCGAATCCGTCTTGGATTTCTCCTCGAAACACTTGAGAATTCTACCTGCAATAACCAGAACAGATTAATAATGAAATAAAAAGATAAAATAAACGTACCGCATCGTTTATTCTTGCATATTGCGCTTCTAGTGCCGTTGTATACACCGCACTTGGTGCACTTTTTTATGCCCCTTTTAGTGGATTTTCCCAGATTAGAAGTGATTTTTTCTAGAGGGTACTCGTGGAAACTTTGGTTGGCTTTTAGTAGCGACGAGTACAATTGTTCTCTAGCACTCATTAGCATTTTTTTATTTTCTAAATATTTATAAATAAAACAAAAATAATACACAAATGACATATGTCACTGTCACATGTCAAGGAAATATTCGAAAATTTCTTTTTTATTTGAATTATTCCGAATCATACCAGCAATTGAAGATGTTCTTAAATATAACATTACCTATAAGCGATTTTAAGTATTTATTTTTGTATGAATAATAGGTTTTTAGAGAATTAGAAAATAAATGTAAACTCCTATAGTTAGGCAACCATCATTACAATGACAGCTTTATTTAACAGATATGCACGGTAAATTTATAAGTTATTCGTTGCAAAAGACAATAATTGAAGCGTGGAATAAGAATAAATATTAATTTCACTTCATGTATTTAATACAAGTTTCACAGAAACAATCATTTAAAATTAATTACACCGACAATCAGATTTAGCGACATTTCTATACAAGTTGAACAATAATACATACAATGGAATAACTTAAGCAGTCTTTAAAATATTAACAACTTCAGCGACCGCGTTCTCGTCGGTCACGTAAACACAACCTTCCCTTTCCCCGACGACGACGTCGCCGTCCTCCTCAGACCGCTCGGGCTCGCCCTTCGACACCTTAAACGATCCGTGTATCTCCGAAGCCTCCGTGTTCTCCAATATGTACTTGACGTTGTCCTTATCGACGCCCCCGCCCGGCATGATAACGATCCGATTCCCCACCTGCTCCACCAGCTTCTTGATCAGCTTGACGCCCAGCTGGGCGGTGCGCTGCTTCCCGCTGGTCAGTATGCGCTGGAAGCCCAAATCGATGATCACCTCCACCTCGATGGTGGGCCGCCTGCAGAAGTCGAACGCCCTGTGAAAGGTGACCGGCAGCGGGTGGCACACCCGAATCACGTCCCGGCACACCTTCATGTCGACGTCGCCGTTGGGCGCGAGGGCGCCGAACACGAAGCCGTCGGCGCCGCTCTTGCGCAGCACCTTCGCGTCCTCCTTCATCACCTCGATCTCCTGGGGCGCGTAGACGAAGTCGCCGGGCCGGCAGCGCAGCAGGCAGTAGACGGGCACGTGGCGCGCGTTGGCGCTCTGGATTTGAACGAGCAGCCCCGGCGTCGGCGTCAGGCCGCCATCTATCAGCGACGAGCACAACTCGATTCGGTCGGCTCCGCCGTTCAGGGCGGCCGCGGCCGATTCCAAACTGTCAACGCACACTTCGAGTTTAACCTTTGACATTTTCATGCCTGCAAACAAACAACGGATCGAAACGATTTTATGCGAATTGCGGATTAAACGACTTACTATGTGCGCCAAGCGAGCGGGCCCGTGGTCACTCGTCGGGGAAAACGGATTTTTCTTCGATGGAAAACTGCTGTTTTATTCACTGTTTGGATTTCGACGCGATTTTCGAGACTGACATTCGAAAGCCGCCACCTGCGAATTTCGCTTCGCTGCCGCCAAGGTCGTTCAAATCGTTAGATGATAGTTCTCTGCCCTGCTGGCAGGTGGCGCGCAAAGCTTGGAGCGCCCTATGCTCGGCCAGGAATTTCTTCTTCATTTCGTTCAATTCTTCAGTTAATTTTTGAATGTCGCTCTTGTATTCATTGATCTTCATATCCGACATGTTCAATTCCGAAACCAAACTCTGCAAATTCAATTTCGAATAAACACGTGTCAAAATGGTTGCCTACTTTAAGGCTAATTGACATTTTATAGTATACGTCGTTCAAAATAACACCACGATGACGTCACGTTTTAGTTATACGTACTTTTAATTTATACCCTCTTTGTTTGAGAGCTCTTTGCTTACTAGCGAGCTCCTCCTGCAATGCCGGACCCGCCTGCTGCGCCATCACTTTTCTCAAATTCAAGTAGAGCTTTTCGGACTGCTTGAGTTGCCTCTCCCTTTCCACTGCAATCGATCCTTGGTGCAGCAATCGCCTGCGAATCAATTTCATATACACCAGGTCTACAGTAAACATGGTATCCACCTCACCTCTGCAATATTTGAATCTTATGCAGCAAATCCAGCACGCTGGGATCGGACCCGGCCAGCTTCCGCCACCGGTGTATGTTCAACGGGTTCTGCATCTCCTGCTCGAGCGCCTTGCACTTCAGCCGGCTCTTCGTCAGGTCGCGCTCCAGGTGGAAGATCTCCTGGCGCAGGTCCATCATGCTGGCCATCGTCTTCGAGATGTTGGTCTTCTCCTGGCGCAGCCGCTTGATCTCCATCTTCAGCAGGCGGATGTCGTCGAGCCGCAGATCGTAGTGGGCCTCGCCGCGCGCCAGCGTCAGCTGCAGTATGGTGATCTTGTCGTTGAGCAGGAAGATCTCGTCGTTGCGCCTGACCAGCTGGGCGCCCAAAACGTCGCGCTCGTTCATCAGCTGCGCCACGTGCTGTCCGTGCTGCTTCAACGAGTTCTTCAAAAACTGCGAAGAAAAACGTACGGTTGGTATATAAATAGTTCCAGTATAGATTGTAAGCTGCACCTACCGCGATATTCGAACGCAGCTTTTTACTTTCGTTGGTTAAATCGGACAAGTCGAGCTTCAAAGTCTTTATCATTTCTCCTTTGTTCAATAAATCCGACCTGGAAATGGAAATTTAACCGATTGTGTAGTACAAATTACCTTTGGCACGAAATTAAATATACTTGAGTTGTTCCTTTTCCTTGTTGGACATCCTCATGATGGTCTCCATCTTGATCAGCTGCTTGTCCTTTTCGCTGATGTTCTCCTTGAGCTGCTCGGCCTGGATGCTGAGCAGCTTCAGCTTGCGCTTGAGCTCCGTGCATTCGGAGGTCGACTCCTGCAGGCTCTTCTGCAAGGCGTTCCTGACCGATCGGATGGCCTCGTAGAGGTTCTGTTGCTGGCGCAGCTTCGCGTCGCGCTCCGTCACCTCCTTTCGCAGATCGAATATGTTGGCCTTCTTCATTCGAATGTCGTCGATTTGGTCCTGTATGGTGTTGGTGAGGTCCAATTGCTCCTCGCTCAAGCGGTCGCGCTCGCGCTCCAATCGGGCGATCAGCTTCTTGTGCTTGCCGCTCTCGATGAGGAACAGATCGAGCTCGAGCTCCATCTTCTTCTTGGCCTGCTCCTGCAGCTGCAGGAAGCGCTGTTGGTCCTTGAAGGCCGTCTGTTGTCTGGTGTAGCTCTTGTTCAGCATGTCCTTCTCCTTGGTCATGATGTCGATTTTCTTCTTGTCGTCCACTATGTACTTTTTGAAGTCGTCGATTTCCTTCACGAAGAGGTAGATGCGATGGCGCAGATCGGTTCGTTCGACGATTAATTCTTCTTTTTCCCTGACCAATTTGATGTACTTTTTTTCGAGGCTGTCTCGCACCTTCGCGCACTTCTGGAGGTCGCTTTTTACCTTCGTCATTTCGTCTTTAAGAGCCTGTTATGGGGATTTTGTAGTTTTAATTAGGGTGTTTTTTTTTCATTGATTCGGTAACATTACCTTGTTTCCTACAGTTTTTTCGGTTAACTGTAATTTCATAACGTCGGCGTCGTATTTCAGATTGTTGAATTCATCGGTCAATTTCGTTAATTTGTTCAACGAATAATCCAAATTTCTCGACAGTTTCTCGTGAGAAGCCCTAAGAATATCGATTCAGGAGGGATGTATCATTCATTCGGCGATTTTACGAACCTCAAATCCTTCATGTCCTTTTCCAGGTAGTGGATTTGTTCCCTCCTGTCGGTAATTGCCTTGTGCAATTCGTTGATCTGCGCCTCCTTCTGCTCCAATTTATACATCAAATTCTCGTTCTCCCCTTCGAGGTTCTCCTTCAGCTTCTTCTCGTTCTTCGTCTCCATGATTTGCTCCTGAAACCATCGATTACATTACACGCGTTATACAAATGTATCGATACGATATATAGAGTACCGTTAGCTGCTGGGACAGCGCCTTCATCTTGAGGTCCACCTCGGAGTTCTTCCGCTCCAGCTCCTCCTGGTAGCCGATGGCGTTCTGCAGCTTCGTCGTCAGCTGGGTGACCTCGTTGATCAGCTTCTCGCGCTCCCTCTCCAGGTCGTCCTGCGTCTTGGCGGCGCCCTCGCTGCACCACACAATCGCATTACGAATATGATACCGATAGAGGATTGTTAGAATAGTACCCGTCGTCGAAGGCCATTTTGTTCTTGAAGTCCAGCTCGGCGTTGAGCTTCTCGACCTGCCGGCGCAGATTGTCGATCACCTCGATGGCCTGCTGCTCCCTGGAGTGGGCCGCGTCGGCCAGATGCCAGGCGTTCTGGATCTGGTTCTTCAGATCGCCGATGGTGCGCTCGTCCTCTTCGGCCAGCCGCATCAGCAGCTCGATCTTGTTGTCCTTGTCGGCGAGGTCGCGGCCGACGGCGAGGACGCGCGTCTCGCACTCCTGCTGCTTGGCGAACGTCTTGAAGAAGTGCTCGAACAGCTTGTTGAACGGCTCGATGTACTGCAGCGCCTCCGGGTTGTCTTCGATCTCCAGCATCGTCTGGAAGCGATCGAATACAATCGATTCGCCGATGTGTATACGATTACCTTGTTGAAGTCCCTTTCGACTATGAGGTAGTAGTGATCGGGATTGTTGGGGTCCAGGACCTCCTCTTTCTTCTCTTCGGTGGTTTCATCCTCTTCGGTGATGTCGTTCTCTTCCATGTAGTGGGAATTTCGGGGTCGGGACGCGACAAAAAATTATCAGGCGGAATTTCTGTTCACGTGTCAAACGCTGTTTCCATGGCGGGAGCCGTTTCTATGGGGGAAAATTCGAATGCCGGCGGAGGTTCGGTATCGATCAAACGGTGGAAAATTGAATTTTAAAATACCGTTGGTACTCTTTAATTGTCGGTAAAGGTAGGGGATTTCTCTCGAGAACGGTGGTGGAAAGTTCGTTTTTTATGTGGAATTTCTGTTCTCGACCTGAATCATTTAGAACTGTCTTTTAGAACCATTTAGAACTAGACTTAATAGGAAGAATAATGTAATTTTTGAACTGAACTTTCGTTGTCGAGTCAAAAACTGTTCACCCTACCTTTTAGCATTTATTAAATTCTATTGTATCTACGTTTTTTATGTGGAATTTCTGTTCTCGACCTGAATCATTTAGAACTGTCTTTTAGAACCATTTAGAACTAGACTTAATAGGAAGAATAATGTAATTTTTGAACTGAACTTTCGTTGTCGAGTCAAAAACTGTTCACCCTACCTTTTAGCATTTATTAAATTCTATTGTATCTACCTACATACAAAAACCCCTGTATTTAATTAACCAATCAATCCCCGATCAGACGACCTTAGATGGGTAACATGCCTAGTCGTGTGGTCCTCATCCTTTATCGAAGGAGTTGATCGATGAGGGCGCAGGCTCCCGACGGATTGATTTCCGCGATGCACCGGGGCGCGGGCTCCATATCCCTCTTCGCGCTCCGAATTCGCGTCGCGGCGGCATTCCCGATCCGTTCGCGTTCGATCCGACGCCGCGGGATTATTCCATCCACCTGCGTGGACGATGCCGGAAGGCGGAAGCCGTCCGGGTCCGGAGTCGTGACTCGCGAGCGATGCTCGATGCTCGATGCTCGTCCTCCGGACGGCGGGTTTTGTGCCGAAGGATCGTGGTCCTTTGTTGATATGGTGAGTAAAGCGTTCGAATCGTCGATGAGGTTTCGTTTTAATTCGATGTATCGTTTAAGTCGCGCGAATAGGATGTTCCAGTCGCGGATTGTTCGTGTAATTTTCGATGAAGCGTTGTTTTATTGTTCGGAAAAATATTAAAGTTAGACGAATTGAGGAAAAATATTCTCACTCGAAAACTACGAGGGTAGGGTAAAAAGTCTCGGCCTGAGTCGTTTAGAACTGTCTATAGAATTTTAGAACGCCCAATAGTCATTTAGAATCTTCCAGAATCGTTTAGAACTGTCTAGAACCATTTAGAACGCCCAATAGTCATTTAGAATCCTCCAGAATCATTTAGAACTATCTAGAACTGAATATTTCGACTTAACTAATTTTTGAACTTTTGTTCTGAGGCCGAGAACTTTTCACTATACCCTTGTATCTCAAATGAAATGTTTTAATCTATACAGGGTGTCTAGAAAACAGATGTCAATAGTTTAATAAATTTGTTAATTTGAGTCGCCATTTTTGAGCTACAGGCAAAGTGTGAGCTAGTTGAAAATTTAAAACATTCTTACGTTTTATTTCCATGGGAATATCAATTTTTGTGGTGCGCAATTTAGTGATAAAATGAAGTTAACATTATTATTGTTTTAAATTGATATGATTGTTTTATAAATTAAAGTGCAATTTTTTCCTAAATAAATTAACTCTTCTCATTCGCATCCGGAATCAAACGAAGGGGATCAATTTAAATCGTTTCTTATCTATACACTATTTTCATTCTATTCCGGAAATCCTATCTAAAATAACCGTTTTCAAGGCGTCATATTCTCCGATAAAAAAAGCAAATCAAACAAAGTATACAGCAAATATAATTTTACGAAAGAGCAATAAACAAATTGGTCGAATAGCCGCTTTCACGTGTGCCAATATTCCCACCCGCCAAAGTATCTTATGCTAGCATATTCAAATAATATGCTTATCAACAATTCCATTTGTAGTTAGAGCGTCGGTCCGCTTGCATTTCGAAACACTGTTTCGCGAAATACTGTTTAACAATTCGATATAATTAGCGCTTATTAATTTTTATACTGCATCAGTTCCTGCGAGGGTCAGGGTGCAAGATGAACGTCACTATTTCCAGTAAGTGTTTACTCGACATTTTTTCGAAAAAAATAACTAGGTTTAATAGAGTGGAAATAACGTTTTGAATGGCGTTATTATTAATTTAGCAATTCATAATAATTTATTACTAGGATAGGGTGAAAAATTCTCGACTTAAATTATTTAGAACTGTCTATAGAAGCATTTAGAACGCTCCAAAAACACTTTAAACCATTTAGAACCCGCCAGAGTCATTAAGAACACTCCAAGAAGCATTTAAAACTGTCTAGAACGTTCCATAATAATTCAGAACTGTCTTGAACTAAAGATTTCGACTTAATAAGAATAATAATGCAATCCTCCGAATTAATTCGATAAAAAATATTTTTGGAAAACAGTGTCAATGTTGATAATTTTTTCGAAATAACTCTGGTTGTTTTTCAACGACTAAAAAAATGATTTTATCGAACGTAAATATTTAAATTATCCCGTAGACGGTAATTTATTATTGATGCGAGAAATTGTGTCATTTCGAATCATCCACAAATCTTCGGCGTCCTTCGTTCGAATGAAATATTCATTCTTCTGCGATCGAATGAAATTAATCGATAAATAAATAAAGGACGATTCGGTAATACTTTTAATGAACTCTCGAAGGTTCTAATTACGGTTTCGGTCATCAGGAGATTTTTATTTCCTTCAAAACCGCACGTAATTTATTGCCTCGGGTATATTACCTACCAATAAATCACACTTATCTATTTTTATTTATTTATGCTACACAAATACTAGTAAATAAAGTTCAGGGTAAATCTCAGGGGTCTACCGATTTTAACGATCTTTTAATGAGGGTGAATCATAAATAAATGAAATATTGCGGTGAAGTAATGACGCATTGACCAGTCGCTTTTTATTGAATTTTATTGCAGAAATGCTTGAATTAATTAATTTGTTGTATTATTTAAATTTATCAGTAGAAGAATTTGTGATATTTTAGTGAAGGAAAACTGGTGACAAATTCGAATACGAAATGAGAATAGATAAATTTACAGACGCCCACTATGGACTATTACAGTGTGGCCCGATAAAATTTCATTTAAGGAAAGTATGGTTATATTTCCCATCTATTTTAGTTTAAAAATCGATTTAGATAGAGGAGATGGTGGAATACAGGAAGGAGAGATCAACCAATTTATTGCTGTATAAATAGATAAATAGATAAATAGGTAGAAATAACGAACGAATTAACGAATGTTTTATAATTTATACGTTATGTTTCAGAGAAGCAATTACTTACACAAAAGCATAATAGCGAATATTTATCGTTGTGCAAAATGTAAATATTTTGATTAACTCTTACAATTTTCGCGTAACATTCAAACAACCTGTAATAGGATCGTTTTTAAGCGATTATAATTTTTTTCCAGACTAAATAAGATGCAAAACAAGTCCCAAATACCGCACAAGAAGATATGTTTGACCGCTTTCATCGTTTCCTGTTTGATTTTGTCGATATTTTACTACGATGAGACCCTTCTGCACGCCTCCATTCCCTACGCAGCTTTCATCACTTGGGATGGTACGCGTAAAATTAAGTACTCATACAGGATGTTGCAAGAAAATGTGTTTTCAGCTCGAAATCAGACCAGCTTCACCGAGAAAACGCAGCTTAACACCACCACCAGCACCCCATCAACCACTATCACGATCGATTCAAACACCACAGCAGCTTCGATTACCTTCAAAGAAACCAGTACAGCTTCTGTCGAAAGTTCTTCTACTGCGACTACCGGTAATCATAACAGCCCGATAAACTCGATCGATATACATAAACTTCGCTTTATTACCAGCTTCGAAATCCAAGTATTTGGTGTCGAGCGCGAAGTGCAAGATACCCGATTTCCAGCCGTTCAACAAGGAGGCCAGGAGGTTCTACAAAAAGCGCAAGTACCAGTCCTGCTCGTCCAAAAAACGGCTGACTTCCGTCACAGTCGCAGACCGCAATGCCACTCTGTTCGTCGAAGATTCCGTCGTACCCTCGTACTCCAGCTCCGGCGTGAAATGCTGCTACTCCTACGTCACCAGGGCGCCCAATCCCAAAGATCCAGACGGCAAAATCAAGTAAGTCAGATCTCTATAGGAGCCATGACTCGATCAAACGAGAGCTAGGTACTAGATACGGTAACTAGATCGAGACCTAGAGACCTAGATCGTTGCTATGTCTTCTAAACACTACGTCTAGACTTGGATTATAACTGAACTTAGTTATAAAGTGAATTTTGAGATGAAATAGGTATGAATCACAAGAGAAAACCTCGTTGCTTTGACTCCATTCCTTTCATACTATTGTGACATAATATTGTGCAAATTCCAGATTATCCCAATGCAAAAACTTCGATAGCAACGTGACGGTAACCAGCGATCCGGTCTACGTGAAATGCCTAGACAGCAAAACGGGCCGCAAGACCTACGAAAACGTCCACTCGTTCATCCTCATCGACGATAAAGTCCGCGCCAAATTGAACAAAACCTCCAACACCGCCGAGCCCATGGGCGTCCTGCTGGTCGGAGTCGACAGCATCTCGCGCCTGAACTTCGTCCGCAGCCTTCCGAAATCCCACGCGTTCGTCGAACGCCACGGCTGGATCCCGTTGAAGGGCTACAACAAAATCGACGACAACACCTACCCGAACCTGATGGGCATCCTGACCGGCTTCAACAACACCAGGGCGTACGCCGTGTGCCAGCCGACGGTCGTCGGCAAGCTGGACGCCTGCCCGTTGCTGTGGTACGACTTCGCCGAGGCCGGCTACGTGACGGCGTACGCCGAGGACGAGGGCGCCATCAACACGTTCAACTACAGGAAGAAGGGCTTCGTCCGGCCGCCGGTCGATTACTACTACAGGCCCTACGTGCTGGCCACCGAGAAGCTGAAGAAGGTGTCCAAGGACGGGATGACGTACTGCACGGGCGCCGAGACGGCCGGCGAGAGGATCTTGAAGGTGGCCGAGGAGTTCGCCGTGAGGTTCCGCGGTTATCCCAATTTCGGGTTGTTCTGGATGAACTCGTTCAGCCACAACGATTTGAATTCCCCTTCAGGTAAGTATTTTATATACCAAAGGTGGCCACTTCTTAGTCGAGTGGTTTTGGATTATGTAATGGATAAGGTTGAACAACAGTTTTCTAAGTTCATTCAAGGATCTGTATCATAGAAATCAAATACTAGATAGCTATGATCTGTATATAGCTAATTTGTTTCTCTATTTTTCTTCCATATAGGCATGGACGATCGACTGGCGGAGTTCCTGGACTCGCTCACCAAATCCGGTGTGACCAACACCTCGCTGGTGATATTCTTCAGCGATCACGGCATCCGCTTCGGCCCCATCCGCAAGACGCTCACCGGCTGGCTGGAGGAGCGGCTGCCCTTCATCTACGTCTCCTTCCCGCCGGCCTTCTCGCGCCTCCACCGGCGCGAGCACGCCAACTTCGTCTCCAACGTGCACCGCCTCACCTCCCCCTACGACCTCCACCTCACGCTGCGCCACGTGCTCGAGCTGGGCGGCGCGCCCGGCGGACGCGGCGCCGAGGGCTGCCCGACCTGCCGGTCGCTCTTCGAGCCCGCCGCCGGCGACAGATCGTGCGCGGAGGCGGGCATAGCGCAGCACTGGTGCACCTGCTCGGACTTCCGCGAGAGCCGGGTGAGCGGCAAGGCCGCCGCCGCGCTCGCCGACTTCGCCCTGAAGGCCATCCGGGGGATCGTGGGGGCGTCGAGCGAGGGGCGGCTGTGCGCCGATTTCGCCGCGCGGAAGGTGGTCAACGTGAGGCTGTCGACGGGCGACGGGGGCGGGAGGAAGTTCGCGGTGTTCCACGTGGAGACGGAGCCGATGGCGGTGTTCGAGAGCACGGTGAGCTACGTGGGGGACGTGGCGGCGGCGCGGTTTACGCTGTCGGGGGATATCAGCAGGTTGGATAGGTACAACGAGCACAGCCAGTGCGTCAGGGATGCTTATCTGAAGAAATATTGTTATTGTCGCGGCGGGGGTAGCCGTTGAACGTGCCTTATAGGGGTGGGGGCGAAGATGATGTACTCTATAGATGTCTCACTCTAATGCTTTAGGTTAAAACCACGGTCTTATATTTCTAAGGTCTGGAATCATGGGTCGAAAAAGTGTCCGAAAAAGACACGTTCTCTAATGCATAAGCATAGGGAGATGCCAGACCTTAGAAATATAGGACCGTGCTTAAAACAAACAAAAATGTAATACCGGGAGAGGACGCTTAGTCGGTATTGTCGGTAATGAAGGGATCTTGTTCACAATGAAGTTGACAGTTGACGTTTGACGTTGCTATTATTTATATTTAAATTCAAATTATAAGTTGGTTTTTTAATCTAAAACAATAAAACAAATTAACAGTAACATTCGCAACACAAATAACAGAACTCAAAATTAATGTTTAAAACAGAATTGCATTTTAAAGTCAACTTTTCTGTTCCAACGCCAACTGAAAAATGATTACTTAAAAGAGTCAAAAATAATTCGAAATACAAAATGATTTGACCTTTGGTCATCTGTGTGAAATGTCTATAGAGTAAATATCTAGTCTGTGGGTGGGGGTTTTGAGTGATTTTTATCGATAGGGTGGGTTGTATTCGTTCGAATTGGTTCATTACAGGTGAATCATTTTAGAATTTGGAATTTCACAACCTGCCCTTAGAAAAATTGCGCTACGAGGGTAAGGTGATAAGTTCTCGGCTTGACAACGTAAAGCGTTCTAAATGGTTTTAGACAGTTCTAAATGATGCTGGAGCGTTGTAGATTTTTCTAGACAGTATTTTAAATAATTCGGGTGGAGAACTTTTCACTCTACCCTCGCATTAAGATATTAAAACAGTATTTATTTAATTAAAAAAAAAACGAAATGGAGAAAACAGAACCGGCCAAAATGACAAAATATCGAAATGTTACAATAATTAAAGCGACTACGCATTATAATTTAACCGATTAGTTACGTGAGCAAGGTAACTATATTCATTTCTAATATACGGATTCCCGGAGAATCTTCTTCTTTTTTATTACATTTAAGACATACTATATATCATAATTCTTCTCTATAAATTTCTCCAGACGTAATATAATAAACAAGAAGTGTAGATATTAACTAAGAACTAAGAAAAAAATGTAAAATACAAAAATTAAAATTACAAAAAATATAATACACTTTATAAAGTATTTAATCGTACATAACTAAAATAGATGAATAAATAATAATTACTTAATTAAAGCGGTATAAAAGAGAGAAAACGAAATGAAAACCTGCTCATGAGTTGTCTTTATTGTGATAAATGCGTAGTATTTAGTAATTTACTATTTTCTATGTGATTTTATTTTGTTTTAATAGAATCAAATTTATTTCTTCTAGTCATATACATACCTACTATGTAAAAATATCAAATATATAATATACAATACAAGTTACACATTGTTTCAATCTAAATCCTATATAAAATAGAATTTATTGATTTGTAGAATATTACAGCGTAGAATGAACAATTTCTTTTTTAATAACATCGAATCGATTAAATCGCTATTATTCAAGTTTGCGCGTAGTTTATCGCGCTCGATACCGTGCAATTACGTTGGGAAAATCAATAAAATTTCCAATGCAACGGCACCCGTTACAAAATAACCGTTCCCTCGGAACGCCGCCACCTCTCGAATCCGATCTTTTCGGACCGAAAAGTGCGCGCATTCGCCGATTTTTCAGTTTCCGTCGGCGGCTTTTGCGAAAAACTCCTTTAACGAAGCCATCGAAAAATAAAATAGTTATCGGTGCATTTATTTATATATTTTCCACGGCGTCGGTTTAATTACGCTTGTTTGCTGAGTTTCGGAAGGTCGAAAGGTGAGCGCGATTTATTTATTATTTTTTTTCGAATTGAATTTCAAATTGCGCGGTGATGTCATGGTGTAAAGATGTTCGGAAAAATGCTCGTGCAGATGCCAATTTATTTTAATTTTTTTTTGTTATAAAATAAACGGTAATTTGGAGGTAAATAAAGCGAGTCGAGCGGAATATTCACCGGGGATTCACCGGAACGGTTTTACTAATTGTTCAGTAGACGCGTTACTTTTGACATTATTTTAATAAATTTGTTGTTAAACAATCACGATAAGGAATTCTACGTGAAATTTAAACAAAACTTCCTCGCCTAATATAACCGATTGCACATGGCTATACTAGGAATAGTAGAAACGGAAACCTGTTATATGGTTTCCAATTTTAACAGTGACGCTGTTATTTATTAAATAATCCTTGACACCTACAATGGCGAGAGCACGTTTCGGTTTTGTTTTTTTAACGTTTGTTTCCACCGACTCGGCGCCGTCGAGGTCGAATTCTCCGTTTGCTCCGGACCGAATTTCCTTATAAAGTTCATGCACCAGGTCTCTCATCGCTTCCCAGAATCGTCATTTACGCCAATAATTACCTTAGGACTGTACCCACATCTCATACACAAATGAAGATTAATAATTTATCACTGGAACACCCTATATATATTTTTTATAGTGCGTATACTTGCGGGTTTTCAATGTGTTTGCAATATGAGTGGAATTTTCAGGAGAATTTCGAATATTGAGTGAAAATTTCGCTTATTTTCGGACGCTTTTGTATAGCATTTCGGCGATAAATACGAATTGTGTATCAATAAACCGCGTCGAGCGTTTAAATTACCCTATTTATACTTCGGAATTTATTTTTAGAACGAATTGGTGAAACTCGCGAAACTTGTGCGGCTGTCATTCATTAGCGGATAATTTTTTTAATTACACCAAGAAAACAAAACACCCTGTATAATACATAGTGATTAATCTAGAAGACATCCAATAACCTACCGATTCGAACTTGACCCAGATTTGATGGAAATGTCGGAGCGTTTTAATATAGAAAAGATGGGTGTGCACGATCTTGTGTGACCTTTATTTAAACGCTTTTTACATTGCTATAAATGCTATTTTATGTCTTTCGAACGCGCTAGAGTTGGGGCGCATTCCGTTACGAAATAACGCGTTAAATCGTCACCGTATTACATTAATTACGATCCGGAATCCGATTCGATTCGCCCGAATTTTCCAATACATCAGTAACGAAAACACGGGCGTTCTTGACCTGTTTAACACCATCGAAAATAGATAGATTTTTTTCTGAGAATAGTCGGTTTAGATTCGCGTTCGAACTAATTCGATTAATCAAACAGAGTGTCAAGGTCGGCCGGGAGGCTGCCAAATCGTACAATCCTGTCTGATAACGACCAAAAATCCCCTCAAAACATGCACATATTCCTCTTGCAGGTTTCCAATCATGGCGAAGTATCTGCTGAAGACCTGCTGTGGCTGCGGGTCTCTAAGAACAGGGACCATAATATCCGGAATAGCAGCTATAGTAAGTTTGTTTTTAAGCTCTATATCTTCGTTTATTTACCATCTTTCGAATTCCAGCTGCTCTCCATCATAGGCATCATAGTAGTGTTTACGATAAGGGTGGATTTGAAAACGATCGTGTTCGATTTCCTACCGAAATGGGCAGGTATGTACCATCCCTCATCACTTACACAAATCTCTTAAAGTTCTAAAGGATTCTGAAATATTGTAAATCATTCTGGAGCATTCTCAATGATTCTAAAACGTTCTAAATGGGTTTAGACAGTTCTAAAGGATTCTGAAGTGTTCTAAATAATTCTAAACAGTTCTAAATGATTTTGGAGCATTCTAAATGATTCTAAAACATTCTAAATGGGTTTAGACGGTTCTAAAGTAATCTGAAGTGTTCTAAATTGCTTTCCAATTGCAGTTACCGTAATAATCGTCCTCAACATGGTGATGACCATCATATTATCCATACTTCTATTAGCAGGAGTGGCAAAGGTTCGTACTAATCGTTATATTAGCGTCGACGCGAATTTCCCGGTTTGTTTTTCCAGCGAAATTGGTACCTGATGATACCGTGGATCGTGCTGGGCGGCATGCTGGCCGTCGGCCTGCTGGTCTCCATCCTCATCAACAGCATCAAGTTCTACATCGACGGCGACAACTTGAACGGGACCCTGTGGCTGGTGCTGGGGCTGCTGTCGTTGGGTAAGTGCCGCTTAGAGGCGATTTTCTCGGCGAATTTTCACTCGCGTTTTCCAGTGGTCTATTGCTACATGTGGTACGTGTCGTTCAGTTTCTTCTCGAACCTGCGCGAGGAGTCCGGAAAGGGGAAGTACATGAGGGATCCGTTCCGGAGGGAGCGGATCTGAGTCGAAGCGACTGAATCGATCTCTTTCGTCGAACGGATCGTTGAATTTAATTTAATTTGTATGTATAATTGGTTTGAATGGGACGTGCGAGTTATTAATGGAAATGTTTGCCGGTGTACTTGTTTTGTATTTATTTAGCTGTTAGATGTTAGAATATAATTAATTTCAATGTGTAGGTGTTTTTTACTACTTTCAGTTTTTACCTAATCAAATTGTTCGTTAATTTTTTTTTTCATCGAATTACAGTAGTTTATTATATGCACTAAAATCGATTGGATAAACCAGTTTAGTTGATAAAAACACCGTACTTACCAGGCTAATGATATTAATGAGATTTGTAAATATGTATTATATAATTTCGTTTAGTTCGAAACGAATTAATATTTTTTTATTGTGCAGCAACGAATACATTTATTTACTCATCAAACGTGCTGTTTTAATTGAACCACTCGAATAAAAATAGATGATACTACTAACACATATTCGCTATTTAATTTTAGGTTCGGTTTTCTTGAGGTATTTCCGTTGTAAATCTTTCAGTATATCCCAAAACACCAAACAGAAAGCACCGTGAGGAGCCGCTCGCAGGTAACTGGCGGTGACGCCTTTGTAGAACCCCAAGAAGCCTTCTTTCCTGCCTATTTTGATAAAAGCATCGATCAGACCATTGTAGTAAACGCCTCTTCCACTCTTATCCACACCTAATCAAAAACCATCCTCTACTGTACGAGATAATGGGGAGCTTCGAACAGTATATACCTTGATTGTACAAGCGAACCGACACCAAATCGAAAGGATTCATCAAGAAACATTGAAAAATCCCACCGACAATGCTGGCCAGGAACGAAGCGAGCAGGGGATTCCGCAGGAAAACCTCGCGCTCCATCAGCAGATCCTTTGTCAGAGCGAAAGAGGTCAGTTGGGACGATGAACCCACCACGGCTCTCATCACGGTTCCCACGCCGCCTCTCCACAACCCGAGAATCTTTGTAGAACACATTCGTACACTTTTTTACTTAATCCAGTTACTGAATCTTACCCCTTCGCGATCGTAGATCTTCCTGAAGGCACCGTAGAGGCCTGGATGGCCGTGCTGAGTACCCACTTTGATCTCCCTAGCTGCTTGCGATTGCAGCTGGGTCTTTATGAGGAACAAGGGGCTGCCCAGGAAAGCGCCCACGGCGCCGGTGAAGGCGCTGGCGATGGCGCTGCGATAGAAGATGGTCCTCCCGCGTTCGTCGGTTAGCAAACCGCGCTTGTACCAGATCTCGTACAAGCCTGCAATGCGCTTTCTTAGGCGGTTTGATTGGAGTAATTTCATTTGTCGCACCTAACCTGGTGCTGTTCCTGACGAAGTGCATCATCAGCGCCGTGCCGAGGCCCTTCTGCAAGCCTCTGAAGCCTTCGTTCTTGGCTATGAGGTAGCCGGCGTGCAGGGCGTTCCTGTAGATGACCTGGTGATGGCCGCGGGCCTTCAGCTCGCCCTGCAGCTGCATGCGGGTCTTCACCACGTCGAAGGGGTTGCTGAATACCGAGGCGCCGCAGGCCGCCAGGCCGCCTATCAGGAAGTCCATTTGTCGGTAGGTTACTCTGCTATCCCGAGAGGTCGCGTGAAAGGAGTTTAGATTCTCTCATTTGCTATCCTGCAAGGTCCTTTATAAAGAGCAGTTGAGATTCTCTTGTCAATTATTTTCTACATAAGATTACTTACTTGAATAACATTTTTTTCCTGATTACTTTTATCTGTATTTTCTGTAGGTTATTTATTCAGAATTGTCATTATTTTAGTTCATTTGTATAATGTTAGGGTATTTATATTGGTGTAGATTTATGGCAGGATTTATGAAAGGACACCGAACAAATCAAATGAGTAAAAATAGAGAAGATTTATCAAATACCATATAGCAATAACAATAATTATATTACAAAATGTTTATTAGGTTAGGCGTTAGTCTTAATTGCAAATGCATGATGACCTGAGGAAATGGCAATAATTAGCGAATATTTATCAACTGTTGCGAGTCGGGTCTTTGGGTTTATCGATGTATTTCTCCTGCAAATCCTTCAGGACGTCCCAAAATACCAAACAGAAAGTACCGTGCCTGGCCAATCGCACGTAACTAGCCGTAACGCCTTTGTAAAATCCCCTAAATCCTTCATTTTTAAAGATTTTAATGTAAGCATCCACAAGGCCATCGTACAGGACGCCTTTACCGCTTTTGTCCACCCCTAAAACAATTATTTTTACTATTATTTAATCAATAGTTTAAGGGGAATGCTGTACCTTGATTGTACAGTCGGGTTGAGACCAGATCGAAAGGGTTCATTAGTACACACTGGACAAAGCTGCAAATAATGCTAGCAACGAAGGAAGCTACAACGGGATACCTCAAGAATAATTCGTACTCCCTCAACAGGTCCTTGCTAATGGCGAATGTGGTCAATTGCGTTGAAGAACCCACCACAGCTCTCATGCAAGTCGCCACGCCGCCTCTCCAGAGCCCAAAAATCTGCAGAACAACAGAAATTTAATTGTACAATACAAAATTTAGGAAAATATGGGGTTTAGCTACTCCTTCGTCCTTGTAGATTGTCCTGAAAGCGGCGTGGAGTCCTTTGTGACCGTGTTGGGTGCCTACTGAGATTTTCTGGGCCGCTTGCGATTGCAATTGGGTTTTTATCAAGAACAAAGGGCTGCTCAAGAAGGCACCAGCAGCTCCCGTAGCAGCGCTCACTACGGCGCTTTTGTAAAGTATAGTTTTGCCATTATCGTCGGTTAAATAACCGTTTTTGTGAAACCACTGGTACAGACCTGAAAGCGCCAAATAACTCAAAAATTAATAGCCACAAGATCGGTAGTTTAAGTTGCACCTAATCTGGTGCTGTCCCTGACGATTTGCGTCATTAAAGCGGTCGCCAAGCCCCTCTGCAGGCCCCTGACCCCTTCGGTCTTGGCTATGACGTAGCCGCCCTTCATGGTGTTCTTGTAGATGACCTGGTGCTGGCCGCGGGGCTTCAGCTCGCCCTGCAGCTGCATGCGCGTCTTCACCACGTCGAAGGGGTTGCTGAATAGGGTGGCGCCGCCGGCTGCCAAACCCCCGATCATGAAATCCATTTATGTGGATTGTGTGATTATTCTGTGTCCATGAAGGAACAAGCTGAAAAATGGTGATGGTTACTAATTTTTGGCCTTTGCTTGGTATCGTCTTCAGGTAATTTTGGTTTACGGTGCCGTGGTATGTAGGCGTAACCACGGCGAATTTCTGGAAATTTGTATTTTTTATGACATTTGACACTAACTGTCATGTTTACTTTTATTGTGTTTATTGCAATTTAATTTCAAATAATTTACAAATTATTTCAAAAATCAATAACTGCAATCTATAAGCTTCAAATAGGGGTATTATAGCTGGTATTTTTATTTCGTTAAATTTTTTAGGCTAAAATTAGAACTATAACCTAATTCTTGATAACGAAACACTCACCTAATTAAAAAAATAACTTTCTACTTTCTACTAAAGCTAAAATATTTTAAACACCTTTAAGTTTCGTTTATATATCACGAAAATCATTTTTCTCTTCTGTTTATATAAAATATTACTATTTTCAAATTTACGCACCACCTAATAAAAATGACTTACGCCGTGGCTATAGTTTAGTAACCGTAACTTTATAAAAATTCCCTTTTCATTCCATATTAGTTACATTTGACTAGCTTTAAAACTAAATAAAACAATAACAAGTAATAATTGTTAAACAACATCAATTTATTCGGTAGTAAATCATACATTGATGAAATTTACAGCATTTCATATGTACTCTCTTAGCCTTATTAATACTCCGAATACACTTATCTTATTATCATAAGGACGAATTGCTATGTATTCACATTATTCGTTATCTTCCTAATTACAAAATGCATTAATACCTGAACACCTAGCACATCGACTAACCTCCATCAACTGGCGTGAAGCGATCGTTTCGATCTATCGAAGTATTTCTCTTGGAAACCCTTCAAAATGTCCCAAAACACCAAACACAAAGTACCGTGAGGAGCCAATCTCAGATAACTGGCTGTGACGCCTTTGTAAAACCCTCTAAAACCTTCCTTCCTGCCGATTTTAATAAACGCGTCCACTATGCCGTTGTAAAGCACTCCTTTACCATTTTTATCCACTCCTAAAACGATCTGTTACCATCTACATTACTCAAACACGTACCAATTTTTACCTTGGTTATACAGCCGGATTGACACCAAATCGAACGGGTTCATCATCAGGCACTGGAAAATGCCGCCTATAAAGCTCGCAACGAAGGAACCTACGATCGGATAGCGCAGGAATACATCGTACTCCCTTAGCACGTCTTTGCTAATGGCGAATGAAGTCAATTGGGCCGAAGAACCCACCACAGCTCTCATGCAAGTCGCCACGCCGCCTCTCCACAACCCCACGATCTACAGCACAACAGAAATTTAATGGTAAAGTATCTTGGTTCGTGGTGTTATCTTACTCCTTCTTTATCGTGGATGGTTCTAAAAGCGGCGTAGAGTCCTTTGTGGCGGTGTTGGGTGCCCACTGAGATTTGCTCGGCCGCTTGCGATTGCAATTGGGTTTTTATCAAGAACAACGGGCTGCCCAAGAAGGCGCCAGCAGCTCCCGTAGCAGCGCTCACTACAGCGCTTTTGTAAAATATAGTTTTACCGTTATCGTCGGTTAAATAACCGTTTTTGTGAAACCACTGGTACAGACCTGAAACCGACAAGTAACTGAAAAATTAACAGCCACAAGATTAGTAGTTTGAGTTGCACCTAATCTCGTGCTGTTTCTGACGAAGTGCATCATCAGCGCCGTGCCGAGGCCCTTCTGCAGGCCCCTGAAGCCTTCGTTCTTGGCTATGAGGTAGCCGGCGTGCAGGGCGTTCCTGTAGATGACCTGGTGATGGCCGCGGGCCTTCAGCTCGCCCTGCAGCTGCATGCGGGTCTTCATCACGTCGAAGGGGTTGCTGAATATCGACGCTCCCCCGGCTGCCAGGCCTCCAATGACGAAATCCATATTTACCACCAGCGAGTTAGTTTGCTGCCCTAAGCATATTTATATTAAGTAACTAAAAATATTCCCAAAATATTCTGTTTTTTTTTTTGCAATGAATCGTCTTAAGTTCCGGTATCGTCAGTTTAGACACGGCCAATTTCTTGAATTACGCCTACTGGCCTACTTATATGACATTTGACAAATAGTCATGTGCATTTAATGCGTTTATCGCAGTTTATCTGCAAATAATTCACAAAAATGTTAAAATTTAATGACTATGCAATCAATTAATTTTAAACAGGCAGGTTATTTTTTGTATGTACATTTATTTTACTAAATATCTCATCTAAAATTAGAACTGACCTAATAAAAAACTAAGCACTTACCTGATTGAAATCATTGATTTTCCTACAACAGCCAAATCGTTTTAATCCTCTTCAAATTTTCAAATAGCACGAAAATCATTTTTTTTTCTAATTAATTACATCACTATTTTCAAATTTACCCACCTTCTACAACACGTGCGAAACGCCGTGTCTATAGCTCAGTTCCCCGTTACTTTAAATGAACTTTTTTTCGGGATTCGTTCTACTTATTGTGCAATATTTGGTAATACTAGACTACTCTATATATAAATAAAATTTCATATAACATTAGATTAGCATCTAATGTTTTCGAGTTTAAAATATAACCTTGAAGTAGTAAAGTACTTTATAAATAATAATCATGCATGCATTATACATTAAGGGTGGTTCGAAGTATTATTAATTAATTGCGAAGATAATGCAGCGTATAAAATTAATTACACATATTTGAAATAAATTTAACACAAGCAGTACCTAATAAATAATTATACTTTCTTCAAGAAATTCATATACAAAGTGTTCAAATGGTCCCAAAATACTAAACACAGCACGGTATGCGGCCCTAATCTGAGGTACATGGGCCCCACGCCTTTATAAAAAGCCAAAAATCCTTCGGCATTGTAAATCTTCATCATGCAATCCTTGTAGCTAGTATATAAAACCCCTTTCCCGCTAGCATCGGTCGCTAAAAACGAGTTTATTAATTCGATTACTCCAAAAACAAATCGATACTCACGTTGATTGTATATCCTCGTCATGATCAAATCGAAAGGCGTCATGGCCAGAGTAATGGCAACCCCGCCCGCCATACTAGCCAAAAAGGCCGTCAGTATTTTCTTATCGTAGAAATAATCGTACTCCAACAGCCGCCTCTTCGAGTAATCGAAGCTCAACAACTGCATTATCGACCCCACGGCTGCCCTGGGAACGGACGCCGTGACTCCCCTAAAGAGCCCCTTCATCTGCAACGAAAACCGGCGTGATTGCGAGACGACAAAAGGGATTTTCCTACCCCTTGTTGGGCGTAAATGTTTTTGAACGCCGCCAGCATGGTGGTGTGCTCGTGCTGGTGGCCCACAGCCAAAGAGGCCGTGGCCGATTGGGCTTGCAGGTGAGTTTTGACGAGAAACAACGGGCTCGACAGCGTTTGGCCCAAGATGGCGCCCAAGGCGGACACCGTCACGCTCCTGGACACGATCAGATTCCCGTTTTTGTCGTTCAGTAACTGCTTATTGGTCGCCCACTGGTAGAATCCTGCGAACCGCTCGGTTAAATATACAACGTAAACGATTTTTAAAGCGATTAGATGCAAGGAAATTACCTAACCTGACTCCGTTTAGTACGACTTGCACCCAGAGGGCGGGCACCAGGCCCTTCTGCAGGGCGAGCAGCCCGTCGTTTTTGGCTATGACGTAGCTCGAATGGAAGATGTTCCTGTAGTGGACGGCGTGCTGGCCCTTCGCCCGCAGCTCGCCCTGCAGCTGCATCTTGGTTTTGAGCACCTCCAAGGGGTTGGTGAAGAGGCAGGCGCCCATTCCCGCCGACGCTCCGATCACGAAATCCATGCCGCGCGTCCTGCCGAAAATCGAAACTAATTTTAATCGTTTTCTATCGACCTTCTATATGGTGCGGTTTGTATTATTTGCGTAAGGCTATTAGGTATAATTTTATCGGAGTGAGGAAGGCTTTTGAATAAACATGAGCGTAGAAATAATCTGCATTTCAACAAGTTTCTCATCTGCGATTGGGCGTTTGTAATTAACGTATAGTTTTCCACGCCAATGTATTATAATAATCTTATCTTAAAAAGATAAGTATATTGCATCGAATTAAGCAAACGACGTGCGGTTCAACAAAGGTTATTAAATAAAACAATGAACATTTCATCGATTTTTCGGTGTATTTTATAACAAAATATATTATTTACAATTAAAACCCTTTGTAAAAATCGTTCAGTCGTTCCCAAAACATCAAACACAGCACGCTATGCGGCCCCAATCTCAAGTACATGGGCCCGACGCCTTTGTAAAACGCCGAGACGCCTTCGGTTTTGTATATCTTCCTAACGCAATCCCCATAGCTGGTGTACAACAAACCTTTCCCCTTCGCGTCGGTAGCTGCAAAATAATCAAAAAGTTATCTTCTACTGCATTGTTATCTCGAAAAGAAGCTTACGTTGATTGTACAATCTGGTCATGACGAGATCGAAAGGCGTTATGAACACGCTGATTCCCACACCTCCGACCATACTACCCAAAAACAGAGTGAGCATTTTTTTATCCTTGAAATAGTCGTATTGCAGCAGCGCTTGCTTGGAGTAATCGAAGCCTATTAACTGCGCAATCGAACCCACCGCGCCTCTCGGTATCGCGGCGGTCGTTCCTCGAAACAACCCCTTAACCTGAAGCACCAATCGATTAACCAACGCAATTTTTCATACCGCAAATACCAACGCCGTTTTTCTTGTAGATGGTGCGCAGAGCGCTCCAGGTACCCCGATGGCGGTGCTGGTGCCCCACCGCTATGGCGGCCGCCGCTTGCGTTTGCAGGTGCGTCTTTATGAGGAACATCGGGCTGGACATCACCTGGCCCAGCACGCCGCCCGCCGTCGCCGCCGCCACCGTATTCGCCAGCACCAAATTCCCCTTGTCGTCTTTGAGGAGGTCGCGGTTGTTGGCCAATTGATAGGTGCCTGAAACGTGCGATTTAATCCGGCTCGTTCGCGACGGACGCGGACGCTTTACCGAGCCGCATTCCGTTCAGGAAGAGCTGCACCCAAAGAGCGGGCACCAGTCCTTTCTGCAACGACAGCACCCCGTCGTTTTTGATGATAACATAGGTGGCGTGCACGACGTTTTTGTAGTGCACCGCGTGCTGGCCTTTCGCCTTCAGCTCGCCCTGCAGCTGCATGCGAGTTTTCAGCACTTCCAACGGGTTGGTGAAGAAGCAGGCTCCCATGGCCGCCGAGGCGGCTAGCACGAACTCCATGTTTGCCTTATACAGTCACCTGAAAGTGCGCTTTATCTTACACATCAAGAGGGAATCCACCAAATTAGAGCCTTAAATGGAAATATGCACAACCTACTCAAGCCAAGGTTAGGATACTGAAACCGAGCACCCCTATGAAGGTCTCTATCTTTCAGTTTCAGGCTCAGATTAGGAGTCCTGCTACCTGTGTTAACCTACTCCATCAATTCATCAGTCCCCTATGCACAACCTATGCAGCATCTAACAAAATTCAGACACTGAGGCATTTGAGGTATTTCCTGCGATGAAGGCCTCAATCCTTCAGATTCACAGCCCCTACAAAGGTAACTTTCCTATAAATTTACGTTATAGAGGTGCTTTTCCAGCCAACAGTGCCCCATTAGGAGTCCTGCTATCTGTTTTAACCTACTCCTCGATAGTTCCACAACTGCCCTAGCATGTCCATCAGTACCCCATGCATCTAATAAGCACCGAAATTGGGCAAATAAAGAGTTGCCGTTAAAAAAATAAATAATTTATTGACTAAACCGTATCACAATTACAATTAAACCGGAGAATCGGTACTGTCATTATTATAACTATCCTCGTCGTCGTATCTATCGGCCAATCGCCTGTCGTAGCTCTCCCGTTCTGTCAATTCCACGTTAACGACCTCCCGTTCCGGTACACCGGGCGGAGCCCTTTCGTTCACCACGGTCACCGTGGTGGCGATCAGCGGCGCGATCCTCTCGTTGGCGCGCGACCGCGGCTTCAACCGGACGACGCAGGCCCTCTGCCACCAATAGTACCACCGTCGGCCGTGCATCCGTATGGTGGCGTACACCCAGGTGTAGTAGCCGATGAACATGATGCCGACCATGCAGAGCAGCGAGAAGGACGTCCAGCGCGCCGACGGCTCGTTGCTGAACTTCGTCTGGCTGTAGTACTGCGACGACAGCAGACAGATGTAGGTGATGATGACGGTGAGTGGCGTGATGAGCGTGCAGGCCAGGATGTCGTTGCGCACGGGCAGGATGGAGTTGCCGGAGTGCCAGCACCAGTAGCACACCGATTCGGTGGATTTGTATTTGAGCACTCGCTCGACGTCGAACGAGAAGTTGCACAGCTCGCATTTCGTGGAATTCGAGGCCGCCAGCCAGTTTTCGAGGCAGCTTTGGTGGACGAAGCCCACCGTGCCCTAAAACATATAGTGCGATTTAGCTCCCGGGTCGGCGCCGGCGAGAACAAACCCCGTAAATGCTTGGATATTTGTCCAAACTCGTGCACTAACTTTACTCTAATTTACAACCGAATACATCTACTTGGAATGATTCTATCTAACAACGTAGGTTGTGCATAACTATCCAGTTATAAGGCTCTAAAGAACTGCTGTGGAATTACCAATCAATTTTAACAATTTAGAAGTTAAGTGTAGGTGAGGTGGAGCTTTGAACACCAGGCAATCGACACCTTCCCATTATCGTATCGAATCAATTGACTCGATTCGTATAGGGACAATCAACCCGGTGCCCGATAGCTTCACCTTTACCGCGTGGTGGAAAGATTTACGGGGTTAGATTCTGAGCGAATTCGATATAAGTAAGCGTGTATGTTCTTTTAACTTTGCAGTCACACGGTGAAATCAGTCCTTCTTCTTTGTCGTTATCGTAGCAGATGCGACAAACGATCGATACAATCGAAGAGGTTGCCGGGACTGGGGCGACTGGTGGGGCATTTGTCATAGCTAATTTTGAAAGAGCGAATCTACAAAGAAAGAGATTCGTTAAATCCGTTTCGACAAGGTGAACTTTGCACTGGAATGTCCTTTACAATGTTATACCGATTTTCGATCGTTTTGAATGTTAGATAATAAAATAATGTTAGTTTGAATCGTGTAAAGTGGATACAGGTACTTACTGTTGACTTAATTACATTTTATTGGATCACAAATTTATTTAGTAAATATCGAAAATACCACAACAATGAAATCATACATTCAGACCAGATTTTGACACTAAAGTGACGTTTTTACCACGTGAGTTTATTTTTATTTCATATTTTTGACGTTTCTGGCAATGTTGCCAGATTTCGCCATGATCACGGTCGTATATTCAGGTCTAGAAACTATGCGAAAAAAAGTTATGCGCGTCGCTGATAGGTTGATCCTCCGATCGTACCATTCACTAGTTTTCAGACCTTGATTATGCAGCCCCTGAAGTATTGGCAACCACCAATACATTTTAAAGCAAACAAATTGAAACCATCTGTCAATCATGTTTTAATTTCTTTAATGCGAAAAACAAATAATTGGTATTTCTGAGAAACAAAATAAATTATATTTCGCTTTAATTCAATTCAATACAGCGTGACAAACTAAACAACGAAACGCTAGCAAAAAGAGAATGAAAATAAATTATATTTCGCAAAACATTCGACATGGTATGGAAATAACTTAAGTTGGAATGTTAAACTACAAACTAATCTTTGATAAAAACACACCGAATAGATGCACCTTATCTACAGTATTACAAAATGAACACATTCCTCGCTTCCTTTCTACGTTCTACCGTTCAATTAATTCGCATGTACATTTTTAGCAACATTTATAAGTATATACTTTCAACCTATACAACATATAAATATATTATAAGTATCAACAGTGCATAAAAATTTTAATTAACTTAACATTCTAAGACAAAAGGAAACATATCAGATTATTCATTTTTTTGTAGACTCAACAAAATGCCTGTATTTTAAAATAAATAAAAAAAACAGTTTTTTATTAAGCCTGCAATAAACAATTTGAATTCTAATTATACAGAAGAATGAAAATGATTATACGAATCATACGCTTGTGACTGGTAGTAATTTGTTTTACTACTTTCGGAGAATCCATGGAACTATGCAAATAATTGCCGGATCATAAACAATCAAAAATACAAATTCACAAATCATGAATAACAAAGTGAGGAAGACAGATATTTTTCCGAAAAATATAAAAATATTTTTGATATGTGACTACATTTGTTACTACGTTGTATTCCATACTGCAAGCTCAAAAAATTACCCGATTGTTATTAGTTTTCAATTTCCGAACTACAACTAACGTGAAAAGTATGTTGGTCTTATTCTATTGAATAATTACTAATCCAGCTAATACAGATTACCAGCAAAATATATAAATTAACGCAAATTAATAGGGCTGTGTGTGACAATAACACTTAAATATAGATATAGATAATAAATAAAAAAAAGTGTACTTATTTTGTATCCATTTAGTACACGTTTTTCTGTACATTATGCAATGAATTTAGAGTTTAAACAGCCCCGTCTCATTTTTATCAAATATATCTACAATATGAAACCTGAAAATGTTCATCTACATTACACGGACTTTCGAAATCTAAACATTCAAACGATTTTTGGAATGAGCAATTTCAAATTAATTCACGAGTCTCCTTGACATCCGTAACTGTATCAACATCTATTAAAAATCAACTGTATTATGTTCCGTGGGTCGCAATTTCCGTTCTTATCGATTATCAACTACAGCTAGGGCTATGTAATTAAAAACTCTCCACCTAAAATGCTGAATATGCTGAAAAATATATAAGTGTTTTACAAAGTAGGAATCGTCGGCGGGGGCGGTCTAGAACTGCACCCAGTTGCTGTTCGTCTGCGCGTTTTGATCGGAACTGAAAAATAAATAAATTCGCATCATTCAAACACTCCCAACCTGACTAACATCACCTTCATTCCATTGCCAACGAACGTATTTTTAATGTGGCATTGAATCATAATTGCAATTTCTTGAAGTGGTAATTCATTGTGCATATATTCACCTGGTATCAGCCGATTTGAATTCGCTCCAGGACTCTCCTCCGCCGCCTCCGGTCGCTTTGGGCGCGTGCGAAGGCGACACGGCCGGCGAGCTGCCCGGCGGCGCCGGCAGTTTGCCCCCGGGGGGCGGCGGCAGGAGCCCCGAACCGCCGCCGGCGGCGCCCTGCGTTCGGCTTTTGGAGCTGCCCTCCGACCCGTCCTTTTTGGTGATTTTCATGTTGATTTTGATGGTCTCGCCGTCTTTGAAGCCGAGATCTAAGCCCGGACCGCTCGGCTCCTCGCTGATCTGTTTCTCTTTCTTCAGCCACTTGAAATGGTCCTGGAGCGCCACGTTCAAGTCGAACGAATCCGATCTGTCTCCGAAACCTATCCCGATGAAGGCCGTTCTACCTGTTACACAAAAAAAAATATAACAACAATTTAGCTAATTACTCGTAATGTTTATACCGTTATCGTCCATGATGCGTAGAACGAAATATCTGGATGAATCGCTTACGGCTTCGATGGAAATTCCTGGATAGGTGTCGATGGGGCATTTGGCGAACAGCTCGCCAGAATTCTTGTCTTCCAATTTGATGTAGCATTCGTTGCCCTTCGATATCAAACGCATTCTACCCGTCCATGATGGCTCCGCCAGATTCCAATCGGCGGCCCTGCAATAACGATAATTTACGGTGGTATTCGCTATATTTTCTCGCGTACAACCGATGTCGATTGGGAGGAAGTGGGTGGATGGAGATCGAGATAATATGAGAGAAAATTTACCTGTAATTTCTGTTGGACGTTCTCGGGGGTATGTTGAAGACAAACACCTCCGGTTTGACTAACAACACGCTTTCGTACACATCCATTTGGAAATATTAATAATGTTGCACAGAGATTTCAACAATTATTACCATCAATGTTGTTTCAAAATATGATACGTCACTAATGTCAACATTATTTAAATGTCAAAGTCTTCTTTTAAGTAACTAAATATTTATGTGACTGAATAATCGTATAAACGAAGATTAATGACTAATCGTGTATGTCACATGTCATTTCATTTTAATCGAATGTCAAAAAAATCAGAAATGACAATTCGACGTGTACAAAAATGGATTAGTAGCTAAATAAAATTCGTTTCTTTTAATTACCCAATTATTCTAAGTTGCTGGCGTCTATATAGGTCAATACAGGTATATTAATATTCAGTAAATTATTATGGAGTATACGCGTATCGCGCGTATTTAATGTAGTGCACGGATTAATTCGACTGTATTTTTAGGATTCTTGAATTGTCATAAACATGGATGAAGAACTATTAAATTCGAGCGCTAAGAAGGGCGCTTTCTCGCAATTTTGCACTAGGATATCACAGGTACCTTTAACGTTAATAAAACTAGCCTTAATTCACGAATACCATTCAATGACTAGACTGTTTTTTTAATTCAAAATTCACGTTTATTTACATGGCGTTTAAATTAGTATTCTTATCAAATCGGAATTGCATTGAACTCCGTTCTTATCTAGTTTTGGATAGATACGATTCCATCTATCGAAAACCGGGTATACGATCGGTTATTGGTATAAATTTTGCTAAAAACCTGTCCCAGATTCACCAAAGCGTATTGGATAAATGGACCCCTCATGCACGTGCCAGGTGGGCGGGTTGCGTAGCCCTTCTCCTCTTATTCGGATTACGCATTGTCGCCAAACAGGTAAAGCTCCAACGATTTGTACTCACTCAATTTGTTTTTCTAGTGGTACCAAGGAGTGGTGGATAGGACAGTACCTTGGCGGAAAATACGATGGTTATCCGCTATACTTCTCCTTGGCGTATTTTTAGCCCGGGTGCTACTAGCGCAGGTATAAGTCAATATACTATTTTATGTTCTATTAATTCACTTCACATCTTCATGCTTTTTTTTGTACGAAAATGGGTTGGTTGTGGATTCCTTATAACAAACGAGAATAAGTGATTAAGCTAATATATTTGTTATGTCTCGTTTGGGTTCTTTCGGTTTAGCTTATCTCTATTAGTAAACGATTGTGTATCTATTTAATCGTTGAGCTAATCGAATGCTTAACTATTACTGAGGATGGGATTGTTGTAATTGTTGGGTGTCTGCCTCTTCCACCACTTCAATAAGTATAAGTTAGAGGGTTTGATGAATTAAATATTAAATTGGGTAGTTTTTGTATGTTTATTTCATCAAACCGAATCGCTTGGATATTCGCCAAACGGAATAGAAATGTAATGTTTGTTTCAGGGATGGTATATAATCACATACGCGTTAGGTATATATCATTTAAATTTGTTTATAGCGTTTTTGACACCAAAAATCGATCCTGCAATGGACTTTGATGGTGAGTTTACGAGTATTTTCTGTGTATTTCATTTTCTTTGAGAAATGTGTGTTTTAGGAGAAGAAAATGGGCCCGAATTGCCAACGAGGGCCAACGAAGAATTCAGGCCTTTCATAAGAAGGTTGCCGGAATTCAAGTTTTGGTATTCGGTGACGAAGAGTACTCTCATTGGTTTTATTTGTACATTCTTCGAATGCTTTAATATCCCCGTGTTTTGGCCGATATTGGTCATGTATTTTATTACGTTGTTCTGTATTACGATGAAACGACAAATCAAGGTAAAGAAATCAGTATTTTTTTATTTATTTGTATTAGTAGAAAATGGATGTTTGTTGCATATCGATTATCTTCTTTTAGCACATGATAAAGTACAGATATTTGCCGTTCACTCACGGGAAACCGAGGTACCAAGGCCACGAAGAGACGACAGGCAAGGTGATTATATCTCCTAAGTGACGGATAATTGTAACTTGATAACTTTTTTGCAATTTGTATACAACAATAAAAGTATTTAGAACAAGATATTCGTTCTTTAGGCAATTTATAACCAAAAAAAACGATTTATAAGTTTATTTTAATACCAATATTCGGGTTTGCAGTTGAATATCTAAATATTTCTCAGTACAATTTACATGTATATAATATTAAGCAGGTCTTGCGAATATTTCGATTACCTTTAAAAAAGACAAATTCATTTTCGAATATTTGAAATATTGTATTCATGGGATCTGAAACTCAAGGTGTATTTATGTAATTTTAACGTAGGAAATTGTGTATCAAAAGTTTTTCCTTGAATTCGGTCATTTTTCTTTATATTATGTTGTGAAAATAAAAATTCCTAGAACCCTTAAATAATGCATTTTTGCTTCTAACAATTCAATATTTCATAGTAACAGGTTTCCATTTTGCTCTTCATTTTGTTAAAAATGTTTCATTTTTTTTAGGCCAGTACTGGCAATAGTGAGACCGATGTTATACAGCTTTAATTTGAAACATGAAGAAACTCCGGGAAGCCTAATCCAAAAAATAATATACTTAACGAAGATTTGGTTGTTCCGCTTCGTCAATATATCCGTTTTTGGATTATCCAAAAAATAAACCTTGTAATTAAGAATAATATTTTTGTGCATAAATACACCTTTTGCTGGCGACATAAATTCCAATGTGTTTGTGTTCGAGCTAAACTCTAGTGTGATTTTCATTTAATATCTGTTCTTCGATGTTTTTGTAACAGTAATATTAAAATTTTAATCAAATTTGCCTACATATACATAGGAATTATTGACGATTTTGTTTATACGTTTTTAAATAAATAGTTATTTCCTCTACTGCAAATAAGGTATGATGTACAAATGTTCTACATATGTATTATTTTGTTGTTAATTTATTTACAAGGATGCATTTTAAATAAAACAATTTGTTCCAATCTGTAAATAATGTGTCTTTATCAAATATTTTTTCTTCCACAATCCTTTCAGCACATATTTCCAATTATAAGTCGGTAAATGTTTAATTCATATCTTCATTCATTTAAATTTCGCGCTTCGTATAAGATAATGGCTGCTCACGGAAGTACAATTAGTTCTGTGGCCGCCCTTCATCTTTTTCTTCTTCCTCATTGAATTAAGGCCTCAGCTACTTACCTATTCGGCCCCCGATGGCGCTTCATTTGATTGGTTACTACACTAGCGTTTTTGGTTATTTTCATATTAGAATGTTGGCGATTTGCTAGTAACTGTCAAAGTTTTTCTAACCAAACATTTCAAAAGTTTTAAGAATGTTCAAAAATTCGATTCAAATTTGTAGGCTTTGCACGAATGCGGCTGATTCTCCGTTAACTTTGTACAAATACTTGATAAAAGAGTGCCGTAAATTACCAAAAGGACCGAGAGAACACTATCAATTTATGATTAAACAGGTATGTCGTCTTTCACAATCACCTTATATTCTCTAATAAAATTATTTTTAGAGCTTTAAGCAGCATGTTAACGAACAGGATCCGCTGAGAATAAAGCAAATTATAAAAAGAGCATACGAAGACGCAGATTGGATTACCAAGAAGGTTTTTTCTGTAGTATCACAACTATTAAATATCCTATTAACCTATTAAATTTTTAGTATCTTAGCAAGTGACCATGTTTCCTGTACCTCTAGTAACAAGTAGTGAATGCTTCACGCCTTCCTTATTTTGGGAAGTAGTTCAATTGTACCATAATCGACCGTTCCTAGCCAATAAACTCATCACGGCCGTTACAAAAGTTCTGTTTTACAGAACATCAAGTTCGCACAGTAATTTAATCGAGCTCTTTTCTCCTGCTGCAGTATTGTACGAAAAAAGGAGACTCAAAAGTCTCTCTAAGGAATCCATTAGTGTAGATTTCATTAAAAGTTTCATCGAACCTTTCGATAAAAATGTACTACTCACGGAATCGAACGAAGAAGAGTTTAATACGGATTTATCCAATACATTTATCAGTGTACAATTATTAATGTCTCGAAGAAACACCGATCATGTAGTGCTAGAAATCGCTATATTCGACAAAGATAAGAACTCCGCTGTATTTATAGGTATTTCTATCCAACATTTACACGATTGTAAATCTTAAAGTTACATTCTTCAGGAGTGTACGAGGAAAAAGAAGAAACACTAACGCCCAGATTTCCATACCAGTTCCACTGCAGCGGCAGGACTTTCAAGATTAACCTACTGAATTTCGAAGATGCTGACAGCCCGCAAGCCGAATGGTTAGCCGATGTTCTCTTCCCGAAACTCGTCAAATGGTCCGAATGCGAAGCAGAAAAGAAGAGTCCCATAACAACGTTATCTCTAGTACCAGCCGATACGTTCAGTGTCATTTACAGCCGGTTGAAGAAGACCTACGTTGCTGATTTGTTGAAGGTATTTAATTGTGTTGATAGTTCTATAATTTTACAATATGTGTGAATTCGTAGGATTGGTCGGCGAAAACCAGTACCGATCCGCAGAAGTACATCTTCGAGGACTTAGCCATAGCCAGCTATTTAATATGCATCTGGCAGGAATATAATAAAGAGGACATTTATTTCGTCGATTGCGGCTGCGGCAACGGTTTATTAGTCTACGTGCTCGTTCGAGAGGGCTACAAAGGCCGAGGGATCGACATAAGGAAGCGCCCCGTGTGGGATATATACCGAAATTTCACCAACGAATTAGAGGTACTCGAATAACCTGATAACTCATCGGAGTGTTACGCCTCGATTGGATCTTTCAGGTGGGAACCGTAAGGCCCGAATCGAGCTATCCCGAAGCCACGTGGCTGATCGGCAACCACTCGGACGAGCTGACGCCCTGGATACCGGTGATGGCTCTGAGGAGCTCGTCGAGGACGAATTTCTTCGTTCTTCCCTGCTGCCCGTTCGATTTCGACGGTAGGAAGTACGTGAGGCGGGACACTTCGGTGAGCTCCTACACCGACTATCTGAATTACGTGAAATCGGTGTGCGATCGATGCAATTTTACCACGAAAATGGACAAATTGAGGATACCGTCGACTAAGAAGATATGCTTGATCGGAGTGAACAACAACGGGGAGGATGAGATTAAAGTTACGTTGAGGGACGTGGAAGGGTTCGTTGAGAGTAAGATGAGCGGGGAGTTTAGGCCTCGATCGGCGGTGGAGCCGGTGCGGAATTGCACGCAAATAAACCGGAATATCGTAGATAAGCTGATACATTTCTCGGTTAAATTGCTGACGGAAAGCGAGGATTTTATCGAGAAAAGCGACGGTGGTCGTTGGAACAAAGGATCTACTATTTCCATACTGGATGTATCGATGAAGGTCGACAAAGGGGATTTGAGGGAATTGAAAAGCCAATGCGGCGGGCTGCAAACGCTATTCAGGAATTTTCGGTATATTTTCGAAACGAGCGGCGGAAACGTGCGGTTAAGAATACCTCCTACTATTCACGTTACGAAAGGAAAGTACAAAAATAAACCTTGTTGGTTTCAGAAGAACCATCCCGATGGGTGTTTTAACGCTGATAAGGATTGTAGTTATTTACATGAATAAATAAATTGTTAAGAATCACGAAAAATAACAACTAATTTATTCGATTTACTACTATAATCAACTTTGCACATCGAACCCGTTTCGTACAATATATAAATTAATCAGAAACCTTCCACGATTCCGGGAATTCCCTCTTGGCGTTCGGCGTTTCTCCATTGGAAAAAGATTCCTTGTTTTTCAGAGACTCCTCGATCGGCAACACTTTCTTATCTGCCACAAGATCCCATCGGAAATCCGTTTCATCTTCGCGTTTCTCCTCGAATTCCACTCCAATGCTCCTCTCGTTCGAATTTAAAAGACTCGCGCTTTCTGTTTGTTTTATTTCCTCGGGTTTATCGCTTAATAATTCCTTCTTTTGCGCGGTTTTAGCGTCATCTACAAAGTCGAGATTACCAATTACGTTGTTGTATAGGATTTGAAAAAGCGTTTCTGCTTCACCGATTGGTTCTTTAGGTCGGGTTTCGTCGCTCATTATTTTGTCGTATACATCGGTTTCTTCTTTACTTGGGATGATTTTGCTGGGGGAATTTTGGGTGTTTAGTTTACAAGTTACCGAAGATTGCGGTTTGTTCCACAGGAAATCGAACTCGATATCGTCGGTGAAACGGACGCTATTCAACGATTTAGCGCGATTGGTAGATAACCTATTTGCAAAGAACAATTTCGACTTGGAATCCTCGTTAATTCCCATCGAATTGTTGCTGTCAAACAACCAGTTTTCTTTCATCTTCGAAACATCGAACGGGTTCTCTTCGATATCCTTTGCACGATTGATCGAAGAGAACAATTGTTCGTCCAGACGTTCGTAGAAGGAGCTCTTCTTCGTGTTGTCGTCGAGTTTTCTTCGATTCATCTCCAAATCCGGCAAGCTCACGCCGCTGAATTCCGTTACTTCCTCTTTGAGCTTGTATTTCCTCAAAACCCGCTCAATTTGCTTGCTGGGATTTCCGGCGTGTTTTCCTTTGGACTCGCCTTCAACGTTGTTGGGTTTTCTCCGCCTCCTCGGCATCCGTCTGAGGAACCTCCTCAGGTCGATGAATCCTCTTCGCTTTCTTCCCGATAGGCCCTTTTTCATGGTTCCTTCGGCTTTCGATTGATTGGTGCCTTTGGGAGTCTGCTTGGTCAAATCGGGGAGTTGTCTCGATGTTTTCTTCTCGTTGTAAATCGGTTTGACTGGACTTGCTCGAGATTTCTTCTTTGCATTGTCTTTGGGTTCGATGATTTTTGTAATTGTGCCCTTAGCTTCTATTTTATTACATTTGGTAGTTGCCACTTCGGTAGCATCACCGGTATCGGCTTCTAGCAGGTAGAAGTACATCAAACTACCCGGAGGAGGTTTCGTTCTGATTTCATTCGTGTCTGTCGTAAAATTTTTTGTTTCGTTTAGTTTTTCGTTCGGTGGAATTTTGCGCAAGTGTTCGTGCGTTATTGTTAACCAGTGCTCTTTTCCTGTTACTTGTCTTTTAGCAGGAATATCTGGAGAGAGTTGCTTTTCGCCTGTTTCGTTATTTTCGGCCAGACTTGTAGAAGTAGCTTTCGAATTTCCTGCTGGTGGGGCGTCTTTGGGCGGTCGTTTTTTGGTATTTTTACCTGTTGGAGGAAATTGTGTAGGAGAGGTTTTTTTTATTCTGAAATTTCCTTCTACGTGGTAAAAAGAGGAATCGGATATGTTTGTTAGGAAGACTTTAAGAGTATCTTCTATCACATCTAACTTTGATTGGATTTTAGTTTTTTGCTCTGTCTGCTTCTCGCCTTTGATATTCGCTAGGTTTTTCGTATTTGCGTATTCACTTTTTACCTCTTCGATCTTGACGAGGATATTCCTCAAATTTTCCAAAATTAGTTCTTGTTTCTTCAACAATTCCCCGCTAGCTTGATTAAATGGAATCGTTTCTTCTTTCTTGGCGAATTGCTCTACCTGGAGTAAATCGTCTTCAGACTTTAAAGAATTCACTTCTTTTATCTTCTTCAGCAGTTTCTCCACGTTATTCGAAGTCTCTTCCACTAAGTTTAGCAAATCAACTCCCGACGAGACGTTTTTCTGGTCGATTTTTCTCGAAACTTCGGCGTTTTCTTTAAGTTTTTTATCAATTTCATCGCCCTTGTTCTTGTATTTAAAATACTTGCATTTAAGGAATTTTGTTGAACTCGTAGATCCACCTGCATCTGTTACAATGCCTACAGCTTTATCTTCTTCTTTCACATTTGCTTTGTTTAAATCAACCGAATTATCGATAACTTTAGCAGGTTTTAGGTTTGCTTCAGGTTGGCAGGGCAATTCAGGTATCAGATAATCGTTCGAGTCCAACTCGAGTGTCCTCAAAGTGATCCTAGACAAGTTTTGTTGTCGAATCTGCTCCTTATGACCAGCATTGAAGCCGGTGTGAAAAGGGCTCTTCGTTTCCCGATTACTCAGATGTATTAAATCAGTTTTGGACTTTGCTTTGGTTGCTCCCTGATTCCTGTAATTTACCAAGTTTATTTCGGATTGGTTATTATAGGTGTAGTTTTTCGAATTGCTGCTATTTTTGAAATCTACTAAGCTCGTATTAGATTTGATAAAATCATCTAATTTGCATGTTATTGGACTGGTGTTAGTTTCATTTACTCCAGAAAGATCTGTATTCAAGCTGGTAGATTTGGATTTATTTATTATTTCTTCATACGGCTCGTTTGTAATTAATGAATCTGTTAGGTTAATTTTAGGGGTGTCCATTTCTAGTATTTCCCTGTATTCTTCGTTAAAAGTACTCTCCATATTTAGACCCATGTAATTTATTGTGCTAGTTTCTGGATTGTTTTTAAATTGTTTATTTGTAATATCGGAAATTCTAGACTCTGTTTTATCTACACTCTGCATTGTTAGAATTGCCATGAACTTCTTCTTTTCGAATAAATCTTCCTTTGTATCATTTATGTTGAGGCTTTTATGGGTTATTGGGCTACCCACAAAGTCTTTGACCCGTTTCTCTTCGTCTTTATTCGTTGGACTGGCTTTTGGAACATTGATTTTTGGTTTGTTGAGCCTGTATTGGACAATTTCTGCTACACTTGCGTTGGGTTCGGTTTTTTCGAGAATGTCCTTACTTTCTTTATCTTCGAATTGTTTGTGAGTTATCGGAGGAGATTCAGATTTGTTTGCTATTAAAGGATCTTTGGTTGCTTTTGAAATATCGTTGATTTTTTCCTTCGTTTGTGTTATATTTTTAGTTTTGTTTTCTTCACTTACATTAGGTTCTAGACTAGTTTTATCCTTGGTTAGTTTAGGAACATTGTGGTCAATTGTACGAGATTCTAGATTAACTTCAGATTTGTTTACTTTTGAAACATTATTCTCATTTATACAAGATTTTGGACTAACTTCAGACTTCACTGCTTTTACAACAACATTTTCATTTGTACGAGTACTTGGACTAACTTCAGACTTGATTATTTTCGAAACATTGTTCTCATTTGTACAAGATTTTGGACTAACTTCAGACTTGATTACTTTTTTAACAGCGTTCTCATGAACATTAGGTTTTGGACTAACTTCAGACTTGATTACTTTGGAAACAGTTTTCTCATTTATACAAGATTTTGGACTAACTTCAGACTTCAATACTTTTGGAACAACATTTTCATTTGTACAAGATTTTGAACTAATTTTAGACTTCAATTCTTTTAGGACAACATTTTCATTTGAACGAGTACTTGCACTAACTTCAGACTTGGTTAATTTTTTAACAGGTTTCTCAAGTGCATAAGGTTTTGGACTAACTTCAGACTTCAATACTTTTGGAACATTTTCATTTGTACCAGATTTTGGACTAACTTCAGGCTTGATTATTTTTCTAACAGCATTCACGTGTAGACAAGGTTTCGGGCTAATTTTAGACTTTAACACTTTCGGAACAATGTCTTCATTCGTACGAAGTTTTGGACAAACATCCGACTTGATTACTGCTGAAACATTTTTACAGGATTTTGGACTAACATCGGCTATGGAACGCACTTTCGGAACGATGCTTTCAATTTTTGAACCAGCTTTAGGTATGTCCAATTTTGGAGAATCCCCACTTAATTTGACAAATTTATATTCTTTATCTGCGCTTTCAAAATCTATTAGACCGGGCTTAATTTGGTAACTTTTGAGCACTTCTTTCAAACGAGAATTCTTGTATTTTACCGGACGAACTTTATATTTACTGAATTTAATAATGTTTCTATTCGGAATCGCGGTTTTACTTTCTTTATTTTTCACACCCGAAATGCTCAATTCTGACTTGTTTTCAGCGCGTTTTGTATTATTTGTAGCTTCGGGTTTATTTAACTTCACGATAATTCTACCTTTCCTAGAAATGTTTCTAAAATCTAACGAATCAATATTAGGCTTGCTTTTTACTTTAATACATGGATCAAAATCCAGGCTGTTTTTCCTCCATTTTACTATTACGTCTTCTAACTCCACCTTCGGTAATTGCTTCGTCGTTTTAAGTCCTCCGGAATGTTTTTTAATATTCTTATACGCTTTCGTTTTCCAAGTGAGTTTCAATTGCGGCGTTTCCTTCACTTCTATCTCTTCTTTAATGCTGTTCGCTGTGAGTTTACACAATATTGTAGGTGCATCTCTTCCTGGTTTCTTGTGCGACTCATTTCCACATTTTATGCTCTCCTCGGTGATGGAACTTCTATTTCTATTCGCTTCTACGTCCAGTTTGAGTTCTATTTCGGGTAGGTTTTGTAGCGATACATTTCGTTTGGGCTTCTCCGTTTTACCGGTTAAAAATTCCTGGTTAATAAACGGGTAGTTCCCCTGCTTGACGTCGATCTTTTTATCACTTATTTTCAAATATTTGCTCTTCAATTGCTTCATTTGCTTGCCGATGTTGGTCTTCATCGAAGCCAAGGCGACTCTTATAGGGTTCAATACGCCCGGTTCTGTGTTATTTTTCTCGTCTGTTTCTGGTGTGTTCTTCGTGTGACGATTTCTGCAGGGGTTTGTGCTGGTCCAGGAAAGGGCGCGTTTGATTCTTCTGCTGGATCGAATAATGGGATTATCGCTTTTAGATGACGCGATGTTGATGGTTGTTTTAGTTGGTGATCTTTTCAGTTTGAGAAATGATGAAACTTGGTCTCGAAGCGATTTTACTTCGTGGGTCTCATCGAGCAAGTCCTTGTTCGCGTCGAGTCTGTTCCAGGAATCCCAGGAGAGGCCTGTAAGCAATACGAGTTTGGAATTGTATCGAGTAATTGCGATCAATTGGTTAAATTACCTTTATCGCGACATTGCCTGAAAGGATGTTTCGATAATGGCGATAAAAAATTCGGTTCGGTTTTTACGGATTTGTTAGATTGGTTCCTTTGAAATCGAGTTGTACAAGTCGCTTGGTAAGGGGGGTTGAATAAGTAGGCGTTTTTCTTGGATGCTTCGTGTAACATCATAATCTTCGCTGAAGGTTTCGCGGGATACGTGGATTGTAGGAAGCATTTTATACTCTGGAAAATGAGATTTTTCTCTCCGATCGATCCGAGTCAATGGGATTCCTTACCTGGTAGTGACGAGACTTCGTGTGGAATGTAATCGAATGTTTGGACCGGTTTTTCTTCGAATTCCCTCCCTTGCCGGTCTTGACGATCCTGTTGAACTCTTTGACTTTGTACGCCAAGCCGGGGATCGTTAGATTATACATGTCGTGCGCGCGATATTCAAGAACTGTATGTGCATTGAGAATTTTGAGAAATCGTCATGGTTTAACGCGGAAGAAAATTAAATTTTAATGTTCGTTGACGGAATAATTGACATGTGATGCGAAAAAATATTTGAAAATTTAGGCTCCATTCCAAAGAAAATTTGAATTTTACTGATCGAAATTCAGTTGGTAGTTGCCATTTTCGATTTGTGGCCATTTAGCTAAAGACGGTCCTGCATACGAACTAAATTTGTCTACCTGCCTACTTTGTCGAGGCCAAATACCGAAACTTCTCGATGACAGCTGACGTACACATAAAAGAGGAATATTGAGGTTAGGTTATTTACCAATTTTTAGTACATATAAAAATGATTTTTAGAAGACTCCTACAAATTCGTCAATTAAGCCACTTTAGAACGTATTCGAAAAAAATCGAGTAAGTGCCGCCCGTGCAGCTTCGATTACAACTCTACACAATTTTTATTTGCTAGAAACGAGCCATCTCCAGTGAATGAATCCGCTTCAGCCTCATCGGAAACGTTCAGCAGACAAGGCGATGGGGGAGCTTCTAAAATCATCAACGGCGATTTATTGCCCAAAGACAGTCAAGTTTTCAACGCAATAGGCGCGACAGAAGAGCTTCTAAGTTACATCGGGTAAATGTCATAAACGAGCATATCTAGATGTACCCGATCAAATCTCGAAGTATCAGACAGTAGAAATATAGTACATTAAAATATGCTTTGGTATACGATTTGTAACACTATATTCTAAGTGAAAGGTATCGGTTTGTATTTCTAGGCTGGCACGAGAGCATGCTCACGAATCAGAGCAACAATACACCGACAAGCTAAAGAGAATACAGACAATCATCATCGATTTAAGCACTGCCATATCCAAGTCTTCCGTTAGTGCGACCATTTCCCCGACGTACACCAAAGAATTAGAGGATTGGATAGAGGAGTATTCGAAGCAGCTACCGGCGCCCGAGCAGTACATAATACCGGTAAGTTCCGCTGGGCTCTTAACAAGCGAGTTAATGAATTAATTTTCGTTTAAAGGGCGGTGGAGTAGCGAGTGCCTCGTTGCACGTGGCCAGGGCCATTTGTCGAAAGACCGAAAGAGTGATAGTGCCGTTGGTGCGACAAGGCACGTTGGACAAGGAGGCTCAGAAATATCTGAACAGATTGTCCGATTTTCTGTTCACGGTGTCTCGGATAGCCGCGAAGCACGACAAGAGAGCTGAGAGCATTTACATACCGAAGCAGGATCAAACGATCCAAGCACAGTAATGAATATGTTTAGAGATTTTATTTTATTGTTGAGGGGTAGATTTCGCGATTGCGAGGAAGTGGAAACATTCAATTTTATTCGATACTCAAATTCATTTGACTATTATATTTAGGGCTTAGAAGAAGTAAGTTAAGATACGAGGTTGCTAAGGAAAGATGAGTTATTTGGTTTATTTAAATTTTTAGTTAGCAACAGTATTAACCAAATTATCTAATTAACTTTGAGAAGGCTATTACATTTCGTTAACTAGAAAGCGAGTTTGGAAATTGCGATGAAAAATGTGATTTATTTTAACGAATTTTATTTTTTAGGATCTGCATTTATCAAGAAAAATTGCGAATACTATTACCTTGATTGTATATGTATGTTTAATGAGATGCATATGTGCACATATTTACTGTAAATATACGTTCAAATGCAGCAAAATCCTTTCAACTAATCCAAAAATAATTATTTGGATTCACAGGAAACGTAAAAGTTGTAATGGTTTTGCTACATTGTGTTGTTTTGTATGATATTGAATATAGTTATTGAAGAATATTTTTTTTTATTTGTTTAAAATAATTTCACAATTCGAATATTAGGTGTAACAATCCATAAACGTAATATTGTATGTTAGCTTGATTTTTAAATCAAAAATGTTCTTCGCCTAAAACCATTTCCTTGTAAGACAGGACTTCTAACAGAGCGGAGCCTTTGCTTTCCGCCTTTACCATAGAATCGATTTCTTTGAAACAACCAGGATCGACTAAAAACACAACGGTAATTTCGTCTTCTTCCCTATCTTCTTTTTCGATCTCGATACTTTCCATTTTGGTTAATTTTTCCTTAATCTTCTTAGCTGCCTTTCCTTTGAAGTTGACTTTTAATCTCATCTTGGCTCTCTCGATGGGAATGGTTTCCTTCAGGAGTTTTATCACCTGCAAGGCTTGTTGTTTGGCCGATTGATTCGGTTTGACCGAATAATGCGCGTCTTTCATGGCTTTTTCGATGATCGTAACCGGATACGGCCTCTTCACCTCCGGGTTTAAACATTTATCAGCCACCGTCGTGGCGATATCTTTAAAGAGCTGGTCCGTTTGGCTTTGTCTTTCTTTATCCGAGACTTGCAGCTCTCCTTTGGCCAGTATCTCCTTGCATATTTCAGTTTGATCGTCTTTGCCGAACGCCTTGATCAAATCCTCCTTTTTCGCCACTTGGCCCTTCGATACGTTCGCGAAGACCGTGTGCGTTTGCAGCACCTCGTCTATGTCCTTTTCACTAAAACAAATTCGCATATTTCGCAAGGTTGCGCCCTGTTCATTTGGTTTCTACTTACACTTGGTTCCTCCATGACACGACTTTGTTTCTGTAACAGGCTATTTCGAAGCGCTTGCCGGCTTTCTTTATTCGCACGACGGCCACATTCGTCAATCGGATTTGATTCGTAGGCGTGAAAATTTTACTCATTTCGATTTATTTATTTGTTTTTAAACAGTTCAAAATATCTTGTTTTTAAGGTTATAAAAATGTGACAGTGACAAGTTAATGTTCTACTTTTGATGAAGCCTTTACTACAGTCAGTATTCGGTTACCCTGTTATTATTCCTTAATCAAGATGGAAATTTGGATAGATAAATGAAGGATCAGGGAATGTGAAGTGTATTAAATTCCCATTATTGCGAATTTGCCTCTATTATTTATTGATTGATTTCTTCAGGTACTTTACATTATGTTTTAGTTTTGAGAGGGTGGTAAAAACATATTTCTTTGTACAATCAAGTCCAAAAATATCAATTTCGATAACCACTAGCAAAAAATATTTTCGCCGCTTTAAGCATTTTATGCACAAAGAAATTATTACATTAATTAAAAATCATACCTACATAAATTATAGACATATAGAACACAATTTAGTTTGCAACAAAAGTTTTAAAATAAATGTTTACATTAATAAAAAAAATACCTAATACAAATAATTAGAAAGTGATCAAATTCCTTTTTACTCTTTTTTACACTTCTACTATCATAATAGCTCCTGTTCTGAATTATATAAAAATTATTTATGTAACTCTGCAATATAAACGTAATGAGGTAGAAATTTCTAATGTTTATAGAAGGTCACCCGTTGAACACATTGCATTGTCAAAAAAAAAAAACTGAGAAAAATACGACCTAAGCCATTCCAACTCCTCGTATCCTTCTAGTTTTATTAAATATCTCATACACTAACTAGGAAGTCCCCTGTTCTTCACTTTTGTCTTCCTTATTATCACTACTGCTGCTGTCTGAGCTGTTCTCATCGTTAGAACTAGAGCTCGAGTCCTCTTCGACAGTTTTTACGGGTACTTCTTCACTTTGCGCGGGTTCTGACATTTCAACGGACTCTACGTTTTCTAATCTTTCACTGGTTTCCAATTCCTTTTCCAAGTGCTCCCAAGGATCCATAACACTAGTGTGATCGTAAAACATCGACACATCTCTTGTACCGTCTCTGCTCATCATAGGAGCATTGTTGCAGCTCTAAAAACCCAATGGAACGTCATTAAAGAGTACTGGAAGTTAATAGTAACAAACCTGTCTCGGGTTGAAGTATTTTCGACCTCTTTTGTCTCCCCACGAGCTGTTGTGGGGACTGTGGAAACTCCTTCTGTTGTAACCGGATGAGTATCGATGGGGATTCCTTTGGTTGAACTTACCAGATCTAGGGCTACCGTAGAAATTCGGGCTCTCGTGATTCGAGGAATGCCTGTTGTAATTGGGGCCGTAGCCGTAATTGCTGGATGAACGATCGCTGAAAGCGATGAAATCTTGCGTGTCTTTCGGGGAACTCGTGTTGAAATACACGAATCCGGGCGAATTGCTGTAGTTTTTATTGCGAGAATGGTTCATTATTATTAAGAATGTTTGGAAAAGACGTAAAATTAAATATAAAATTGCGTTGTGCTGTTTTGCTTTCCGTTATAGCAACTGACATTGACAGTTGACAACTTATTCTTCTTTCATTGCGTTTTGACAAATAAAAATTTTGATTTGTAAAAAAAGAAGAATACAAAAGATACATGTGAAATAAAGAGAGGTTATGTTCTACAATTTAAAAACCAAAACAAAATGTTGAAAAACATCTTCAGAATTGGATTCATCAAGCCTAATTGCATTAAAAACTTAGGCACAAGTACTAGTATAGTCGTTAAAGTAACCCAGAGAGCGCCGGTGCAATTCCAATCCGTCAATTTTTGCACAAAATTGCGATATGCAGGGCCCAGAAAAGACGTTGAAAACCAATATGCATTTAGCATTTTAAACAATGAGATAGGAAGCCCAAGCGAAGCGCTCCCGAAGAGAATCAGCACACCGAAAGACTTCGAAGAACTGTTAGACCGTAACTGGAAGAAATCGAACATAACAGACATTGTAGAAACCTTCGTAAAAGTGAAAGATTACTGCATTACCAACGATGTCCAACTCTCTAATCCCGTTTTCGATAAATTAGTGGATGGATTCGTCGATAATTGCGAGCATATAACCGATGAACAATTAATAAACTTGCTGCATACGCTCATAGGGTTTCCCGTTGAATTCGGCTATTCTACGCACAATTTCCACGACTTATGGAGCTGCCTGGACGACGTCTGTTGCTGGAAAATCGTCTCGTGGGATATACAAAAGTGTTTCACTGTAGGCAATCTGTGGTACCAGTTACGATTAGGTAGATTATGCGATTTCTTGTACGTCGTGACCGATAGATTGGTTAAAAAAGCAGACGATTTAAGCAAAGACGAACTAATAAATATATATTTCTATTTCAATATAATGCGAAGAAGAGCGGTGGATTTCGAATACGAGTACGCTTTAGAGAAGCTCATAAAGGAGATGAGCGTAGACGAAATGGCTGTCGTAGCGATGGGTTATTTCAAAAGCAGAACCAAAATTAAAGTAGACGACATTCAAATAGCCATGTGCGAAGCATTGATAAAAAACGCCGATACAGTGAAAGATATTTCTGCCTCGGCCATTTTGAAAGCCCTGAGATTTTCGAACCCGTTTACGATATTCCCGAAGGTCCAGGAGATGACTGAAAAATTGTACCCGCAAATCGACCGGTTCTCCCACACTTCCTGCACCCATCTGGCCCTCATGAGCACCGGTATAAGATCTTGCAACAAAAAAGTACTGCAAAAAATATCCGAAAAACTAGTCAAGGACATAGGAAACAAGGAACTAGTACGGTCGAAGGACATCGAAAGGCTGTTAAACACCTTGACAATGTTCAATTACGATCCGAGTACCAAACCGGACATATTTCAAGCGGCCCTGCAGGAGCTAAAGAACAATCGTTTGGACGAACTTCAAATGCATGCCAAAGTTTTAATAAGCATATTGAATTACTTCAGTCTGAAAGGAATCTATTCCTACGAATTCCTCGATAAAATTTTAGATATGGAATTCATTAAAACTCAATACGGGAAAGTACCGAGAAATGTACCGAGAGATGTATTGTTTCTAGACTGTTCAATAGATATCGAATGCCCCGATTACAAGGGTAACCGCATTCCTGCAGCATACAGGACCAGGGCAATTAAGTACATATTAGAATACATCCCGTCCCACGACCAATGGAAAAAAATAACTCTAACCGATCAGTTGATTTTAAACGTGATTGATAGTGTTAAAAGCATCGTGGGTGATGAGAAATTGATGTTCGTGGGGCACGTGTTGCCGCATTTTTCCCGTGCCGACATTGTTTTGTGTAGGGACTCGAGGACTGGGTCGTTCGTTAAGCCCGAAGGGTTCGAGAAATATCAACTCGGGGACATTATGTTTCCTCAGGTTCAAGATAAGAACCTGGATTGGATCGCTCTGGTTATAGTAGGTCCAAACCATACGGTTTCCGGGTTCAATAAGCCACTGATGGGGCTCCCTTTGGCGAAAAATAGGCAGCTGACGAAGATGGGCTACAATCCGGTTCTCATACATTGGTTCGAATTCACCGAATTGAAAAGCGAACACGAGCGAAAGGAATATATCTTGAAAAAATTAGAATATGAATGATTCGTAGATTAATAAATATATCGAATTTTAAGTGTGTGTTTTCTAAACCTAGCGTCAGAATATCATATTTTAATTACACCAACCGTAATTCGATAACTTTACTTGTTATATAAAAATAAACTATCTCTTTTGGTCTCCTAAATATTCAATCAAATCTTCATCGATCTAAAAAAGGGATTAACGCATTAGTATGGAGTTAAAATGGTGTAATTAAGTGATTACCTCAGGCCATTTCTCTGGAATAACATCGAATAAATCATCTTTAACATCCCCTTGGATAACAATCTCATCGTCTCCTGTTACTGATGATCCGCAAGCGAATTTCGTACCGAAAAACTTTGCTGCTACTTTCAAATCGATATCTACAAAAGCGTTGATCGTTTATAATTAATTAATTAATGGAAATAGTTATTTACCGAAACTGTTTAAACCCGTTACTACTGTGACAGACTTCTTCTTTCCCCTAGGCGCCCTAGATACATAGACTTGCTTGGGCCCATCCTCCTTTTTCTTGGTTTTTATCATGCCCTTACCGCCTCGTTTTTGTCGCTTTTTCTCCTCTTCTACGGGATTATCGTCGCCGATTTTGACTTTTTCGAATTCTGAAGGTAAATTGACCTCTAGCCACTGCTTGCATTTCTCGTACTCCGGGTAATATTCGCAATACTGGAACGTACAAATATGTAATGAAACGTGCGAAATATACGTAAAATATTTATAGGAAGCCTATGGCATATGCGTTAAAATTATTTTTGTACCTCTATTGGCATCGAGCAATTTCCGCAGTAAACTACTTGCATTGGATAAGAAATTCCATCTCTCGGCCCTTGCTTTAATTTATCCTCGACAGACATTATAAATCAATTAATGTACAATTAATTTAATAATTAAACAAATTTTATAGTTCACTTTTCTGTTCTGATAACCTCAAATAGCGATGAGACAGACGTCAAGTCATCTGCCACTGTCATAAAATATGTATCTAACTTCACGTGTTTGAGATTTTCGAAAAACTGGAACCGAAATGGTGTGTAATAAATTGATTTTCACATAGAACAATGCAATAATGTGGTGTGCAATTTATATTAAATAGAAATTAGAAAATATCAGTACTTTGTTGACTGATGTAATACCAGGTTGAGACCGGCAGCGGCACACACGAGTCTAACTTCAGGTGTTTTGAGTTTGGACTTGTCAAAACTCGTCCCAACAAACCAATACACAAATACCAGTGAAATGGTGACTAATAAGTTGTATTTCGCGTAAAACAATGTGATCGTTGTATTAAAAACCGACAATAATTAGTTAATAAGTTAAAATGGCATACGTAAACGTAAAAGACTGGTCAGTAGATCAAGTAACAGATTGGCTCAAAGGTAAATAAACAGATCAATTAACAAATTTAACGACTCCAATTAACTATTGTAGTTTTTATGTAATATCATGAGAATAGCGCAATGCCAATTAACGGTCAATTAGCTTTCGATTATCCAATTTATCTGGTTTTAGGTTTGGATAACGTAATTTTACAGTACGCCTCATCGTTCCTGAACAATGGTGTCACCGGCCACCAATTACTCAATCTCAGGGCGGACGATTTGGAGCATTTGGGCGTCAGGATGCTGGGCCATCAGGAGATCATTCTGGAGGCCGTCGAGCATTTGAGGAATTTCGTAAGTCGCCCGATTCGAGTCAATTTCCAAGAATTAGAAACCAATTAACCACATCCTGTTTTTTCAGCATTACGAATTGGACAAGGAAAATCTACAAACTCTAGCCTTGAAGCTGTCGTGCGCGTCGAATTCCCTGTACAAGGAATTGTTATTGTTAGACGACGATTGCGATACCGTTCATACGCAAGTTATGTCCGATGTACACAGCATAATAATGACGATCAAACCGTTGGCCTATTGGCTGGACAGGTAAAGTCCAGTGTATACAGAGATGTTCCGTTCTACCCTGTATAAAACGTGCGTTTTAGGTCGCCTTTCGCAGGTGATAAGGATTACGTTGAATGCAAAACGAATCTGTTGCAATTGGGTTTCGAAATGGCCACCAGCGCTCACAGGGGAATATTTTCCGAACGTCCCGTTTGTACGATCAGGAAAATCTGCGAAAAATTGACGAAAATCGCCGACCACTTAATTCAGGTGCAAATCTATACACTCATAATTTATACTTTTGCTTGGTTTAGTTGTTACAATAACACAGTGGTTTATTACTCAGGAAATAATGGATCCCATGATCCTACAACCGGCAACGCTGGATCTGGCGACTCTGAAGAAAAAAGAGCAGGAATTGGGTTTCTTCATCATGCCCTGTTATCAATCCGTACACCAAATAGCCGAGATAAAGCACGGTTCGCCGGCGCACGGCAGCAAAATCGAAGAAGGCGACGAAATAGTACAGGTAAATTCGCGGTGTAATCGATCCGAAATGCATCGTCTAACATAATCGGTTTTAGGTGAATTACCAAACGGTCGTGGGTTGGCAGAAGAAGAAAGTGATGCTGTTATTGGAGGAATCCCCGCCGGAAATCGTGCTGACGTTGAAGAAGCGACCGAGACACACGAAAGTCTACGGGCAAATCTACATGAAACCCTACCGGCTGCCCAGCCGAAAGAGAAACGGCCACAATTGGTCTACCAGATGGAACGACAACGTCCCATCGCCTAGGCTGCTGCCCATCATCAATCTGCCGCCTATGAAGCTCGCCAAGTAAGTGATTTTTAGTCTCTCTACATTAGTTTATGTTATCTCGCTTCGCAGGAGCGAAGAAGAGGAGGAGGAAGAGGCCGGAGCCGAAACGGAATTGAGCAGCAGCGACAGCGAACCGCCCGACAGCCCGTTGGATTCGAAGGGGCGCATGTACCCCCTGAAACCCAGGCCTATTTTGCAGAGGCGCAACACCATTTCGGGCGCCTGCGCCGCCTCTAACAAGCGAGTTTATCCGTCCATCGAACAGTACTGGGACCTGATCAAGCCCCGTTCGAACGCCTCGCACGCCGGCTCTTGCCGCGACATGGACGACTCGAATTTCGACGGGGACGCGCAATTCCTGCGGGACAAGAGCGCTTCCTGCAACGTGGGATTGGACAGGGCGCCGCCTCGACCCACCACCGTCATCGGCCTGTCTCAGAGAAACGCCAGGGACGCTCCCAAATCGCGAATCAAACCTCCCGTACCGTTAGCGAAGAAGAGCGAAGGGGATTCTCCTGTACGAGCGGTTACTGAAGATGGTGTACAAGAAAGCGAAATTATATTGCAAGTTAATAAGAATAGTGAGGTTGTTGCAGGAGAGAAGAAGTGTAGTGATTTGAAGGTGGAGAAAAACGAAGATATAATGATGTTGAGTGAAAGGAAGAAGGCTAAAGAGATTCGTGGTGATTTAAAGATGGTCGAAGAGGAAAAGAAGATGAATACAGAGAGCGAGTTGTTAATGGAAAAGGAGAAGAAGAGGAATTCGTTGGAGCCCTCTAATTTGGACGGTACGAAAAGTTTGAGCGCCGCGAGTTTGGCCGGTTTGAGCAATGAAAACCTTTGTTTTATCGACGAAGGTGAGTTCTTTTTTATTTTACACTCGCCTGATTATTAAGCTGCGAAGCTGTGAATTTTCACGCTAATTTTCTTCTAGACGTAAAACCGGTAAAATACTCACATTTTCATGTACCAGGAAAAGACCTCACCGACCGATCCAGCATGACGTTGGACTACTGGAAAAGGGAAATCGTCGACGAAATAATCGACACGATAAAGGCCAAGACATCGACGGCGGGAAACCCGAAACCCGAAGAATACCCGAAACCTGAAGAATCCCCAAAATCTGACGAATCCCCGAAGCCTGACGAATCCCCGAAACCTGACGAATCCCCGAAACCTGACGAATCCCCGAAATCCGAAGAATCTCCAGAACATCGGGAATCCCCGGAGTTCCGGAAGAATCCTACCGTTCCGAAGGATCCCGTGCTGTCCGACGTCAAAATCCACAGTATCATCAAGAAATTCGACAACGCTACAGCGCCGCCTGGCGGCAGGGCGGCCAAAAAATCGCCGGAAGTGCCGCCTAAACCGGAAACGGGTCGCGTCAAGCCGGCCGTGCCTCCTCGTAGCGCCACCACGCGACTCAGAGGTAACTCACATTTAGATTTAAGTACCTGGAATATCGTTAAAAACACAAATTGTATTGCGTCGTAGGTAAATTGGACAAAAGCCACAGCACGCCCGCCTACGATCTTACCGAAGAAACCGAACGAACGGAAACGTTGAAACCCCATTCGAGGGATGCCAAGGAGGTTTGGGAAATCAAGGAGATAAAAGAAGTGAAGGAAATCGACGAGATCAAAGGGATTAAAGAGCTCAAAGAAGTCAGAGAGATAAGAGAAGTCAAGGAAGTCGTAGAGACGACTGTGGCGCCGCCTTTGGGCGAACTCGCCAACCAATTGGGAATACCGCTGGTGGAAAACGCGATAAATTTACCGGTCGTTTTCAAAGACGAAGTCAACAAAGTGGAGGAATCTTCGATCGATGTAAGAAATACACGTTTTCGTTTCGATTTATCGATACTAATTAGCGACCCGTTCCGTAGATCGGCGCCGCTGAACCGCCGCCCAAACCGCCGCCGCGCCTCTCCCCGTTCGACCGCCCCAAGCCGGCCTATCCGTCGGCCTCGCCGAAGCCCCGCGCCGCCCCCATGCCCTCGCCCCGTCCCGCCTTCGACTTCCCGGAGACGCCGAGACGTCGCGACGCCGATCCTTTAGAGGAGGACCATCACGAAGGACTCCTGGAGGAGAAACCGTTGACTCAATCGCCCCCCGCCGGGTGGGTCAAGGAGACCAAGATGGCAGCTTCTTGTCTATCCGTAAGGAGTAAAGGGGAGCCGGAGAGCGAGGGTAAGACGGGGGGGTATTGCGAGTTGCATAAGGCGAGCGGAGACAGCAAGGTGTCCCCGACGAATTCGATCGTGAAGGGATTGATGTCCGGTAAAAATAAGGCCGGCAAGAAGAAGAGTTCTTTGTTGGCGAGTAAGTGGTTGGTTATTGATCGGTTATATCGAATATGAACTGTTAATCGGTTGCAGAACGAAGAAAGGTGTCTGTAGGCGAGCTGCAACCCGCCGATATACAAGGCCACTTGTTCCAAAGGCTGCGCGGCAAACACAATCAAAACGTCCATTGGGAGAGGAGATGGTTCGTCCTTACGAGCGGCTGTATGTACGGTTTCAAAACGAAAGAGGACCCAACGGCCGCCTGCTTGATATTCCTGGCCGGGTTTACCGTGGCCTTGGCGAACGAGGTACATCGGCCAATTCACGTTTCTTATAAATTTCGAATGAACTCGTATTGTTTCAGGTGAAATCCCGACCTTACTCGTTCAAAGTCTACCACACCGGTACGGCCTTTTACTTTTCGGCGGACGATCCGGACGCGCTCCAGTCCTGGATAGAGTTGATCAAATCCGGTACGTTGCATAGCGACCGGCCCAAAAACTCCCTGGAAACCGTCGCGACGCTCTACTCGGAAACGGACGAATCCGATCCGGAGAACCCGGATAGGGAGAAAGATAAGGACAAAGACAAGGATAAGGAGAAATCGGGCGCGAAGAAGGCGGATTCGCTGAGGAAATTCGGCTCTTTGAAGAAATTCGCGTCGAAAAAGTCCGGCGATGGGGCCACCGGCACGCCCGGGGGAAGTACCAGCTTGGATAGGAAGTGGTTCTTTAATAAATCCAGCGGGAATAAAAAGGATTCCGTGCCTGTACCGACGGCGCAATTCAGGTAAATAACATTAGCGCGTTTTATGTAAAGCATTAATGGAATTATTGTTATAGATCGTACAGGAAAATTCGTTCGACGGACAGCCAAAGCAGCACGACAACCGGCAATTTCACTTCGCACGTGCAACTGTTCCAGCCTGAACAAAACCTGGCAAAAGCGCAAAACGCCAGCGTTCCGGATCTATCCATGGACGCGATTAGATCGGAATTGTGTCGAGAACTATCCAAGCGACGGTAATTTCTTTCCACTATTAAACCGGTTAAATCAATCTATTGTACGTTCCAGACAAAAACCATCGGGCTACATGCACGCCAGCAATCCCAGCCTTTGTAACATAAGCGATTTCAACGGGCAAAACCCGAGCAAATCGACCACAAAACCGGACAGTTTGGCCGGTTTCGTCACATTGGAGGAACTGATGAACAGACAAACCGAAGAGAGGAAAATGAACCCGCATTACATCGCCGAAGAATTATCCAGGAACTTGCAATACGTCAAAACCGACGTCGTTTACGGTACTACATACTTTCACAAACGACTTCGCTCGTTATCGAATCGATTTTTTTTTGTACCAGGGGAAGTTCCGCTTCGAGCGAATATTGAAGGCGCGGAGGATCATCCTACGGCGCGTCCGGGGAAACCCCGACGCTGCTCGTCGGAGAAAGGCGTCGAGAAGAGCGCCTCGAGCAGCTCGTGCTTCGGCAAGCGGCTCGGCTCGTTGAGGAAAACCCACGGGAAAGGCGACGAGGACGCCGAAGGGAAGATCTCCACGTATCCGAAGAGGAACGATCACAAAACCGGCGACGGGACGACCAACAGATCGTTGCCGAGGACGCATAAAATACGCGAGAAGTGTTCCAGGTAAATTGCGAAGAAAAATCGACATTCTAACGGTCTAATTCTCCGCTTTTTTTAGATATGAAGACGTCGCGCCTCAGTTATACGACAAAGCTTACTTAGCGAATAAATACAAAGAGCGCTCGTACGAGCTCATATACTGTCCGGAGAAAATCAACGACGTCCAATTCGCCACTAACAGAACCCTAGACTACACCAAACGCGATGAAATTCAAGGGAAACCACAAAAACCCATTCCGATGCCGCGCTACATCCACCTAAAAAATCCACCGGAAAGCCCCGAAGAAGACGCCCAATCGTATTACTCGCCCTACAAACTCGAATCGAAACCGCCGGGAGGGAACCAGCACGCTCATTACGCTCAATACGCCCAGTACAAGGGTTCCCCGACGTCTTCGTCTTCCGCTTCTTCGTCTTCGCCCTCGTCGGTTTGTTCGATGTCCAAGTCGAAGCCCGCGGGGGAGTACCAGTGTTCGCGGTACGCCGAGAAACGGGGCAAATTGCCGCGGGAGGAGCAGAAGGGCGGCAAGTTGAAGCAAATGTTCGGCGGGAAGTCGGAGGGGCGGAAGGAGAAGAGTTTCTTGGGTTCCCCGAAGTTGCATCGGGCGATTTTCAAACGGACGGGTTCCGGTTCTTGCCAGAGTTCCGGCGCCGATCGAGGGACGGCTTTCGAAGTGAGTGTTAGTGGAAAATAATTCCGCTACTGGAAATTTATGTTTTGTTATTGTAGAGCCCTTCTTATTCGCCGGAGCACACGCCGCCTGTGATACCCGATCATTATGAGATGAACGTCAGCCCGGATTACCCGGATTTGGAATACCCGCCGATCTTCGAAGCGGAAACCTATTCGTTGGCCGATCCGCAGCCTGCTGTTCATTATGCGACCTACGATAAATCGGATAAAAATACTCAGTAGGCGGTAATTTGCGGCGCCGCCTCTGTAAAAGTCTATTATTATTTTATCTTATTACGGACCTGTCGCATCTCCAGATATTTTTATCGGTCTGTATGTATATGAATTGGTTTTAAGAATTAACGTATTTTATAAATATGTATACGAGACAAAATAGTTAGATCTTTATATTAATAAACTTTATTTCTATTGAACTGATTTATACTGAAGATAAAGGCCACACCAAGAGCCATGTTGGGATTGATGTGGACAAGAAAAATAGATTTCATGGTTGAAGAACAGTATTGTTATTGACTTTTTATATTTTTGAAACTTATTATTATAACAATACCCCCTGTTAATGTTACTATCGTAAATAAATCATCGGAAACATTTAATAAAAATAACAAAAAAAAAAAAAAGAAAAACCGAACTGTCATTTGTCACATTACAAACCTAACCTGATTATTTCGCATAAACAGTGCAACGTTAAACCGGCGCTTATTTTGCATTTATTCGATCGTTTCAAATTCCAAACCTCGGTTTATCCAAATTTTCCGTTCGACGCGATACGAAACAGAACCAAACACGATTCGCAATTCGCAATGGAGCAGAAAGTTTGGGAGGAAACCGGCGGCGCCGGCGACGAGCGTAGAAAACGCATGTCGGTCGGTTTGTGCGTGAGCTGCCCGCCGGACATCAAGCAATCCGTCGATAAAACTTTGGAGTACGGCTACCATTTCGTAGTCACCCAACTGACCCATCCGAACTACACCAGAGACGCCGACGATGACGATCCCGCGCCCATAGGTTAGTATACGTTTCTGGCATCGAATAAAATTTAGAAAAGTACTATAATTATCTGTTGGCAGGTAGGACGGATCGGGTGTTGAAGAGTTCCGAATGGGGTCGGTTAATAGTGGCCCAAATTAATTCGAAGGTGGACTTGGACAGCGAAGTCGAACACATCGGCCGGAAGAGCCGGGTAATTTTAGAGCGAGAGTTCGGCTTCGCTGCCCATTTGGGCGTTCCGGCCGTTATGATTACCTTGAACAAGCCCAATAACACCCAATTGGGTAGATTTTTGTGCGAGAAGCTGGTGGGCGGTTTGCCGTACAGCGTCTGGGTCAACGTACCCATGATCCATCCGTCCAGGTAATACCCCTTCATCAAATTATCATTATTTACTAGCACCAATTCGATTGTAGGTACAGCCCGTTGGCGGACCAAGAGTACGATACTTGGGACTGGTGGAACGAGTTCCAGACCTGCTGCGATTACGACCGCCGGTGCGGATTGGTCTTGGACCTATGCGACGTCAAGCACCTCTGCGTGGAGAAAGAGCTGAAGCGTTGGATAGGCGAGCCGGTCAAGGCCTTGGTCGTCCCGACTTCCTTCTTTTTGATAAATCAACACGGCAAGCCCGTCTTGTCCAGGCTGCACCAGGACATAATCAAAAAATTTATGAGTCTCGATGTCCAGTACATCATCAAAAACGACACGGAGTGCGATCTGGCTCTATACGTTAGATATTTGAATTATTTAGGTAAAAAACTGTTCGTTAGAGATACGATGACCGAATTCGTCCAGGGTTTCGAGGACTTTCTTCAGAACCCTTTACAGCCGCTCACCGAGCACTTGGAGACTACGATATACGAGATATTCGAGAAAGACGGCGTGAAATACGACGCTTACTACAAGGCTGTATTGAAGGCTGTTCAATCCATAAACCCCGATCAAGTGCCTGTGGTAATGGTGGTAGGAGCGGGTAGGGGGCCTCTGGTTCAAGCCGTACTCAACGTGTCTATCGTACTAGACAGAAAATTGAAGATATACGCTGTGGAAAAGAACCCATATGCGGTGAATACCTTGGTGCATCGGTGCAAGCACGAATGGGACGGTCGCGTTACTTTGATAAAAGAAGATATGAGGACTTATAAACCCCCAGAGCAGGCGGATATTTTGGTATCGGAACTGTTGGGGTCTTTTGGAGATAACGAATTATCACCGGAGTGCCTCGACGGAGCACAGAGGTTTTTAAAGAAAACCGGTAAGTACTATTATTATGTCATTTACAAAATTTAATAATTAATATTCCTCTTATTTCAGGCATAACGATCCCACAGGCGTACACCTCCTATTTAGCACCATTACAAAGCACGAAGATATTCAACGAGATTCGGCAGAACCGACCGTTGGACAAATCCCTGCAAGTTATATACGAAACCCCCTACGTAGCGCACCTGGCCAATTTCTACCAAATATCGCCGCCGCAGGCGCTCTTCACGTTCACGCACCCCAACTGGGGCGAAGACCCATCGAACAGGCGGTACAAGAAACTGTCGTTCCGGGCCGAGCAGAATTGCCTGCTCACCGGATTAGCGGGTTACTTCGATACGAAGCTCTACGGCGACGTGGGGCTCAGCATCCACCCGGACACGCACACGAGGGACATGGTGAGCTGGTTCCCCATCGTGTTCGCGCTGCAGAGCCCCGTGCAGGTGGAGCGCGACCAGACGATAGAGGTGTCTTTTTGGAGGACGGAGTCCGGGGATAAGGTGTGGTACGAGTGGTGTTTGCATTCGCCCGTCAAGACGAGGATTTTCAACTCGTGCGGGAAGTCGTATTCCATTAGGAAGCATTGAAACGAGTTGGTTGTATTTAAGTTCGTTGTTATTTTGTAAGTCCAATAAATTTTGGTTCGTTTTTGTACGCAGTATTGTATAAATTTGTTATGGGGTAGCTGAATTCCTAATAGGATGAGGCCGGTTCATACAGATGAATTGTCATATTCCTACACCTGTCCTTTTGGAAGAGATTAATGAATTATTGGTATAATAATTAACAATAAAAGAAAGCGATAAGTTTTTTTCATTGAAAAGTAAATAAATAAATCCGATAAAAGATAAAACGTAGGTGTCTAGATGAAGCTTAGGAATTCTACAAAAGTTTAGAAATTGAATGGGTAGATGGCGCATCCGATTTGACAGCTCGGGCAAATTCCTGTCTAAAAATTCCGGGCGCAAGGCCGAAGAAAATGCCTCCATTTTGTTTATTTTCTAATGTGAAAAGTGTTGTGTCGGCATTGCGGTAAATCGTCGCGAAATCAAAACTCGAATGCCCGTCGAAGCGAGCGCCTAAATTCCGTACGAGTCGCGAAAAATATCGTCGTATATATGTCCCTGGCGCGTCTCCCTCGTCCAGAGGGCCAGAAACACAGCAGACATTGGGCGCATCGCGAGTAAGCACTTCGTCAAATTGACTACAGCGTCCGGCACCAAGTACAATCCCCACGACACCGCCGGCGACGACGGCAATACCCTCCGTCGCGGCGCCGCGCCAGACAAAGACCAGCATTTCCAATTGAAGAAGAGCAAAAGTGCGTCCGGCAGGGACAAAACCGTGCCCCTCGTATCGCCGCCCCCGATAATGAACCACGTGACGGGACACTATCGACGCAACGAGGACAATCCCCAGAACCAGAACCAGAACGACGTCGAGGAGATGGAAACCCAAGAAGGTGAGTTCTATTATTTGTCCGGTCAATTTTTTTTCTCCAAACCAAATAGTCATCCCGGTCGTATCGGCCATGACGGCATCGCGGCGTTGCCGAACCTCTTCGAAATCTTGCATACATCTACTATTTATCAACCCTTTCAACCATTTATTTCGACATTTATATCGCAATTAATCGCTTACTCGCCAATTCCTACCCGCAAATACGATAATCATCGATGAAATGGAACGAACCATTACGTTTTTAAATACCCCGCGGCGCCGACAACACCGCCGAACTATCATTTCTATTTTGACGTGACACATGTCACATGTCACTATCGAAAGGTTCCTCAACCTACACCAATTTTATTTTTCCCCATTCGCTTCTTTGTACACATTTATTCCTTACGATGGTGTCGATTTCGAAGCGATAAATAATTTACGTGCGCAGTGACTACGATGGAATACATCACGGATAACGGCGCGGCCGAAATGGACCAGAGCCAGAACGGCGAGATCGTCGTCGGGCCGCAGCCTGACCCCAATGCGATCGTCCAGGATGCCGAGATGGAGGAGGACGAGGCCCGAGCCGAGGCGACCTTTCGCTTTACCGTTCACAATTTTAGCAAATTAAAGGTGAGTCTCGTTGTTTTATTTTTTTTTCCTATCACTCGGTTCGATCAACCATCGGTGGAGATTGTGGTGTTAGTTTTATTGTTCCACCGACACTATTTATATATCTGTTTGTTACGTGTTTTTGTTCAAATACTTTCTAAATTTCTCGCTGTTCTCGCTGTAGGATTGATTGTTTTGCGATGATAATTTACTTGGGAAAATACAGCATTTAAACGAACGTTATGGTATCCGTAGGACTCCGTGCTGTCGCCGCCGTGCTTCGTGCGAAACTTGCCGTGGAAAATAATGGTGATGCCGCGCAACACTCACACGCAGGACACCAGAACGGACAGGTCTTCGCAGCGGTCGCTCGGCTTCTTCCTGCAATGCAACGGCGAGAGCGAGTCGAGCTCTTGGTCCTGCTACGCCATGGCCGAACTGAGGATGCTGTCGGTCCGGCCGGACGTCGACAACTTCACCAGGAAGATCCAGCATCTGTTCTACTCGAAGGAAAACGATTGGGGTTTCTCGCATTTCATGGCATGGAACGACGTGCTGGACCCCGAAAAGGGCTACATAAAGGACGACGCGATCACGTTGGAGGTGCAAGTGGCCGCCGACGCGCCGCACGGCGTATCGTGGGATAGCAAAAAACACACTGGTAAAAACTCTATTCGTCTAACCGAAAAACGAGGCTTCGAAATAATCGGGCTAAACGTTGTAAATGTTTTCAGGATACGTCGGTTTGAAAAACCAAGGCGCCACTTGTTACATGAATTCGTTGCTGCAGACGCTTTACTTTACGAATCAATTGCGCAAGGCCGTGTATAAGATGCCGACGGAATCGGACGATTCCACCAAATCGGTCGCGTTGGCCCTGCAACGGGTGTTTCACGAGTTGCAGTTTTGCGACAAGCCGGTGGGAACCAAAAAATTGACGAAGAGCTTCGGTTGGGAAACGTTGGATTCGTTTATGCAACACGACGTTCAGGAATTTTTGAGGGTAATTATTTTTTTTTTCTATTTCTATCGACTATCGAGCATTTTACGTGTATATATTCGCGCAGGTGCTATTAGACAAGTTAGAAAGCAAGATGAAGGGTACGTGCGTGGAGGGAACGGTGCCGAAGTTGTTTGAAGGCAAAATGATTTCGTACATAAGATGTAAGAACGTCGATTATTCGAGCACCAGGTCCGAAACGTTTTACGACATTCAATTGAACATTAAAGGAAAGAAAAATAGTAAGGCGTCATCATTCGTTTATCAAACGTACGATTGTCCTAACTAATTTTCCGTTTAGTTGACGAATCTTTCAAAGATTACATAGCCAAAGAGACGTTGGACGGCGACAACAAATACGACGCCGGCGAGCACGGTTTGCAGGAGGCCGAAAAGGGCGTGATATTCAAGGAGTTTCCGCCGGTGTTGCACTTGCACCTGATGCGTTTCCAATACGATCCGGTGACGGATAGCTCGGTGAAATTCAACGATCGCTTCGAATTCTACGAGAAAATATCGTTGGACGCCTACCTGCAGGATCGAGACCCCAGCAATCCGGCGAATTACACGTTGCACGCCGTTCTTGTACATAGCGGTGATAACCACGGCGGGCACTATGTCGTTTTCATTAATCCCAAAGGTATATTGGCCTTTGGCTAGTTGGGCATAGTGTCAAGTTCATACAATTATTCTTTTAGGCGACGGAAAATGGTGTAAATTCGACGACGACGTTGTATCGAGGTGCACGAAACAGGAGGCTTTAGAGCACAATTACGGCGGTCACGATGACGATATGAATATGACGGTGAAACATTGCACTAACGCTTACATGTTGGTGTACATCAGAGATTCCGAAATGCATAAAGTACTACAAGAGGTAACGTAAACCTTGTTTTTACCTCGTAGAGTACCATCGAATAATGTGATTTTGTAGGTAACCGATGCCGATATACCGACGGAATTGGCCGATCGTTTGGCCGAAGAGAAGCGAATGGAGCAGGTGCGTCGCAAGGAGCGCAACGAGGCGCACCTCTACATGACGATAAACGTGCTGTTGGAGGACGCCTTCGACGGCCACCAGGGCAACGATTTGTACGATCCCGAGCGGGCGCTGTTCAGGGTGTTCAAAATCAAAAAGACGGCCACCGTCGCCGAAATGATGGAGATGCTGGCGGACGCGTTCAAATACCCGCCGGAACAGATCAGGCCGTGGCCGTTTAGCCAAAGGTGAGACGGTTTTCGCATAGATATATATTATAGAGGTGTATTAAAATAAGGATGTGCGGTAGGTCGAATCAAACGATACGGCCCAGCGTATTGGACTTTGAATCCGATTTGCACAAATCGGTGATCGACGCCGCCGAGAACGTGAATCCGTGGAACGTGTTTTTGGAACTGTTGCCGCCCGATTCCGGGCAATCGACGTTGCCCAATTTCGACAAGGAGGCCGACGTGTTGTTGTTCTTCAAAATGTACGATCCCAAGCAGAAGAAGATCCACTATTGCGGCCACAGTTACCTGCCCGTTACCAGTAAATTGGTCGATATTATACCGCTGTTGAACGAGCGCGCCGGATTCCCGCCCGACACCGAGCTGCTTCTCTACGAGGAGATTCGACCCAATATGATCGAGAAGATTACGAATTTCAACGATCCTTTGGAGAAGGTAAGTTTGTACTTAAATCTCGGCTAAACTTCAATCAAATCGTGATTTATCGCAATTTTTTTGTAGGTATTAGAAGAATTAATGGACGGCGATATAATAGTATTCGAAAAGGAAGAACGCGAAGAACTGTCCGATCTTCCGACGTGCGTCGATTATTTCCAGGACTTGTTTTGTCGCGTCGAAGTGACTTTCGTGGATAAATGCATACCGAACGATCAAGGTTTCACGATGGAACTCTCCCAAAGGATGACGTACGATCAATTCGCCCGAGCCGTCGCCCTCCGAGTGGGCACCGATCCCTATCTATTGCAATTTTTTAAATGTCAGAGGTAATTAACCGAACGGCCTTAATCGCCGAGGCCGTAAATTTATTTCTCTTTGCTCGTTTCAGTTATAAGGATACTCCGGGCCATCCGTTACGATGCACCTTCGAAGGCACGCTCAAGGAACTGTTGGTGTTCTCCAAGCCGAAGGTGCCGAAGAAGATATTCTACCAGCAGCTGAGCATTCGCGTGAACGAATTGGAAAATAAGAAACAATTCAAGTGCGTCTACGTCGGACCTAAAATGAAAGAGGAAAAGGAGCTCATATTGTATCCGAATAAAGGCGGTACGGTGGCCGATTTGTTGGAGGAAGCGAAGAAACAAATCGAATTTGGCGAGGGAAGTACGGGAAAACTTAGGTAAAATTGTTTGCTGACTTTAGCGGAGTATAAGTGAGAGGATAAACATTGTTTTAGGTTAACGGAAGTAACTAGTAGTAGGGTATCTATGGGGCCAAAAGAAGACACACCTCTCGAGCAACTAGGCATAACGGCAACGAAGATATACAGGATCGAAGAAATACCTCAGGACGAATTGCATCTCACCGACGACGAAATGTTGGTATCTTGTGCCCATTTTCACAAGGAAGTATTTTCCACGTTCGGTATTCCATTCCTCATTAAATTGAAGCAGGGCGAATCATTCAACAAAGTAAAAGGTAGGGTGTTTAATGAAACTGTTTATTTTTTTTGTTAATCTGTGGAATTCGTTTCAGAACGAATACAAAAACGATTGGCTGTGCCGGACAAAGAATGGGAAAAATACAAATTCGCTATCGTGTCTATGGGTAGACCGCAAACGATTCAAGACGATGAGTATACAGTGAATTTAACCGATTTTAAACCCATTCCTAATCAAGGTAATCATTTTTTATATTTTATTAGTGATCAATTTTTTCGCATACAGGCTCTTAGGGGTTTTGAATTTTTTTGAATCAATCAACGTAGCCCTTATAAGCCTGTATGTCTTGTGCATGTCGAAAGATACCTTCGGTATGTGTGTCCGTTGAATGACATATTGAATTTATTAGTTTTTCAAGCAGGTAGCCCGAAGCCTTGGTTAGGTTTAGATCACGTGAATAAAACTCCGAAGCGGTCGCGATTCAACTACTTGGAGAAGGCCATAAAAATCTACAACTGAGACTGACGAGATGACACACACACACATACACATACAAAAAATAAAATAAAATAAAAATAAAAACACACACATACACGTATAGCGACGAAAATTTCCCATCTGGACCGCCGAAAGTATATGCGGTTATTCGGCCGGATTATGTTGTATTTATGTTGTACATCCTGTTGTCATTTAAACGTAATTAGGGTGTGATTGCGCGCTATTGCTTGTTCAGGTTTTCTTAAAAAATAAATAATTCAAAACGGCAATTTATCTGCTATATATATACATAATATATATATAAAGATATATATAAATATATATAAAAAAACTCTTGTAAATATTCATTTAATTAACAAAACATGAAAATCTGTCTCGTTTTTCTTTAGGATGTATTCACATGTTGATATTATTGTAGTCGGGTTATTCATGGTATCTGACGAAATGGCGTTAATTTTTACTACTGACGTGGCTTTTTTATTCATTAGGTTTATTTGGTTGATGAAATTCGGAGTTTATTATACAAATTATATATGATTTATTGACTGGCGAAGTGATTTTCCCGTTTAATTATTACATTTTAAGTGCGGATATTTTTCGGACGATGCGATGTGCAAATTCATTGCAATTTAATAGACGTTGTGGTTCGTATTTCGCTAAAATTATGAATAACCCATTACCTATAAATAATATATAATTGTCAGTTGTAATTTTAATTCGGGTTTATTATCTTTTCAAAAACGTTTGTATTTGTATCATATCTTAATATTATTCTCTCACCTCAGTCATTTTATTTCTCATTAAACAAAAAACAAACATTTATATTATTTACGTTTTGAACTGCGAATTTTCCGGTTTTTTTTTTATATTTTGTCGTTACTGGCGTGGGAATTAAATTATTGAGCTAGTTTAAATTATTGAATATACCTGTTTTTTCAGACCGATTTATTCATGCATTTTTTCGATGGTTTGATTACTAATTTTTCGCTTGTACAAAATTTTGTATTAAAATAGATTGTATTTATTGCCATTCTGTATATTTCGTAATTTCAATGAGAATGCTTAGATTTTAAAAGTACTGCAATAAAATGTGAAAATTATATTTTGAGTTTCCTTGTTAAACATGTGTATGCAGATATGAAATAAAAAGAATGTATGTTGAAAACGGTGCTTTTTTTTATTTTCATCTGGCCGATTTTTCGAATAAAAAGATCATAACAGGATATAAATCGAGGACAAAAAAACGATACTTTCTTTTAACATTTATATTTTATAAAAATACCCGAATAAATCCGTAAATGAGGAAAACTTAACCAAACAAGGCTTTGCACATTTCGTTGTTTTTCTTATTGAAATTGTATGATTTTCCCGGAACGGACATTTTCCGGTTTTTCGACGTCCTCGTTTCCTTCTTGTTTTCCGGTATTGCTTCGATTTTCCTCACGGTATGTCTACAAAAAAATGTACAAAATTTCATAATTTTGTAACGCTTAAACGCCTAATTTTATTTTACCTTAAAACGGTTTCCGGTTGGGTCAGTCTCATGCACAATTGCAAGTTCGATGAAAAATCAATATCGGTTTGGAGATTCAAAATCGGTTCGATCGAACTCACGAATTCGATCGACGATTTTACGAACGACGAATCGATCCCAGTCGAACCGATTACGACGATTCCGGCACTGAAAAATTTCGATTCTTGCAGGATTTGAAATAATCAACATTTATTACACTCACGATTTCCTGACGAGCGATCGAGCATTTCGATTCCACAGGGATATCTCTATTTGACCGGATAAATCCAAGGAGGCGGCGCCTTTAATATCGATTTTCCCTATTAATCCAGAACCTAATCTGACATATTCGCTCTGATCTTGCAACAACGTTATTACCTGTAATAATCATGCATTAATAAAGGTATAAAGAATGGTATAAAGCAGGACGCGCACTGAATCGACTCAGAACGGTCGGATCGGAACAGAACGTTCGGAACGGAAGCGTATGCCGCGCACCGATTCAGAGACTTCGGAATGCATCGGAATATTTTAATTATTTTATACATTATTGTACATACATTGTATACTCGCTCGCTGACCCACACACTAGGTGGATGCTTTATTTCCATCCCTTATTTCTAAATCGCTATTACCAAAATCTGCATCGTCAAATATCCTAACGTAAATAATGACGGTTCAGGAATATGCACATATTTTCATAAAAAAGTATCTACATTACTCATTAAATAGTTCATTATAAAAAGGTAATACGAATTTATTTAAGTTTAATCTGTGAAAAATCAATAGTTTGGGGACGATATTCCAAGTAAATTTAGTATCGACAAAGATAGCATTACATAAAAAAAGATAGACCTTCGGAACGTTCGGAAAAGTTGCCCCTTCGAGAATACTCTGACGATTCCGATCCGATCCGACCGTTCCGATCCGATCGTTCCGATTGAGTGCGCGGTACTGCATTTATTTTCGTATGTACCAAACTCTTCCGAACGCTCTTTTCCGATCCGACCGTTCCGAGTCGATTCAGTGCGCGCCCTGCTTAATAGTACTATAAACAACCATGGCCTTTAACTATTCGAGTATACGCAGCCACCTTTAGGTAGCAGAACAGGACATTTACTCTTCGAGTTTGTGCCCCCTCAGCAAAATTACCCTCTTCCAGAACCCCCACAATATTTTTACCTGGAAGGCGGGGGTCAATTCCGAAGCCGTGCCCGACCACACGTGCCCCATGAGCTCCCCTTGGCCCTCGAAGAAGACGAAAGGCCTGATTTGCGCGCCCAAAACAGCCAACTCTATGCCCGCGGTGGCCGCGGAAGTTCCCTCTTCTTCGGCCTCTTCTTCGTCGCCCGACATGAAGCTATGCAAGCCGTTGGAGAAGATGCCCAGCTAGAACGATACGAATAGCGTTTTTAGATACTTATATCTCCGGAAGTATACATGTTAGGAAAATAATGTTAATAGAAAAGTTGTAGAGTGGAGTTTTCTCTATAAATCAATCCACACCGGAAGTTTCTAAGTTGAGTAATTAAGGAGTTATAGAGTAAAATGCGAGACTAGTACTCACGCTGAACAATTCATCTTCCAGCCCGTTTTTCTCCATCACCACGTCGATTTTCCCCCGTTTCACCACGCCCGATTTCATCTCCTGCACGGCCACCAAACTCCCGTTCCACGACGGATGCTCCAGGAATTTCCTCGCCAACGACACCGACAGTCCCCTGGGACTCGCCCCCGAGTAATTGTTCAGCAATCTCTCGCCCTTCCAGCGCTTCTCCGCCGATTTTCCGAACTCCCCGTCGCGCTCCGCGGCCATCTCGATGCGCTGGCGCACGTACCGCTTCACCTCGTAGTTCGGATCGGGCAACACCAGGAAATCCAGCAGTTTTCCGGACAGTTTTCCGCTTCGCCGCGATTCCTCTATCAGGATGTCCGCGGCGATGGTTCGGGCGCTGCTGTCGTGGCGCCTGTTCAGCTGGAAGAGCGTCTTTTCCGCCTCGGAGAGGACATCGGTTGTGTTTAACCGGCGGTTATCTTTAACCATGGCTTCCACGGCCCTCCACGATAGGGCTCCTTCTAAAGCCGTACCGCTGGATATGTACTTGAATAAAACAGGTAGGGTGTTCGGGGCTTTCAAGTTCCTCAAAGCTCGCAGGTATTTGAGCTTTCCATCGCCTTTTGCGTAGTCCAAATTGTTCAATATCGTCTCTTGTACCGCCTCGAATGTACCCTGCAAATATGTACAGACTGTATAATTCGAACGCAACTTTCGGTCCACCCTGTATAATATATGTACTCGAGTGGGGCGTCGTTGGAACGGGCTCGTCGAGGGGAATACACATACAGGATGTCCCTGGTGAATTTCAGGCTTACTTGATGGACGTGGTGCAATTTTCGGGCCATGGAGGCGACGGCCAGGACGAGGGTTTCCTGGACTTTCTCCGGGATGTCGTTGAGTTTGCTGAACTTGTCGAGCAGGTCCTTGATGACTTCGGGCCGGGGCCGCGGGGAGAAGGCGAGGGCCCACAGATAGCGCTCGCTGAGATCGGTCAAATCGTGTTTCTCGAAGTGCAGGCGCTTGGTGACCGCTTGGTGGGCCTCCTGGGTGCCCACGTGGCCGAGGACGTCGTACAATTGGGGCCTGGAAGAAGCGGTGGGTTTTCTACATTAGATGGTCCAAACCGGAGGTTTCTAGGTCGAGGGGTTTGGGAGTTGTGAGGGAAATTGTGGGGTGAGTACGGTGGTTATTATTGGATGGGCGTCGTGGAAAATGGAAATATCTCTGGATTTGGTAGAGTAAGGGAAATTATGTAAATAGGAAAGTTGTAAAGTGGAGTTTTCTCTACATAATGGTCCAAACCGGAAGTTTCTATGTCGAATAATACAGGAGTTATATTATTTCTAAATCCATTATACTCACAAAATTTCCTTGTTCTTCTTAGCCTTCAAAACATCCAACAATTCCCGTTTTTCCGCTTTTCTTGCCGCTTTCAAAACTTCCAAGAAAGCCCGACTTTGTTTCGTCGTGGCAACTTCGGCGACTTTCAAGCTGTCCCTGTGAAATTCTACGGTTTTTCCGAAGGATTTTCCAACATCTCCATCGGCATTTCGCTCGATTTCCGTCAGCAGGCTTTCCCTGGCGTAGGTCAAGCCTTTTTCCCTGCCGAAATTTTCCACAAATTCGTCGGCTTTCCCAGCTTTTTTTTGGGAATTTTCAATATCGACGTTGCCGAACCGACGCAGGATCAGAGTTTCCTCGGTTTCCAGGCGATTTCCCATCTCCTCTCTCGCGGAGAGGAAAGCCGAGTGGATTTCCCTGGAATGTATGGAGGAAATTCGATCGGGATTTTGCTGGAATTGGTAATTTGTGGTCCTTTTCGATAGAATTTCCACGGAGAGTGAAGGATTTTGGGGGATTTCTTGTTTATCTAAATCCGGGGAAATGCAGTTTGATTTCGTTTTGGTTAGATTTGAAGGAAAATCTGTAGTGGAAATATACACGGTGGAGCATTTTCCCGACGAATCCGTTTCTTCAGTTTCGAGTTTTCCATTGACTAGCTGAAACTGGAAAGCGATTGTTTTTTCGTAAAATTCAACCGGAAAATCAACTTTACCTGTAACAAACTGGCGATTCCTTTCTTCAGATTCTTCATGGATACCTCCTCGCTTTCCTCGAGGAAGATTCCCGACACTTTCCCGCTTTCCCACAGCGCAAAAAACGGGGAGTTTTTCGTCGCATCTAATCTAGATGGCTGGAAAACTAATCGATCTTTCGACGGAACGCGCAGTTTCGGCGATAGAAACTGGACAATTACCAAAAATTACAATTTTTCGCATCAAAAAATAACAAAATCAAATCAAGTTACCTCGATTTTCAGGCACCTCCCGCCGCCCTCGATCTCCGCGACGACTTGCACCGTCACGTCCCCTTCCACGGAAAACCCTCCAGGATTTTCCGCCTGGACTTTCCCCGAGCGATTTTCCTCGTTCAAGGAAACGATCGATCGGTACTCGTACGAGTACGCGCGTCCCGATTCGAAAATTTCCACGGCCTGCTCGCTCGCCGACGACAGGAGAACGAAGCCGTAACAAACGCCTATCGACCAGCCGAACAGCACGCACAAAACGTTCATTTTCCGGCGATTTTCCCGCTTTTCATCGGACGCGCCGATCCGCTCTGTTACCGTTCGATGCGCGAATAAGTAATCGATCGATCGACGGGAATGTAATCGATGTTTACGCGACCTTTTGGACCTTTCCCTCGGCAAACTTGATAATGATCCTCTCTAATCGTTCACCAAATTAGCCTACTCGATTTACTTTTCTCAATTGGGTTTTATCTTACTAGATATATCTGAGAGAGTTAGTGCTCGGATTTTCATTATCACCGATCCAGTGGAAACCTATAAGAAATTTAATAGACGATTTTACAATTATAATTTTATTGGATTTTTATACAGGGTGGTGCATAGCATTTACACAGGTGTTGTAGTATGTACAGGATGTCTTTATTTCTTTCATCCTTTTGGGACAAATTTGGAGTAATTTTGGGACAGAAAGTGACAAATATTTATTGCGTGTATTTCGATAAATAATGTACACGTGTAATTGAAATGAAAGCGCTATCAAAACTATTGGTTTTTTAATTATTAATTAACCAAATGATGCCGTTTAGTTTTCGATTTGAAGGCGTTTTAATTGGTATTATCGAGTGCAACTTAATTGGCCGAATTTCGAATAAGGAATAGGAAAGTTTTTAATTTGTAATTGTAAAAATATTAAAGATAGAATTTTGTAGATTAAATTAGAAATCTGGGAATATTTTGGGACATTCAAGAAACTTTAGTGACATTTAAAAACACTTTTAGTGACATTTAAGAAAATTTTTAGTGACATTTAGGAACACTTTTAGTGACATTTTGACCATTTTTTACCAAATCAGAGAAGAAAAAAACGCCAACAAACCGAAAAACCACCGGCCAAACTCACATTTCCGACGTTACACAATAAACCGGGCACATAATAAGTATTTAATGTACATAAATACACTAATATACTCGTTATCATGGAGCATTCGATTATTGTTTATTTCGCAATAAAACATCGACGTGTGCCGTGAAATAAAAAACTGTAAATAAATTGATAACTGTACTTGCAGTGTATACTCACATACTAATTCCATAGTCGTCTTGATTCTTGTATAGTCGAGGCGGCGTTGCCGACCCTACTTGATGTTCTTTAAATTAAATGTAATAAAATGAAGCTGTCAAGGTCGTTCACTGGAGATCTTTTGTCTACATGGCTGGAGTTGATTTTGGTGAGATTTTGATTTTTCGACATTTCTCAAGAATCAAAAATGCTAGAGAAACGTTTTTCCTAGAATTGAAATATACAGGGCGTTTGTAACTAATGAAATTATAAAAATTTTATATAGGCTAAGTGTTGGAAAAAATAAGTTTAATCTATAAATTATGTCAGTTTTTAGATAAAAAAATTACAAAAATTCAAGGTGTGTCTCGAAAAATAAAATCTTCAAAATTTTTCAAGCATCAATTTTTTTTCTACAGCATACAGGTTGTTAGAATGTAATTAGGTTTTGGGTAATAGTTAGAAATTGATTATTCCAAAAAAATTAAAAAAATAACTTGGAGAAGATTTGGAATTTGGAAATTCCACGATTTGACAGCATTTTCCAACCGTAAATATACCCGCGACTTCTATATTACGATTATTCAGCAACCATAACCAATATCAACATCCAATAAAGAGAAGAAAGGCCTAACTTCACTTCACTGCGTTCCCTAACCTACTACACATAAACAAACAACAAACAATTTTACTGGGCGACTCGAAATAACAAAATAATGGTAAAAAGTAAGTAAACAATTGAAATAATAAAATGGAGTAATTTAAACGTTAAAACGCAATGTTTAAATAGCCAGAGCTAGAGAAGATAATTCGGAAACCCCATCGACAGGCACCGAACAATCCGAAGAATTTTCGGTAGAGAAAATCCTGGACAAAAGGACGCGCAACGGCAAAATCGAATACCTATTAAAGGTAACTTTTATATTATACCACATTCAAATCCTTTTAATTTATCATAGAGCATATAAGAGAGTTAAAATAATCATTTAACCCAACCAAGTTGTATCCCTGAGAAGTCAAAGACCACATAAACGTACGAGTAAATAATACGATATCTAAAAACCCCCTCTTGCAGTGGAAAGGCTACAACGAAGAAGACAACACCTGGGAGCCCGAAGAGAACCTCGACTGTCCCGATCTCATAGCCGCCTACGAATCGCGATTCGAGCTGGCTCCCGCGACGGAAGAGGCCGACAAGGCCAAGCGGAAGAACGTGCAGGAGGACGGCAGGCCGAGGGGCTTCGACAGGGGCCTGGAGGCCGACAAAATCGTCGGCGCCACCGACGCCAGCGGGGAACTGATGTTCCTGATGATGTGGAAGAATTGCCGCGAGGCCGATCTGGTTCCGGCCAATCAAGCCAATGCCAGGTGTCCGGATGTTGTTATTCGATACTACGAGGATAAGAAGCAGTGGTGCGGGGGGAAGCAGTGCGTTATAGAATTAGATTAGTATTATAAAGTTGATTAAATAGGAGTTTTTGTTCGACTGGAAACTGTTCGTAATTTGATTGTTCGATCGGGGAAATTATTGTATTTAGAATCAATTTTTCGTTACTTCTGCATTTTCTCGATAATTGATCGCAATGATGCCACTTGAAAATCGTATTTATTTATAACACTTACAAAAAATATACTTTAAATGCATTTTAGTTTAATAATATTCATCTTCGGCTTCACCGTCTGCCTCAGTCTCTTCCGGAGGCGCGAAACCCTCCTAAAATAACACAATATAATTCGGAATACAATCTTTTAGTAACAAATCATTACCTCAGTAGCGTAAAGAATATCCAAAATCCTCTTAATCATGGGATTATCGCCGTTATCTTGGCATATTAATTCTATATCTCGCAATTTACCAAAATAAAAGTCCCTTTCCTTCTCCAATCCATCGACAATACCCTGCAAATCGACAAATTAACACTTTAAACGATATTAATCTCGAATCAGCTACCTTCAACTCGCTCAATTGATTATTTAATTCCTCTACAGCACCAGAATCTCCGGCTTGATTTCTGTTCGTCGACGGCTGCGATTTAACATTAATTTTCGGAAGAGACTTCGGCACTAAAACAACGCGAAAAATAATCATTCCAGTTGGAAATTAGATGGAAAACTTACTGGGCTTGACGGCGTGCACGGCCGCCTTGGGCCTATCGACGGCGGGCGTCCGTTTCGTCGCCATCGGGATGGCCCGCCTGGCGCCGGCGCCGCCCTTCGCCGCCCCCGAGCCCAGCGTCTCGCCGCCCCGGACGGCCGCGGCGTCGTACTCGGCGCCGTCGTAATTGGCGTCGAAGAACTTCTTGAACCACTGCAGGAACTCGAAGTTGTCTTGAAACCGGCCCTTGATCAGTTTGTCGACCGGTATTATCTGCGACAGGAGGAATGATTAGCGAATGGGGGGGTGAGGGAACGGGTTATTCTCGATAATCACCTTGTCTACTTGCATTTTCTTGAACGACGCCTGGAGTATCTTGAAGTTTTGTATGTATTCGTGCTCGAGGTTGGTGCGGAACTTGACCCGCGCGATGGGCACCGAGCCGGGGAAGAGCATGTCCATGAATTGGCAGTAGGCCGCGCCGGAGCATATCTCTTCGATCTTTGTGAAATTGCTCTGCAGACAATCGTTGACCCAGGCCAGCATATCGTGCCTGGACAGATTGTCCGATGTTACGTTCGTGGAATATACGTTTACCGCCATGTCTGGAAATTAATTGATATGTATTGTGTTGTCATAATTAAAGGGATTTTGTTTAATCGAAGAGGATGTTTTTTTTATTTCCTTTTTTTACGGTCTTGAATGTTACGGCTATTCGGCCTAAAAATGAATATTTTGATTAAAAAGAACAAACTTTAATTAAACCAATGAATACGAATATTAAATTGTGGTTAATTTATCACATATCTCGACTTATAAGTCAAAAAACTGGTTAACAAGATAAGAAACAAAGTTCCTTATTCACAAAGGAAAACAAAACTTTTAAACAATAGTAACATTATAAATAAATGGGGCTATTTACAATATTTTACTTCAATATCCTTATCATAAACTAGCACGATATAATCGAAATGAATTCCTAAAATTCCGAGACTGTAGTCATCGAAGCAATGCAATAAAATCAAAGATGTCAGGGATTGCCGGAAACGTCACTGGAATTATTAAAATTCGCGATGAAGATACGCCGGCAAAATGATCGAATTATCGGTAAAGGATTGATTGAATTGGATATTTACCTGGCGATCTATTAAAATATTCGATCACTAAACTTAACACAAAGACGAACCGAAGGACCGAAGGAGAGTAAAAAAGACGGTTAGAAATGTAGAAAACAACCGATCTAAACGTTTTTTAGTTCCATATTTAACCGCACCGAACGATTCGTGCGACACCCGAAGAATTTGGTACTGTTAGCCAGAATAACCGAGGCCACGAATAAGTAATCAGTGTAGTATAAACGCCGGGTTTCGAAAAAATATAATGATAATTAATTTCGAATCTATAAAATATTCAAAGTATAAGTAAAGTTGTGTAGGATGCCTAGCTTTGTCAAAAACAAAGTTTGTCAAAGTGACATTGATATGACGGCATTTGATTTTGACCACGGCCGTATATAACAGGTCAGGAAACTCCTGTCAAGAGGGAGTTGCAGATTATGTGTAAAATCGAGTTACCAGCAGTATTGTAAGACCGTGATTTTGACATTCTTCTTTCTTTCTAAGAAATTACTAACGAGTTTCCTATTTCAAATTTTAAACAAATTATTCGAAACATAATTGATAATCGTTGAAAAATAAACTCACGTGTAAGAATTATCCTGCTTTTTGCTGTACGATTTTTTCAAATTTCTACCTCAAAATAAAGTTGGACTATTTTTCGCATTTAAAATTTCAATCTTATTCGTAAACAATATAAATGCCCTGCAATAAACATATCGCACGTATTATCGTTAAAATTGTTAAAATTGTCCCGTTTCTCCATAACAATGACTTATTTTCTTATTATTTTACGATCGATAAGATACGAACTAATAGGTTTTAACATGAACTTTTTATTTTTTAAAATATACCTGTGCAAAATACTATCTGTTATATAGTATGCATTTAACATTCGGATAAAAACTAATGAATTTAAGTATATAATAGGGCACATTATATCAGCGGTGGGAGTTTCGAAAAATTGCGTAGGAATCGCAAAATAATCGATATTTTTTTTATTCAGTGAGTGCAGTTTTCGATCGACAACATTCAACAAATTCATGGAAACGTAAGTATAAAATCGAAATGTTTGTTTTATTTAAAAACGAGGAAAACTTGTAGCATTTAATAACGCTCGAAAAAAATCAATAAACATTAAATTTTCCCACATTTATGGATTTTATAATGATACATATTACATTTTCAATTGCATTATGAAAAATGCATCGTGCAATTAGGTAACCTCGTTTGGAATATCAAATTTTATTGTATCATTTGCATTTTTATTACAAACAATGCGCTAGTTTGTATCTACACTGTTCGTCAAAATTAGCGACTCATTAACTTTTTTGAAGCCCCGTATAATTGGTTAGAGCACAGATAGAGACGTGAAATTTTCAACAAACATAGTCCAAAGCCTTTTTTGGGTACCCCCCAAATATCATCAACCTCGTTCAACTACAAGTTATCGAACGGCCCTTTGAATAAGACCATGTATGTTCGAAAATGCAATTTTGTTTGGGTCAGTAATTTTGACGAATAGTGTATTCCAGAAAATTATCTGTTCAAAAAATAGCAAAGATTTTACGCTCCCGAAACTGATAAATTAAGCAATTACGAAACAGTATTGAATAAACGACTATTAATTGTCTATTCAATAGATATCTACAGTAATAATACAATCTTTTTTTATAGATGAGAAATAAAATTCTTAGATAACGAAAATTCGATTAGATATTGAAATTTTGTTTATGGCGAATCGATGACGATTTTTTTTTCGTCACGGCGCGAAATTAATAAAAAAATAAACTTTTCCTTATCTGTCCAGGGGCCATTGCCAGAAATGATATTAGAAGGAAATGAGCAGTGATGTTACTAGAACATTACAAAAAACATTTTTAAACATTATGTATCAGTGACTGTTCGAAAGGTTCTCAACTAACTTCGGTAATTTTATTTTTTTAATCAGTCCATAAAGTTTTACCAGAAGAGGAAATGATAGTGTGAAATAATAGTAATTATTTTGTTGTTCCATTTTGTTATTAATTAATTATTAAATTAATCTAAATTCAGTGAATTTGTGAATCTATTTTAGTGTTTTTCAATTCTTGTTTGTATAATTTTGGAGTTTTCCAATACGTATTTTATTTTAAGATTAGAATATTAGAAATTTTTCTAATCAATTTTGATTTAATCCATTTATAACAAACATTTAAAACACAATCGATTTCTAACAATATACGAAATCAATCAAAGAGATACAATACCAGTTACACACATTAATTCATAATCCGAAAACAAGTGTTTGACGAGATAAAATTTGATAAAAATCGAATAGAAATCGTATATTATCCATCACAAAAAGTGGGTTTCTACTAATATCATTCTCGATATTTTACAGTAACCTATAAAAACAATCCGCCAAACGAACCGAGAATGAGAAAACTCTGCGCGAATTGCTGCACAGTCAAAGCCCTAATTCTACTAACAGCCGCTCTACTAGTACTTTTAACCGGCGTCTTGGTGCTCAGTTTCGTGGGAATACCCCGTATAATCAACCACGAACTCGCCCTGGTAAGTTTTTTCCGCATTTAAATACACCACATATACTCCGTTCAAGTTTACCCCGCCATGACGTCACGATTGATTGACTTTTTTTTTAGTCGATGCGCTTGGATAAACACACCGATCAATGGGAGAGATTCGTGAATTTACCAATACCTATTGTGACTAAAGTGTATTTGTTCACTGTAGCCAATCCAGCCGCCATTTTGGAGGGCGCCAAGCCGATTGTAGTGGAAAAAGGGCCGTATGTTTACAAGTAAGTGGTATACAGGGTGTTCGAAAGTGTGGTCAATGGCGGATGATTATTTTTTTAAGGCAGAAACTGACGAAAAAAATACTAAGGACAGATGAAAGCGACGATAGCGTGACTTACGAAAAATACTCTAGTGTTAACTTCGATCAGGAATTGTCCGGGCAAAACAGGGTGAATGATACCGTTACAGTTCTCAATCCCGCTTTATTAGTGAGTACAAATTGGTCAATTCTTCTTTTCTGGTAGATACAAATCGTACCTATAATTTCAGGTATTAACGCAAATAACGTCCCCGTTGGAACAACTGGCAGCTACAGGATGTTTGGATAAATTATTCCTGCCTGAATACAACAAATTATTCATTGAAACTACAGTAGAAACTTTGATGTTTAAAGGTTTCCCATTCGCTAATAGCACTGAAGAAATGGGATACGCTTGCAACATCATCAGAAATCAAGTGATAGAGAAAACCAAAATCATGAAAAACGTCCAGTTCATCATGAACAAAGATTTCGATATGGTGCAGTTGCTGAGGTTTTCCTACTTGGGATTCGTAAGTGCTTTAGAATGAAAATTGTTTTTAAAACCGTTCAAATCGAAGAAAACATCTAGTAGAGATATGCAGGAAATTTGGTACATTTATAGAGTGCTTCTATTATCAGATATTTAGATGTAATTTTTTAATAGTTTAGTAATATTTTTCTGGGTATAAAAATCAAGATTTATCCGTAGAAAATTAACCAGCCTGACGGGGTTTACACGGTCAACAGGGGCATCAAAGACATATCCCAATTGGGTACCATCATGAAATGGAACCATTCCAGCGAAGTACCTTTCTGGGGAAGATTGCAATCGACAAATAACGAGACCTGTAAGCGAGTCGGGGGCACCGATTCCACCATATACGCCCCCTTTGTGAAAAAGACCGACGTTCTGGAGATATTTTCCACGGATATTTGCAGGTATTTATGCGCCTTTTTCTTACTTAATTCGGCGATAAAAGGGGAGCAGGTGCGATGAAACAAATTTATTTCAAGCTGTGATAAGCGATTTGTTATCGTGAGATTTAATTTTCCATTACAATAACGGTAATTGCTCAATCTCGAGGATTTCGGTTGAAAATATTTATTACTTACATAAGTAAACTGTTGTAGTTGTTATAAAAAAGAGGCTTGAAACTAAAGCAATTTTATCGCTTTGACATTATCGTAATTATTGAATAGTTGAATTGTACATAATGGAGAATGTGTGTTCTAATTTTAGTAGGTTTTTTGCATAGGTATTTTGCACATATTGATAACAAAATAGAATACTTATTAAGAAGGCATCAAAAATCCAGATATTTCTGTAATTTCTACCATACTTATATAAATTATGTTACTATGCAACATAATTGCTTTTATCTCGATGATTTTAAAAACATATTTATTTAAAAAAATGAGTATTCTACTCATTTAATTATTCATTGGAATGATTGAAATAAGGCCAAGTATTGCTTGAACTTGTTAATTATTCAATGAATTCAATAATATTGTTGAAATATTCATTTGTAATGGCCAATTATGTAAGTATTTTAATTGAATTGTTTTATATGGAAATTATTAAGGCGTTCTTACATTAATTTCCACAAAAATTAAAATGGGAGGAATACTAAAAAAATTCCTAAATCGTGTTGTAGATAAAATAAAATGTTTTATTCATAAAATATACATTAAAAGCGTAATAATAAAACCCGCCAAAAATTACCAATACTTCTCCAACGACTTAACCAAATCCTTGGGATTGGTGCTGGGCCCGTGCCTCTCCACAGGCACCCCGTTTTTGTCGATGATGAACTTGGTGAAGTTCCACTTGATGAAATCCCCCAGGGTGCCACCTTGGACGTGCTTCAGGTACTTCCACAGAGGATGGGCCCCCGCCCCGTTCACGTTGATCCTTTCGAACATGTCGAACTCCACCTTCCTGCTGCGGGCGAACTCGCAAATCTGGTCGTTGGAGCCCGGCTCCTGCCCGGCGAATTGGTTACAGGGAAACGCCAGTATCCTCAGCCCCTTGGAGTCCGCGTACTCCGTGTAGAGCTCCACCAATTCGGCGTAGTTGTTTTTGGTGTAGCCGCATTGCGAGGCCACATTGACTATTATGCATACGTGACCTTTGTACTTCTCTAAGGAGACTTCGTTGCCTTTGATGTCCCTGGCGGTGAATTCGTAGATGCTTTTGGCGTTTTTGTAGTCCTCTTGGTCCTGATTTGACATTTCGATGTTTTGACAGTCGAATTGGTTGTCACTGTGGCAATATTCTTCGTCTATCGATGCGGTTGAATCGATTATTAGGCACGAGATTGACGCGAGAATGAGCGCAATGTCGGAGAAGGTTCGTCGCGATGTGACGATAAACATGATTGTTACAATTAGTTATTTTGTATTGCGTCGAGGTCGCTTATGCGCGTGAATTTCAATTTTTCGATTCGCTCGCGTTATCAACAATCGATTAATCGATGCGTTATCGTTCATGCGATGGGTCTTGTTTGCAAGTACAATTGTGGAATATTTTCGTTTCAACGTAGTGTCAAATTTTAGGAAAATGTATTGGCTAAATCAGCGTTTTCCTTTTATCATCGTTATAAATTGTTTTATATAATTTATCGATTAGTATCGATTTTATCTGTCACTGTCAACTGTCATTTTCCGCGAAGGAAAAACAAAAACATTACCGGCTCTACTAGAATTTTTCCATTTTTATCTTTTTTATTAAAATTATGGTCATTTTGTATGACGTAATTAATTAATAGTAATAGAAAAATTACTTACCGTTGTCACGCGTTTTTAAAGCAATAACATATTTTTCATATTTCTAATTGTAAACATAACCTCAAATTCTCCATATACGTTGACATAATTGTGTACAAAAGCGACAGAACCGGCCTTGCTCAACATTTCACATTGAAACTCGAAATAAAACTCTAATTAAAACAAATAGGTGCGTCTTTAATAAATCAAGCAACATAAAATAGATTAACTATAATAAATATTCCATATCGAAATGCATTTTTGCGCCCTATCTAAACTATTCAACCTTAGGCAAACAAACAACTACAAATGATCGAATATTCTACCAGTATTTCTCGAGCGAGGCGACCAAGTCCTTGGGATTAGTGCTGGGCCCGTGCCTCTCCACCGGCTGTCCGTTCTTGTCCACGATGAATTTGGTGAAATTCCATTTGATGAAATCGCCCAGAGTCCCTCCCTGTTTGTACTTAAGGTAGTTCCACAGCGGGTGCGCGTCATTACCGTTGACGTTTACCTTCTCGAATACGTCAAATTTGACATTTTTGCTGGAAATAAACTCGCAAATGGTGGCGCTGTCGCCCGGCTCTTCGTTGGCGAATTGATTGCAAGGAAACGCCAATATCCTCAGCCCCTTGGACTCCGCGTACAGATCGAACAATTCGTTCAATTCGGCATAATTGCTTTTGGTGTACCCGCACTGCGAGGCTACGTTGACTATTATACATACGTGACCTTTGTATTTTTCTAAGGACACCTCGTTACCTTTGATGTCTTTGGCGGAGAATTCGTAAATCGAGTTGGCCGTTTTGTAGTTTTCCGGGTTGGACATTTTGTTTCGTGTAGTTGAGAGCACTGCCAGTGCACGACAGGCGAACGCGGCTTTCTTCACTGTCCGGCAACTGAAGTAAAACATGTTATAAAGCGTTATTATGGAATTGGTTATCGACGAAACGATTGTATGAAATTACGGGTAATTGTTTGTGGTTATTTTTAACTTTTTTCGAGGCTTACCGATATAATAATCAGGTGGTTTGGTTTCGTGTCGACGTTGTCGTGTTTACTAATGTCAATGTCAAATGTCAACAAACGTTTATCAAATATTTCCTCTCAATTATTTTCTGTTTAGATAGTGATTAAATATCTACAACGCAACACAAACAATTACTAATGTTTATTTGTATACTTTTATTTCCATAACCTAAAATTTTCTTGTATTTGACAGTTACATTGACAATTGTACAAGGCCTTTATTGCCTCGGGTACACAGCTCAACTTATATTTAACTTTTATGTACGTTTTAGAACAGTAAATATTTATTATACGGGCGAAGGAAGTTACAAAGGACTAAAAGGATACGTTTTCGAACCGAAAAACACCACTTTTTACTCATCTATAATTCCTAAAGAAGAAGACTGCTTCTGTACACAAAAAACATTGTATTACAACGGACAGAAAAGTTGTTATTTAGACGGCATTTTGGACGTATACGATTGTTTCGGTAAAATAATATTATTTATTTTAAAATTTTGAGCTAATAAGAGTATAAATTTGCAGGTGCTCCGCTTATACTTTCATTCCCTCATTTCCTGTATGCAGAGAAGTACCTCGATGCGGTTGAGAACTTAACGAAGCCTGATAAGGATAAACACGGAATTTATTTGCTAATCGAACCAGTACGTTAATGACTCGATTATTATACACTTGATTAACCAGTAAATTCGTTTTGTAGAATACTGGGGTTCCTTTGCAAGGCAAAAAAAGGGTCCAATTGAACCAAATTCTAAGGCCTATCAAGCACATGGCTTTCGCTGCGAATTTACCACAGACTATTATACCTCTTTTGTGGATAGATGAGGTAATTTTATTTATTAATTATACAGTATTAGCGTATGTAATATTTATTTTCAGGGAGCTGAACTCAATGATGACTTGATAGATATGTTAAACAGCAAGTTTTTCAACGTGGTGAAATTGACTTCCGGCGTGAAATACGGTTTGATAGCTGTATCTGCTGCTGGTGTATTAGTAGCCGGTGGGTTTTTGTACAGGAAGAAAGTTTTGAAATGGTAGAGTTTGCGATATTTGTTCCATAAAGAATTAAATTACTTCTTTATAAGTTGACTTTGGTTAGGTGAATAAATATTTATTTTGGATCATTGTTAACGAAAACGTTTTGTTATATCGAATTTTTGTACTATCCTAAAAGTTTTACTCGAACCGATAAGTTTATTATTTTCCTTTATTTTCCTTTTCCTTTCCCTCGCTCAAAATATTGGTTTTCAATAGAAATTTATAAAAATCAACCTTTAAATTATGAATAATGATTTTCAAAGAAAACTATTGGAGAATGTTTAAATGATATACTCCCTGATTACAGATAAAAAAGAAATATATATATATATATTACCGTAGTTTTCTAGAGAACTTGTCTTTAGGCCTTTGTAGTGTCTCGAATTATAAATTTATTAGTCATCTACTAATCTCAACTTAACTTGTATTTTAAGGTTATTTATCGTCTGACGTCTGTGACAGGTGACAGATTTGACAAGAATGTTTCTAAAAAAACTGGCCTTTACCATATCGAGTATTTAAAGCGTATGTTAATAATTATTTTCCAAATTAAAGATTTAAATTAATTTAAAACGAAATTAAAAGGCAGACTATCGATAGAAAATATAACAACAAGCAATCTTTTGTCGTAATAAAAATTAGATACACAAACTGTCAGGTTGATCAACGTGAAGATAGTGTCGTTGGGCGAAATTCCAGTAGGGGGCAGCACGTCGCGCCGTTTTCAGTGCAATGAAAACGGACGAGATAACAATAAAAAAAATAGTGGATGTTGTTTGTTCTCGGCCACGAATCGCCTTCGAAATGAATGAAAATTAGGGAGACTGCCCTTCGGAAATTTCGCGTTCGCCTCGCGGTCCCGCCGTCTGCCGAAATAATGTAGTGAATTTACGGGTTGCGAGTGAATTGTAAACAATTATTCGAGAGAAAAAAGTGACGTTTCCATATTATGGCATTAGTGACTGTGCAGAGGAGTCCCAGTTCCAATAATTCGCCGAACGAAGTGAGTTTTTCTAATTTCTTTCGATGCCAGAATCCGCTATCAAAATATATTTTTCGAATGCTCTACGTTTAATGAGCCGTTTGATATTATTCACTGTGTAAATATTGATGTTATTTTTGTGTCTGAATAATTTACTTGGACATATCCAAGTAATCATCTAAAGTATGATTAAATACACGAAAAGTTGCTTATGAAATATTTCCTAATAGTTTTATGCACTTAAGTAGGTCGTTTTTCGATAAATTATATTCCTATTACATAGAACTTAATCAGATGTTTCTTAGTGAAAGAGAAATTTGCGATAAAGGACAGTTTATTTACCTACATTGAGGCTAGTTTGATACGGTTGGATGGCATATAAATCATCGATTTATTGTTTTCCTCGCAGCGTTGCCGATACGGAACGATTTCACAAGATTTGCTACTTTTTTTAGCCGTTTAATTGGTATTAATTTGAGCTTTTTCACGATAACCCGGTTACATATTCTCGATACTTAGATTTTTATTTGGTATTTAGCAGTCAACATAAATTAACAACCGATCTGTTACGAAACCGAGAATCACACGTGACAACGCCGCGAATTTGACCGTTTTGACAGATTCATAGTTCACAAAAAATATAACCTTAAAATTGTCGATTGCATTTCGAAGAAGAAGAAATGTTTATCTAGCTAACTTCAGATTAGTAACTAATACTTTACCGCCAATTCGTACGCCGTTGTATTTTAAATAAGATTTATACCACGTTTTTGTTACACCCTGTATATTTCGTATTTTGTCCTGATTTCAAACGGATTGTTTCTTCAATATAGTGTATATTTTTTTTCGAAGTCGGAAACCAAGACGAATGGAATCGGAACGTAAATTGGTCTCGTAATAACTTATTGCGGTTAAGTTCAATCATCTTTACTCGGTTATGAGTTATTTTTACCTGCACACAAAAGAAAATTGTAATAAGGCGGCTGGGTAAAATGGACATAAGATTTCATCAGGTCGAAAAAATTTAATAGAGTACAATAGAGTAAGAATAGAGTAAGAATAGAGTACAGTGGGGTGATATAAATGTTCCTAATCGTTATCCTGCAAAACGGGAAATGGTAATTAAAAATGAATCGGAATTTAGTGATAAATCACTACATTAACGTAATTATAACAGGTGATTACTGAATTGGTTAATAAAATTATTTGAATAATGTTAATTTTATGAGCGAAATGTGATAAAATGTCACATAATTATACAAAAACAGTAATATATCACTTGATTTTTTTTAATTTTCATCGGATCTTCTCAGAAATAAGGATTAAATAGATTCTATTAGAGATTTTCGAAAAATCATATTTATTAATTAATCGATTTTTTTATTGCAGGAAAACTCAACATTTGAAGATGATATCGACTCGAACAAGAATCCAAAAAGGCAAGTTTATCAACATTAAATTACAAATATCATTAAATTAAAAACCCTGAAAAATAGTGGGATTTTTTTCATAATTTCGGATCGAAATTATTATCGAATTAAGAGCATTTAATTATTAAGCGCCGGCAAGATTTTAGCCTGTATTTTATTCACAATACATTCGCGTCAGTTACGAAACATTTTCCGCGAAACTTTCTCTGTCATTACGTGCATATTACTTGTATATCAAAATAGGGATTATTATGTTACGGTACAAAAAAAAACTCAGTGAATAGAATAACGAGGAAACGACAGTTTTACGGGAGTATGACTACGCGTTTTAGTTGTTGTTTGGGTATTGTTCTCTTGCCATTTTATTTGTTGTTATTTAGACTTTCTTGTATCGAATTACCCGCGTATATTTCGCGTACACATAAGTAGATATTTTTGTATAAAAAAAAAAGATTCTAATAGCTTAGTTTGGTAAAGGTTGTTGTAACCTTTGAGTAGAGTAAAGAAGAGCAGAATAGAGTTAGAATAGAGTATGAATAGGGGGAGAATAGAGTAAGAAGTATGAGATGATGAGATGAAAGTAGATTCTGAATAATTTTAATATTTTTTATTCATGTTTTAGATAATACAATTTTTGATCTTAACACATCTTAGTTGGAGATACCTACTAACGAAACACTCTGTATATGTTAGTGGTAATAAATTTAGCAATATCTAAGCAATAATTAGCTAAAACTCGATCGAGTACATTCAGTTCAGTAGCCATTACGTTGCATAAGAGATATAAACTGAGAGAGGAAACCTCGTTTCTTCGAAAGTCAAACTGGGTTAGCCGCCCGAAAAAAAAAGTAAATAAAAAAAGCGCTAAAACTACCTACTTCCTTATTAAACGCGACATTTCGTAATAAAATCGAACGGCAATTTTTTTTTTGTATTTTCGTTTTTCGATTCTTATTCGCGTTCGAGCGGTTTCCTGTGTCGCAAAAAGAGATTTCTCCGCGCTCTAGAAACGGTTTGGCGACAATTTTCGCGAATCGCCCTGTATACTATGCAGTTTTTTTCCTAGTTTTATTATTTCCTTCGCGATTGCCAACAAATAAATTACTGATTACAATTACACGACATGTGTTATTATGGCTTTTTGTGTTCGTGAGAATTAGTACAAATCCATTATTTATATCTGGTTTGTGCAATAGGAATTAATCATGTAATCGTTGAAATATATAGAAAATTATTTGTATAGGGCGTCCCAAATAATAATTCGCCGTTCGTTTTTCTTTTTCTCGCGATTTAGTGACCGAGATCTAAATTTGTACGAAAACAAAGCTTAAAAACGAAAGAGAATTTAGGCGTAATTAACTTGTAAATTTGCATTTTGTATGTCGAGCAATTGCGATAAAAAAAAACCTTAATAAATTGGTTCATTGTACCCGTTAAAAAAGGAACCCAAAGAACCCGAAGACCTCGTTGTTTTGTGCATATGTGCATGCCTCTTGTATCATTGTTGGCCAGAAATAGATATGGCTAAATATACGTTCCGCGCTTCCTATTAAAAAAATCGCTAGTTTAAATTATACACAAATTTCGGGCTACGTTTACAACGCGTTCTCAGACCTGCAATCTACAGGATGTAACTTCATAAATAATACCACAAATAATGGGCTCAAAATTACTCAAAATTGCTAAATGAAGATTTAATAAAAATCTTTTCAACGTATAAACAACTCTAAATAACCTGCTTTTTACGGATCTATACCAAATAAATTCTCCCGGTATAAACAATGTCGAAACACCCTGTATGTTTATTAACCGCCGCATCGAAATTACCGTGTAAACGTTTCGATTATTTATTCATCGCATTAAAACGGCCGAAAGTGGGTCATTTTTTTCGGCTATTCGATAATACATATCCGATAACTTTTTTATGGAATATAAAATTACCAACGTACTTATTATTTAAAAGTAATTGTGTATGTTGAATTGCATCGCGTTGGCCGTTTTGGTGGTGCGAGTGAGCGTAAAAAAAATTGGGAAATCGTGGAAATTCTTTCAATTTGAGGTGAGCCAATGTTTTTATTTGCCTACTTTAATTTATAATAAATACAGTAGAATTTAGAATATATTTAATTAATGGAATCTCAATATTTTGATGTATAATACATCTCATGTAAATCTCGAATTCGCGGTAAATAAGGTAATTCGACTCTCGTTGAAAATGAATGGAAAAATAAAACAGAAAACAGAGAGCTTGTCAAGGTTGAATTATCGAAAAAAAATGGGATTTATCAGGCTTATCAGACATATCGAATTGCAAACAAAATGCAGATAGAAATGAGGAAAATAAAATAAAACGATGACACAGCTTTTATAGATTATATTATATACAAGGTGGTACTGAAAAACTGCGCTTTATTTTATTATAGAAAGTATTATCGTTTCGAATTGGTTTCGTTTTTAAATTTATAAAAATCGCTAAATTTACACCGGGAATGTTCTAATATTAGAAATTCGAGGTTTTCCGATTTGGAGGAGGTCGAATTTATTGATTTCAATCCAAACAGCACGAGCCTCTTATAATTCATTTTTACTTTGTTGTAACAGGAATTTATTTTAAAATTTTAAAACTTTTTATCCTAAAGAGGAATACAAATACTTCATATTTTTGTATAGATATTTTAATTACCTATTGCTAATTATTAACTGTCGAGATTACCATAAGTAAATAAATTTATCTGATGGTTAATTACAGAATAAATAAAACTAAATAGATATTACATAATGATAACATCTTTACATTCGTTCGCTGATTTTTAATGATTTCCAGTCAATTTTTTTTAGAAACTGGTTAAAAATCGTTTAAAAAATTCATTGCACAACAATAATTTTCAAAATAAGGAATAGAAGACAAGAAAAAATTACATGCTATCAAATGTGTGTTGTGATGAGCATAAATTAGCTCATGACCGTTAATTTAAAGCGCCAAAACTTTAAAATGCGCCAATAAAAAAATCGGTTATTTTCCATTTAATTTTTTCTCGTTTAACCATCTGCTTTGGTCGAAGATGAACCGGGTCAAGCGAGCTCAAACGATGGGAAATAACGCCACAATTAACGATTATTACGCAACACGGAGAGATGCTTCGAAAACTCGAAAATAATTCACCGAATATCGATAAAATTCCTCACGCATCCTGGAAATAACGTTTCGTAACAAACCATCTCGCATTGCGCAATACTTCGATTTTTACTATTTTTAAGCCTACAATAAAATTTTAAATAGCGATGAAACAATTTAGTTTGGAAAGTTTTTTTAATGCCAGATTAACAAGTATCGCCAAAATCGCGATTCTTTTATAGGTTGAACAGCCTTAAAGGTTACAACTCGACATTTTAATGAAAATTTGGCCAACGTTCTTGCCAAAACCATCGAAGCATCGACCAAAATATTTGCACTTGTCAACGAATTGGCACAAATAAATACAAACGTATGCATATGTAAACATTTTCTATATTTCTACCTACAGACCGATGTTAATAGCAAGGACAAGTCACCCCGACGGTTTCAGCTATATCAATCGTTCTGTAGGTACCTAAGCGAGATTTTTTCGATATACGATTTTCCGTACAGTTACGATAGACTTTCACCCGGCAACGCCGCTTTGGAAGTTTTTCCACGGCACACCGTAATTTTATTGTTTATTGCTCCTATTAATTCAATAAGGAAAGTTCGCCGAGTTATTAGAATAATATAGAACTAGCGGTTATCAATCAAATACACGTTTCTATTCTATGGGATCAGATAATTGTATTAGTGAAAGTTAAACGGGGGGTCGAAATTGGATAAAAATTAAAAGCGCAATAAATTTAGCGAATTTCGAAATTCGTTGCATTTGTTTGTGCAATACAATACGTTTCGTGCGCTCTATTGTCGTTTCCACCATGTAAAAAAACAACGATTTCGCGTTTTTTAATCTTCCCAAATTGCGCAATTACACCTGAAAAAATTCGTCGTTTTCATTCCTAATCTCGAAACTAACATGCATGCCGGTATGGAAAACTTCGATAAGGCCGAGCAGGGACATCGAAGGAATTTTTCGACGTCCTGTTTGGGCGACAATATTATCTCTTCCATCTAAATTACGTAAACATATAGAGACCCGAAACAGGTATGCGGAATTATCAAACATTTTTTCTCTACAATCTTAATGTGCTCGTACGTGCCATGCCGATCTCGTGTTTGGTTTTTAATTCGAAAACATAACAATAAATAATGTAATTGAAATTCAGTTAGTATGCACCTGAAATTTGTATGCACCATAAACTCGCAATTGTTGCGGCCTGAGTAATTGATGATTTTTTGGGACGCTCTGTATATACGAAAAAAAAAACCGACAAATCGTTTTATAATAATCCCATTCAAAATTCGATGCGTTTGATAGGATTTCATTGTCTTTGCGTTGACGATTATAAACTCGTTTTGACGAAAAGTTTTCCCCTTTTCCGGGCGCGCATTGAATCAAAAATTATTCACTTTCTACGAATTATACGCGAAATAAAAATGATCCGACGACACGCGATATTGCGAAAAACCCGAACGATTTGAAATAGGTGCAATTGCGTTGCAAATCGTCCAGGACCGGCCCGAACGAATAATTAAAACCAAACCTATTTTTTATTAGATATACTCCTATTTCGAGCGTTGTGTCGACTTATTGTTCATTAACTTTCGTTTTTTGGTATTTAAATTGCGGCCGGTACGGTCCTGTTTTCCAGCCCATATATTCGACTTTCGATTGTTTTGAAATGATATTCATGTCTCGTCGTAATCACGTAGGCCGGCTCTGCCCTTTTGAACTTGATATTGCGCATATATTTTTTTTTATATTTTGTTTTAAAACAACTCGTCCGCCCATCAAGATTACTTTCACTTCAATGACACTTTCACGGGTCCCCTGCCTACTCGAATAAAAATTTAATCGTGTGTGAATTTGAAAATTTTAAATCGACGA